AAGAAGAAAGAAAGGCCAAGGCAATCCTAGAGAAGGACGATGGAAGGGTGTAAAAGAGTGCGTTGGGGAGAAGAGTCAGCAGATTTTGAGAAATTTTGACGCTTTACAACTTTCTAGAGCCGGAATTTGCGATTTTTGTCTGCCTGTGTATGTGTATGTAAACACGATAAATTGAGTTCCGTTTCAGTTAGGTTGGCGAAATTTCAAGTAAAAGTATATGTCGAATGTATAGTTTTTTATCAACTTTTGAACGATTACGGTAACCGATAGAGGTACTTTATTCTTTTCCCACGTGAACGCTACAACGTGATCACAGTTTTCGTTTGGTTGACGCCTCAACAACTAAGATCCAAGAAATGAAGTGCCGACATAGCTCAGATTAAATTAAACTTCTGGAAAACAAAGCAAATGTCTAAAAATACACGATTGGTAACAATTTGATGAAAATCTCATACAAATCGGAGTCATTTCGGTGTGTCGGACTAGATTTAGAGGAGTCCGTGCTTCTCACGTACAAAACTGAATTGGGCCAGCTCGCGTGTTGGAAAATTTTTATTCGTGTGCGTGTTGGAAAAAAAAACATGTATCCATAAGAACTCGATTAAGAAAAAATTAGAGCGACCTTTGCTTTCCATATATATGCCTGAGGATAACGGTTTGGTTGAGAATTGTAATAACAATCAAAGCTTTATATATGAAAGGACCTGAATGCAGTCATACAACTAAAGGAAGCACATGCTGCTTGCATTTGGAAGGGTTTTATTTCATTAAAATAAAAACAAATATCCTCATATATTTTAGTGCTGTTGATATTTTCACAATGTGTTTTTAAAGAAAACAAAATAAAAAATATGTTAAAAGTTTTATTCTTACGATGAGATTATCAAAAGTAGTAGTAGTTACAAGTAGCTAGACATTGTTATTTATTATTAATAAGCCTTTAATTAATATCTGATTAAAATGTGTAAGAGTCTATAATATAGTTTCACTTCTCCGTTTGTTCCCCAGAAGAAAATATAACAAATAAGTCAAAATAAAAGAAAATAAACTGTAGGACGCCGGAAAAGATTCACTTTAGTTTCAGGATTAGGTTGAGTGTAAGGTTAAAGATAAGGTTAAGGTTAATATTAGCATGAAAATATAAACATTATTAGCTTAGCGCCCGTTTTATTTATTCCTCAACGGGCGAAATAACTAGTTATTAAGTAGTATTCTTACTTGATTATTACATGCACTTTCAAGAATAAAGAATACTTTTTAAAATATGCTAATGTTCGAATGCTAGAAATCATCATTTTGAAAACTTGAGTTTTGTTATTTATTGATAACGACTTTCAGGTAATTACTTGGCACTGAACATCAGCTAATTAGTTTACTCCACTAATTAATTAACTTCTGGAAGTTTTCAGTGGCCAATTTTTGCAGGGCTTTCCTTGACATTTTGCCAGTCGAATTCTGCGGAAAAGATTCTAGAAACAGAATTTTTTTGGGAAATCCGTCTTCTGGGCATGCCATTTGAGTGAAGATTCCCGTACAAAACGTCTCTATGTCTTGCTCTGTCAGGTTGGATGACTTCTCCCTGACAACACAGGCACAAATTTCTTGGACCATGACGGGGTGGGGAATTCCTGTACGATTATATAACGAGATAAATCTATGTATTTTTCGTTCAGTAACTTTTAGTGATCTACATTACATAGATGGTATATTTTCTAAATGAAAAGCTGAACTGTAAATAAACAAGCATATCAAGGGATAGTGTTGTCAGACCCATACTCAGTCGAAACAGTTTTTATTTAAAGACAAAAAGATGTTGTCTGAGGTGTTGCTTCTTTTTAAATATGGGGTCTGAATTTTTGTGACGATGTGTGACAGTGGGGAGGGGGACGTGAAAAATAAGAGAAATTTCAAACGTGACACTATTTATGCAGTAGGGTGGGCGGTGGGGGGGGGGGGGGAGAGATAAAAATTGTCAAACAAACGTGACGTCTTTATGGATGACCCCGAAACTCACAGTTATCCAAAGATAACGGGTAGTCTAGTAAATCATTATAAACAAATGCAAACAAAAGTAAAACTTTCAGCATATTTTATGTTAACGTTAAACTCGTACCTACAACAGCGACCGAGGCCACACCTGGACACTTCTGAATCCTCTCCTCCAACCACTGGGGGTAAACGATACACGGTCCACTCACGATGACATCAGAGGTCCTGCCTATGACTGGGGGTAAACGATACACGGTCCACTCACGGCTGGGGGTAAACGATACACGGTCCACTCACGATGACATCAGAGGTTCTGCCTATGACTGGGGGTAAACGATACACGGTCCACTCACGATGACATCAGAGGTCCTGCCTATGACTGGGGGTAAACGATACACGGTCCACTCACGATGACATCAGAGGTTCTGCCTATGACTGGGGGTAAACGATACACGGTCCACTCACGATGACATCAGAGGTCCTGCCTATGACTGGGGGTAAACGATACACGGTCCACTCACGATGACATCAGAGGTCCTGCCTACGACGTGGATACCTCCAGTCTCACTGATGGAAATATAAAGCTGCTTAAGTACTCGGACCTATCACACACACACACACAAACACACACATATACATACATACATACTCATCGATATACATACACAAACACACACACAAAGAAAGATCGAGAAACAAATTGCACACTCAATGGACACAACTATAATATATGTAATACAATCGACGGTTTAACTGACAAGACAACGACAACGTGACAATAACTAACAATAGGTATGTCCGTAGTCTACGCATGATTAACAAAAGCACTCTGCCGAAATTACCTGCGCGTACTGGTGTTTGTGTTATAAAACTAATTATGACTGCATTAAGCAACTGCAGACAAATTATTCAGGACAATGTATCTCTTAACTAAATTGCTCAGAAAAAATGTAACAACTATTTAAGACAAAAACTTCAAGAACTCACAATATTTCATGGTTTTGATATTTTGAAGTTTAGCAGACTTTATTTAAAACTTGAAGCATAGATTATATACATTGTTTCTATCGAAACAGTAGCATGGTGCATACTAATTTAAAAAAAAAGGTTCATAAACTAACATGTGTTCAACCTACTCAACATATCCCATATCGCAAGAGAAAAACCAGCCGTCTTCTGTGAAAGCCTCACTCGTGGCTTCCTCCACATTCATGTACTGACGAAGCACTGTTCCACCTAAAGGAACACAAAATTCTTTTGAACGTAGATTTTTGCAATGTTTCGATTTGGCGCCACCCCCTAAATGCTGTCACCTGGTGCGTTGCGCACTGCGCCACCGCCCTGGTTTCAAGACTTTACCGTGACTTAAACAATAATCACCACTAAACTTGTTAAAATTTATTCCTAACCCGATTACAATTTCTAACAGAAATTCAAATTTTATTTCTGACCTTTACATGTATACAGGAGGAACATATTTGTATCGGTATGTATGTATTTAATTATAATTTATATTTTTAGCTCAACCTTTGAGCAACAACTGCCCGACTTTGTTTGGTCCTTCCACCTCCAGCTTTGTCTTCTCGTCAATAATCTTCATCTGGACACCATTCAGTAGACGGTGACCAATGTAGGAGTCTTTTACAGTGTCCTGGGCACAGTGAACGAAGATTTAAACAAGGTAAACTTGACATAGAAATGCTACAGTAGCTATCATTTCAAATTGGTCCAAGCCTGGAGAATGCTTTAAAACAAAACAACAACCAGATACAGATAAAGGACATAATACGTTAATCAAGCTATTGTCTTGAAGAATTTTGGGGGCGTCAATAAAATCATCACACAGGGGTGCTGTGGAGAGAGTAATCGGGAAGTGGGGATGTTTGAAAGGTTGAACCTATTTACGTTGTAGTGGAGAAGTTAAGAAAAGTTTCCTAGATCAAGTTTTTGAATGTACTAAGAACATAATGAAGTGCTGCTAAAGTACGTTATACATAATATGTTTATTTAACAGTTATTTTAGAGATGGAGATTCGATTCAAAAGGAAGAAAGTATACTTCAATAGACATGAGGACCATTATGTAAATACATTTTCATTAGTTTTAAGGGTTAAATTTCCGTCGAATATTGATTTGTCTTCTCCCGTCTAAATACAGCAGATCAAATCTCCCGTAAATTTTCTCGAATATTCTTATATACAACAACGGGGGATGACAACTCGGGATATAGACATGATTTTAATCCATTTTTAATTACTTAAACGTTTAAAAATAGAATCTCAAAGAAAAAAGAATTGCGTACCAAGTGAACGCAAACAATGTGTGTATAATAGTGCGGAATATTAGTAAATTTAGGTGCTTTTTTAAAAAATCGGAAATAGCGTAAAGTACTGCTTCTCGTCAACGGAAATTACTCATTTAGCTATCTGAAACAGAAAACAAGAAGTAGGCTTTTGAAAAAAAAGTAGAAAAAGTTTCACTTCCGGTTACTGGAAATCACTGAAAAGTTGACACAGAACTACACATTCGATGTAATACTTGTATGTGAGATTTCATCAACTTAGCTGTAAGGGTACTCAAGTTATCGTGTTCTCTGACATACACATACACACGTTCATACACACACACACACACAGACATATGGACAAAATTGCAAAACTATGTTTTTTTTCTGTCTCATGGAGGATTACAATACTTCATCTATACTTCGTATACGAGAAAATAAAAACAGCTAATCCAAAACTTGAATGAACCAAGACTAAGAAAATACAAACGAAACCTTGTTCTCTCTTGTGATCAGACCACAGACAACGAGTCCAGCGTCAGTTGATCCGTACAGCGTCAAAAACTCTTCACAGATTATATCCACAAGACTAAATATGTTCTGTTAAGTAAACAATATTGCTGTATATATAGATATATTTTTAAATATATATATATATATATATATATATATATATATATATATATATATATATATATATATATATATATATATATAAGTGAGAGTATCAATCGTTTTCGAAAAATGCCGTGTCTCGTCCTACCTGTTTTAAAGGTTGAGCTCCAACCACCACTGTTTTGATTCGTCTTGTTATTAAACCGTTATCGAAACCCTGTTAAAAAAAAATCGGATTTAATGACTGGCAATACGTGGTATTATATATCTTACCAACGCAGTTTAAGAACAACCTAACTACAAGACTATAGACCATTTCTTTTAACGATGTAATTATAAAATTCGGTTTCACATTGCATTTTTACTTTCTCGTATATACGAAGTATAGAGAAAGTTGTAATCGTGCAAAAAAAAAATCGAGATTTTTACAAATCTCGACGTTTTACACCTCACTGATACGGAAAAACATAATTTTTGCAATCTTGTCCGTGTGTCTGTGTGTGTGTGTGTGTGTGTGTGTGTGCGCGTGTGTGTCTGTGTGTGTGTCTGTCTGTCTGTCTGTTTGTGTGTAAACAAGATAACTTGAGTACCGTTACAGCTAGGTTGATGAAATTTCATATATAAGTATTTTATCAAAATCGTAGGTCCGTATCAACTTTTGAGCGATTTCCGATAACCGGTTTATTTATTTTAGATGTTTTGTAGAACAGACAAGATATGACGTAGTATTAATGAGATTTAACAAAAGATTATCAGTATTTTAAAAGATACACAGATATAAGTTTTGGGATTGTACTAAGTAATATTGGATGACCTGTTTGATGAGTAAAATTTCCGCAGGAATTAGAAAAGCAGACGTTGCTCCTTCATCGCAGGCGAAATTCCAGATATCGCATAAGTTTATTTTGACGGAATCGTCTTTGAACTCTTGCAGTATAGCAGCGGCGCCAGACCCGAGATAGTAAATTGGGAACCCTGCAAGCCATTCCAGGTCTCTGTTGTTGAGAACAACGGCGTCATCCTTATGGATTGCGTCTACGATAGCTAAACATTCCCTGAAATACGATGAAGTCTTGTAAGATATTTATACTATACAGCTTTACTAACTTATTTGCATGTAAAGGCCAGGTTAACTCTCAATGTATTTCTGATAATGACAACTACTTGGATAAATACACGAGACGCCTTTCACTTATGCTTACGGATATTGCTTAAAAAAGATATGACAAAAATCATCTTTGATACTCTTATAGCTGTACTTCTGACATTATAACTGCAACAGATTAGAAGTTTCTTTTAGCATATACAGTGTTTCATTTATTCAACTTCGGGTTATTTCCATATAATTGTATTATGTTGCATAAAGTTATGTATTGTTTTATAGTCTAACAGACCATTGGAAGATTGCGCATTGGAAATCCAAGCACAAAGACTGGGCGGTAAGTTGAGAAGAGCCAGATGCTGTCTTTGTATCAGCCCCCCTCTCACAGCACAGCTGGTAGTCCTCAGGGACAGAATAGCGATACGTATAAACTACTATAATCGTACTTTTGAGAGAACTTTAGTTAACACCCCCTCTCCTCTCTCTCTTATACGGACATATAAAAGCCAAGCAATTCTTATAAGCCAGATAGGCTACAACAGGATGAAGAATCGACCAATTATTTTATTCCTGTTGCGAAACGCCGGACTTGTGGTTTGTATACAATGAACAGCCTAAACACTACAGCCGTGGTGCAGAGCTCTTGACTTTCGGGTTAGCAAGCGCGCGTGCTGCAGTTATACCACATACGTACTCTAATTGAAGCATTTACCTATGGGTTCTAGGCACCATCTTTGAGTAGCTGGTGCTACCGGAAGTCAGGAAAATGTAAACCTCGTCATCAGCATTGACAGGAGCGACGTAGAAGTCTTCAACCTCTAGACTGGAAAGGAAAGCTGTGTGGTCTTTGTGGCTGTTCAGCTCGTACACGATCAGCTGTTTCAGGCACGGTGCTTGGTCACAATTTACTGGGATTATTGTCTCCAAACTACGTTCATACAATGCCGGGTGCAAAGAAAGAGCAAATGTATTGAAGAAGTCAAATGTGATACGGCGAATGACTTCAATTGTTATAACTATAAAATAACACAGTGAAAGATTCCAAGGTGCTCAATGCAAATCAGATCAAATTTCAACTCCACGAATCGTGTTGAAAAGAAGAGGTTTATGTCAAGATGCCAGCCTTTTACATTTTATTAAGGACTAGCGTACCCGTCCCCGCGCGTTGCCGCGGGAATAAAAGAAAGTCTGAAGAAATATATAAGAAGTGTTTCATTAATGCGTTACCAAACCTATATTATTAGACGCGTGATCTTGTTTTCTAAAAATGACTTATTTAAATGTTAACAATGCTTGCGCTTGGATCATAAATTCGGGACACGGGTTTACCTACACTACCGCTTGAAAACCTTGAGTGTATGTTAATCACGCACCGAAATAATGAGATAGAACACACTTCGCTGACCGGCCATGTGTCATTGACGTAGAGGGGCAGTTTCGGGAGTCCCCCGATTACACTACCGCAGAGGCGCAGCGTACGGCCCCTGGCTACTTAAATCTAACATAGGCGCAATAGTGCTCACAGGATAACATAGCATCCTGAAACAATGATGCAGATTGCGTCCTTCGATAAAGTTACACAAATCAACAGGAGCCGTTGGGGCCCGAAATTGAAATTTTTGTTCGCAGCCAAAGCGCACCCTACCAAGGCGCCGGCAGGCACGCCTTATTCAATTGAGAGACTACTATACCACATCGTCTCTTTTGTCTATCACACTATTTAGAACGAATGTAGTCGCCACAGCACTCACGGGAAAGACTAGGGCGCCAAATAACATCCCGCCGGGGGCCGCCCGTGCAAAGTTATATCCCCCTCCAGAAACCTAATCGGGAGTATTCATCAACTCCCTAAAGTTTTATTGCCCTCGGATAAACGGTGTCGAACCGCAATAGACTTTTATTTTTATATACCGTATATAAAGAAAAAACGCACCCTCCCGTGGCGCCGTCCTTGCGAAATAAAAAAAAAAGATTTTTTTTACACAAACCTCACATTGAGTGTTCTAATCAACTCCCCAAAGTTTGATGGCGATCGGTTGAACGGTGTCTAATCTCAATCGACGTTTGTTTTCATATTTCGTATATAGAGATAAATCGCACCCTCTCGGGGCGCCGCACTTGCGAAATTAAGAACATTTTATTAGAACCCTTCCCTGGAGTGTTCTAATCAACTCCGTAAAGTTTCATGGCGATCAGATGAACGGTGTCAAACCGCAATCGACTTTTATTTTTTATATACCTTATATATAGAAAAAAAAACAAATTGCGTATGTGTGTCTGTGAACACAATAACTTGATTACTGTTACAGCTAGGTTGATGAAATTTCACATATAAGTATTACATAAAATTTGTAGTTCTGTTTCAACTTTTCAGCTATTTACGGTAACCGGAATTGGAACTTATTTTTGCTTTCGGTTTTTCAAAAGCCAATAATTAGAGTACTGTTTTAGATATATAAATGAAATTTCATGTATAAGTAAACCATCTAATTCTCTGTTTCCTCTCAAATTGTGAGTATTAACAGAAATTGTACTTTACGCTATTTCCGATGTTTGAAAAAATATTGCAAATATTGAAGAGGTTAACTAAGTTTCGACGCTATTTGTTTCCATAATATAATAGGTAATATCTAATAATTACTTTTTCACGTAGTTAACCTCTTTTGCACACGTAGATAAAAAATGTAAAAAAAAAAACTCTTTAATTCTACAAACCTCTCTTGTTTGTATTGATTAGCATCCTTAAACTCAAACTTACCTCAAAGTGGTTTGAGCTGCTCCCATCTTCAAAAACTTTTGAAGAAAAACGAACTCAGGTCTTTTCCAAGACGTTAGGATCGTCTGGCATTGTGAGGTATTCAGGACTCTAAAAATATCTTGACCGTCAGCTAAAATAGTCTGGTGTTAAAAACAATTTAAGTGCGCTATGCGTTGAAAAATCTACAAACCAATAACAGATTAGATCCTACAGAAACAGCCTTAGCACCACCCATAAGTCTGTACGGCACCAGTCGACAAATTTGACATCTCAATAATATCAATAAACATCAAGTAAGGACCTCATCACCTGTTTACACCACCCGTAGGATACAACTTTATCACCCATAAGACACCATTTTACCATCCGTAGGATACAACTTTATCACCTATAAGACACCACTTCACCACCCGTAGGATACAACTTTATCACCCATAAGACACCATTTTACCACCCGTAGGATATAACTTTATCACCCATAAGACACCACTTCACCACCCGTAGGATACAACATTATCACCCATAAGACACCACTTCACCACCCGTAGGATACAACTTTATCACCCATAAGACACCACTTCACCACCCGTAGGATACAACTTTATCACCCATAAGACACCACTTCACCACCCGTAGGATACAACTTTATCACCCATAAGACACCACTTCACCACCCGTAGGATACAACTTTATCACCCATAAGACACCACTTCACCACCCGTAGGATACAACTTTATCACCCATAAGACACCACTTCACCACCCGTAGGATACAACTTTATCACCCATAAGACACCACTTCACCACCCGTAGGATACAACTTTATCACCCATAAGACACCACTTCACCACCCGTAGGATACAACTTTATCACCCATAAGACACCACTTCACCACCCGTAGGATACAACTTTATCACCCATAAGACACCACTTCACCACCCGTAGGATACAACTTTATCACCCATTAGACACCATTTTACCACTGCATCACACAACTTACCACCCCATTGACAACAACGCCGCCAGCAGCTATGACGCCAAAGTTCGTGATCAATTTTGTCCTGGAGGTTTTGATCAAGGAGCACACTACATCACCATTCTGTAGACAGTAGGATGAGTGGTGAGTTTACCAATGGGAGAGGACGGATTTCGTACATAGATACGTCCTGCATATTAGACACACGTCATCCACATGTCATACACCTCAGACATATGTCATACACATGTCACACTTATCATACACAACTCATATACATAGGACACATGTCATACATACGTCATACACATTAGAGCAATGTCATACACACATTTCACGTCATGCTAATGTCATACAGACGTTAGACACACGACAGACACTCCAGTACCAGTTTAAACAGAAGTTATGACACGTATTTCATAATTTTATTCAATAACATTAATGTTTACTAGAAATCCTAATCAACTACTTTAGAGTATAACAGTAGTTTGACGAAATTGTACAACGCCCCATCAATGCGACTCTACCTTAATACCAAAACGTCTTAAACGGGAAGCGTAGCGCCCACACAAGTCCCACAACTGATGTCTTGACAATGGCAGTCTCGCTAGATCATCGCTCACAAAAATATACCCATCTTTTGTGGGATCTTTTTCAGCCAAACACTGAAACCGTTTCATGAGCGTGTCGTTTTTGATTTCATAGGCCATTTTCTTGTTTCTAGATACATTTTTAAAAGAATAAACGAAGTCAAAAGATTTGTTTAGTACTTGGCACATTTACGAACATTTTGTTTACTAATTGAACTAGTACAGCTTCTTCTGTAGACAGTTTAACAAATACAAGATGTACATTTCAGTTTCTGTCGTTGGGGCTACACTAGCGGCGTGTAGCTCTCTACCTCGGCTTATGAAAAGCCGTTGGCATCAAACTTTTCTAGCGCAAATGTGTCCAGCTGATTTGAAGTTTTGATTTTTGTAAAGTTTTACATTTTACCCTAGTTACACCACAGTACCCTACGTATTAACCCGTATTTGACAACTAGATCACACCGTCGGTCAAATTCATAAAATGTTCTGTCAGTATTTTCTTTTTATCTAGTGATCTAAAACATGTGTTTCATTAACTTCATGACATGAACTTCTTCTTCTTAATCGTTCTTAATTTTAATGTTGGGATGGATCGAGCCTTATTTGCCAGAGGGTTTGAACTCGAGACTTTTTTCGAATTTATCAACCATGAACTTTTGCCGACTCGACCATGCTTCCATCACAATTAAGGATTACGTGTCAACTGGTTATGCGCCATTGACTCCGATTTCAGCCTGCTTTTCTTTTTGGATTTGCTTCCATAGCCTTTGTCCAACCAAGAACAAACTACAAGGCAGCAGTTGTTTGATTTTGGAGTTATCTCTCCTAGAAGAGTGGCTGTCCCCGGCTAACGAGCCTCATCTGCCCGATGGTTCGAACTCGAGACTTTTTCGGTTTAGCAACCATGAGCTTTACCGACTCGACCACGTCGACCCCTATAACATGAACGAAATATACGTTATCTGTAAGAGGCCAAGCAACAAATCTTGTCTACCTACCTTATGAAATTACGTGGCTGAAGTCTGAGATCAGACCGCTGTATCACACGTTTATATTTATACCTTCTAGTGTAGTTCATGTTGCAGATCTAAAAATTTTTTTTTATCTATAGCTTTACAGCTTGGATGGAGAAGTTAGGTCCATCAAGCGTGTACGATTATGCAGACACAAAAATTAGGCAGTTAAACATATCTTTTTAAATGATAAAATAAAAACTGAAAATGTCACCACGCCTGAATGGACGAGGTCAAAGTGTATTCAGTGTAGTTGCAGTTACTGCACTGCACTCAGATTCAAGCCGGTTGTTGCAAGTGCTTTTCCCTACAAACCCAGTTTAAAGTAATGTAAAACTCACGTCAACAGAAGGCACATAACTATACACACTTAGAATAGCTGGACAATGGGCTCACTTCTCTCTCTCTCTCTCTCTCTCTCTCTCTCTCTCTCTCTCTCTATCCATCTGGTCCCCCACATATTTTCCGAGTCTATGAGATCAGTATCTTCAGCAATATATGGAGAACTTAAGGATACGGACTTTTGTAGAAAAAAAAAGTTGGATTTATTAAATGTATAAATAAATTTTATTTAAAGACTGAAAATAAAAATAATGGCATATTCGAAGTTAGAAACACATCTTTAATTACGTAATTTGAGAAGTGTTTATGGTTGTGACAAGACTCTCTAGAGGACATATAAGTAGCACAAGAACTATCACTGGCAAAAAAAGAACGACGTCACATGAAACAAATAGAGAAACATCTGTATGAAACTGGTTTACTGACGTCATGAGTGAAGAGGTGGACAAGTGGAAACTTGAGCTGGAGAAGACAAGGTTCACGTTTAGATACACATCAGAGACAGCGGTTAGTTAATATACACGTAGAGGTTGAATTGAATTATAACCAGTTACTCTTACAGATGTGATCCAATGAAAAGAAGAGCATTCTAAAAATTAACTCACTGACAATATTTATCAAGCAAGATACTAGTGTGAATGCACTAGCCAGATACTCCTGACATTATAGTTGGAAAAACACAATATAACTTATAACTTTCAAAGTATAGTCACTTTAGTTCCCACCTTACAGAAACTAATTTATTTCCATTTTTACTTTCTCGTATATACGAAGTATAGAGAAAGTCTTGTAATCGTGCAAAAAAAATCGAGATTTTTGGAAATCTCGACGTTTTACACCTCACTAATACGGAAAAACATATTTTTGCAATCTTGTCCGTATGTCTATGTGTATGTGTGTCTGTGTGTCTGTAAACAAGATAACTTGAGTACCGTTACAGCTATGTTGATGAAACTTCATATATAAATATTTTATCCGTATCAACTTTTGAGCGATTTCCGATAACCGGAAGTGGAACTTTTTCTACTTTGAATTTTTCAAAAGCCTATAACTTGAGTTCTATTTCAGATAGACACATGAAATTTCACACGTAAGTAAAAGATCTAATTTTCTGCCTTATGTCAAATTTTGAGTAATTTCCGTTAACCGAAATTATTAAGTTTTGCTTTTTCCGATTTCTCAGAGAACTCATGAATTTATAAAGTAATAAAAATATTCCGCACTAAAATTATGCAATTATTTTTTCTACGAGATTTTGTTCTATTTTAAAAAGTTTAAATTTTTAAAATGGATTAAAAATCATGTCTATATCCCGAATTGCCATCACCTGTTGTTTCATATAAGAATATTCGAGAAAGTTTAGGGGAGATCACTCCCGGTTTATTTGTATCGTGCAATCAATAACGCATTAGTGTAATGTACCTTTACATGTTTATATCAACTAACTGCTGTCGTGACGTGAACCGTATCTTGTTCAGCTCAGGTTTCCACCTGTCCGCCTCTTCACTCATGACGTCAGTAGACCAGTTTATTCAATCGCTTAAATATATAAAAGCTTGTAATTATAGCTTAGTTCAAAGAGATCACATGCTGAGTTGAAACGAATGCAGTTTAATGGCGCATTGGGGTTAGCTGCTCCACTTAACACACGAAATAAACTTTCCATTAGAACTTAATAACGCTATATCAGTTTTATTGTACGAATAAAACATATACGATATTCATAACGAAAAAATTTGGCCGTCCCGGCCAGGCCCTGCACTGGCCTCTCTGAAAAACATATCTGTAAAGGTCCATGACTTGTGTGTTAAGTAATCAGAATATACCCGGCATTGTTTGGGTTTAGGAAATATATTACTTTTCGTACTAACCCTAACCACAACAAACGCAAAACCAAACAAAAAAAAACAAAAAAGCACAAACTGAACCACAAACGCATACACAAACACAAAGAAAACGCAAACACAAACAAAACAATTAAACAAAAACAAACGCAAAACAAAAACATAACCACAAACGCAAACCCATACCCAAACACAGAGAAAACACAAACGCAAAAAAGCAAACACAAATACAAATAGAAACACAACCGAAAACCTAAATGGAAACAATAACTCAAAATAATGCAAATAAACGCAAACATAAACACAAACCCAATGCAAACATAAAAGCATACTGCTCCAAATCGCACCATATTGAGGCATTGGCGGAATCGCCTGATTCAACTAAGTAAACGACTATAGTACCCCAAGTTATTTTTAGTCTTATGCACTCATTTAAATGAACGTAGGCACCATATCGCTCACAGGATAGTCCAGGGCGCCAAATTGAACCTGATTCAATTTAGTGAACGACTATAATACCCCAAGCTTATCCGCAAAAGGAAAGATAAAAGTAAACATAGAGGACATTTATGAGCTGGCTTCTAAACTATTATTGATTTTAAAAAAAATTGCGGTGCAAAGCAACGTCATCTGATGGAACCTTTGAAGCTATAAATCATAAACATAGCTCTTAAAAGAGATTGTTTCTTCGATCTTGTCTTTACAATCGAGAACGTAGTCAATTTTTACCCTGCTAAATGTACTTTTAAAACGTCTGATAAAAAAAGACGACGTTCATCATATTTGGTGCGGCAGACAAAAACGAATTCCCCTCGTGCGCAAAAAAAAAAAAAAAAAAAAGACAAAGATAATAACCTGCGGGAATTCCTGTTCCCGAATAATTTTTTTTACGTCAACTGTCTTTGATTAAAAATAATAATTAGTAAACAGTACGTTCAGTGTATAAAATAAATAAAAGGCAGTATTTAAAATACCTGCCACATTTCACATTTCACCCGCTAATTATGTAATTATTTTTTTCCTAAAAAAAAAATAAGGTAATAAAAAGTAAATCCCACTATGTAATGTTTTTCTAAAGGGAAGTAATCGTGTTTTCCTAATTGATCAAGGGAAGTGATAATTGCTAAAGAACTAAATGTAAATAATTTTCAGACCCAATTAGAATTTTTGTGAATGATGATACATTTTTAAAAAAAAATTGTTTGATGAACATGCCGACAATTATCACTATAAGTTTGAAAACTGAAAATAATTTTTTAAATCATGAATTTAGAAGATGAGCACTTTAGATGTATAACACTATGAAGATGAAGTCGATTATTTTTTATATTTATTTGTAATCCGCATACAAACATATTGAATTCAACTTTATATAATATATATATATATATATATATATATATATATATATATATATATATATATATATATATATATATATATAGTTTTATATACATTTCTATCCATAAAGTGACAATAACAAGGAGATAGAAATACACTGATACATAGGCACAATGTTAGCTACACACAGGCAGTCTGAGAGAAGTTTACGTATATGAACCCGCACATGCATAGATATATATATACACACAGACCAGTACAACTATACACCCTTCACGGGTACTCTGTCGAAGCTTTTACTTGTATATACAGGTTCAACACAAACCAAATGAACTTTCTAGAAAACATTTAACTGCAACGTTTTTTAAAGATGCTATCATTTGATCATTATTTATGTGCTTGTGCTTTTGATACTATTTTAATATATCATTTGGCCTACGACACCTCTAAGTGTATCTGGTTCTATTTCAATGCCACATCTACGTGTATGTGAACGTGAACCTTGTCTTGTCCAGCTCAGGTTTCCACTTGTCCACCTCTTCACTCATGACGTCAGTAAACCAGTTTTTCCAGTCACCTACTTCACCTGGAAATATTTATTTCCATACATAATACATACATACTCCACTGCTAAACGTGTATACCTACTCTTTCTCTCTCTCCCTATCTCTCTCTCTCCATAAAACATTTTTAGAAAAAATCCCCAAACAACTAAAAAAACATAATTAGTTCGACTAAACTTCTTACAAATAATACCCACTTGTGACATATTTATTTAATTATTAATTATTTTTCATCCTATCTTTCTGAATTGCGAAAATATATGAGAAACAATAAAAAAAATAAATCATATTATTTGTATTATATTTATCTATATCAAAATATTATCGCATAAAAAATATAACAATATATCACCACCCGCTCACTTCGTGTATTTCAGTTCATCCAGGTATAGCACCAAATGTGTGAGGGCGTAGGACTCTTATAAACACCAACAGAACTCTTTGAAGTTAGATAACAACGGACGATTTAATGCTATTACGTTATCTCATCCATCTCCAACACCAACCGTCACTGCCCACCCCAACCTTTAACTTCCCACCCCTTCCCCCCTTTATATTTATCTATATCAAAATATTATCGCATAAAAAATATAACAATATATCACCACCCGCTCACTTCGTGTATTTCAGTTCATCCAGGTATAGCACCAAATGTGTGAGGGCGTAGGACTCTCGTACACACAGCTTATAAACACCAACAGAACTCTTTGAAGTTAGATAACAACGGACGATTTAATGCTATTACGTTATCTCATCCATCTCCAACACCAACCGTCACTGCCCACCCCAACCTTTAACTTCCCACCCCTTCCCCCCTTTATTCATCCCTACACAACTCAATTTTCTCGCTAACAGCACAACCGCTGTCACTCGACCAGTCGCTTCCCTTGTTACCCTCGTTCACTCCTTACAACAACATACACGTCAACACACGCTGTCACTCGACCAGTCGCTTCCCTTATACCCTTGTACACTCCATACAACAACATATATATTAATACAATCTACCTCGCGTGTCACAACATAATACATACTCACACGCAGTGATCCGTCCCACATATACACCTTTCGAACACATTACATCACCACACCAAGAACTACCCACCTTTTCTAATGAAGAGTTCACTAGCTTTTCCTTTGTAATTTTCCTTCATGCTGTCGAACGTTGCGGCGTCTGCTATTTCTTTGATGGTCTCATTCGTCAACTTCACCTCCAGAAACGCTGCCAGTGTTCCAACAACCCCTTCAAGATTCTGTTTGAAAAAGTTAAATTCTCTCTTTCCATCCATATTTCCTAATTCTACATATTAGCTGTAGAATTTATTTCTAGAGCCATCATCAGCACACACATGTAGGATACTTACGCGCTTCATATCCTCGAAACTTATAATTAGAATAGGATGGTCCGAATTTTCCCCAATCGCCTTGTCCCATTGCTTGTGGAAATCAAGAAAACTACCGTAATCAACTGTAGATGATACGCGTATTTGATTCATTCTAGGCTATTTGTTTTTTAAATACCGAATCATATAATCAAAAGTCTTTAACGAATAAGTACAGAAAAGAAATCTTGTTAACATATACATGCATATAAGCTATACATATATGGTGTCAAAAATGCAGTTCTGAATTTGTAGATTATGCAAAAAAAAAAAAAAAAAAAAAAAAAAAAAAAAAAAAAAAACAACAAAACCCCCCCCCCCCCCCCCCAACATTATCCCCAAAATAGGCTGAATTGACTGTAATATGTATATAATTAACTATGTATAATAGTGAGTGTTATATGTATATAGGCCTATTTAGAACTAAGTATAGTTAAGCCGCACCCTGCCCTTGAAGCCATAGTTGAATCCAGTCCTTGAACTCTCCCTTGTAATAGTCGAAGACCTGGCCCAGCTTGATGTGGTGACAATAGTGGGAGACGGCCACGTCTTTAGGGTTCCTTATGGTGAAAACTATCTTACATTTATAGGTCTTGATCTGGTATGAGAAACATGACATTTTTATACATGATTTTCTAATGGTGAAAACTATCTTACATTTACAGGTCTTCATCTGCTATGAGAAACATTGATTTTTTATTTTATGTGATTTTCTAATGGTGAAAACTATCTTACATTTTGGAGGTCTTAACATGAGATAAGAAATTTAAATTTTTGCGCGCGTTTGTTGACAATATCTTTAAAAAAAAAACCCAAGAAAAAAAACAACACTTTGTTATTTCATTATTTAAATAAAAACCGTTAAGCTTAATAAAGATTCTAAAAGTCTCTTGTAAAAGCTTGATTTTCTCGGTATTACAATTTACAAAATCCAGATTGATGGCCATAGTACTGAGACTGTGGGTCTAATTCTTGAACGATGTACCTTCGAAATACGGGCATTATGGCAAAGCAAATCAAATCAGTTATAAAGAATTAAAAAATGAATCAAAATTTATCGTGGGGAGGAGCTAATAATGTCGAAGGGAGGGGGGGGGGGAGGGCTAGTATATTAACACGAACTGCTATGACATAAGTTTAAAAAGTCAACATACATCATCTGGTAGGTCACTAAACAGTCCGTGTGTGTTCAACACGCGAGGGGAGGGAAGCGATTCAACAACTTCAGGGGCGACAAGCTCGAGAAATCCTGACAGTTTACCCTGTGTGGAGTAGTCGGCCTTGCCTTGCCTTATCATGGCGATAGTCTCCCATATCCAGTGGCAGCCTGCGGGCAATCAATCCGAATTAGACAACATCACCAACACATTCTACACAACGTTAAACAAAAGCAACAACATATTCAACACAACGTTAAACAACAGCAACAACATATTCAACACAACGTTAAACAACAGCAACAACACATTCAACACAACGATAAAAAAACATCACCAACACATTCAACACAACATTAAACAACAGCAACAACACATTCAACACAACGTTAAACAACAGCAACAACAACACATTCAATCCAGCGTTAGACAACATCACCAACACATTCATCACAACATTAAACAACATCACCAACACATTCAACACAACGTTAAACAACAGCAACAACAACACATTCAATCCAGCGTTAGACAACATCACCAACACATTCATCACAACATTAAACAACAGCAACAACACATTCAACACAACGTTAAACAACATCACCAACACATTCATCACAACATGAAACAACAGCAACAGAACAGTCAACTCAACGTTAAACGACATTATTGTGAGGGCTCTTCAGAGGGGGGGGGGGGGGGAGTGATGAAGTACGAATAACCTGTTTCATTAAACCTAACTCGGTATGTTAAGATATAGTGTGAACTTAAGAGGTACACAAAATTTATGTATACTTAATAACCATGATAGCACAGGATCACACTTTATACCACTAGCTGATTACTGACTTGATACATGACCTACAACATGACCTACAACATGACCTACAACATGACCTACAACATGACCTACCACACGACACATTACACGACCTAGCACATGACCTACCACATGACCCACCACATCACTTACCTGTTTTGGGGTATCCGCACACAAAAACATCGTCCGGCCTGACCTTCGTGTTTCTGATGTTGTTGATGTGCTCCGCCCCAAACGGGGGAAACAGTCTGCCATCCGGCATGCGGGTCATGGGCAGAAGATTTCCGCCAACATCTGTAATCCCGGCGGAATCGATAAATCCCAGTTTTCGTTTCGTGACAGCCTGCGGAATATTTTATCAACTCAATATGGCGTACTGAGTGTTTAGAAAAAAAATACTTCCTCACCTACTAACAATTACGCCCGCATATTATATATATATATATATATATATATATATATATATATATATATATATATATATATATATATATATATATATATATATATATATACCAGCACTTATTACTTTACCAAAATACCAGTTACGACCTGCTGTAGGTGAAGTAGAATCCATCTTATCTTTTTCTTACCTTACCTTTACCCTGATGGGTCAACCCAGTTTACATCTGTATGTGTAACATGAATAACATTTTAACAAACTAGAGCAACAAAGTATATGATTAAGAAATTCCTTGATCAAACTCACATTCAAATTTTCCATCTCACTCCTTGATCTGACAGCAATTGCTTGAATTATTGTCGAACAAAAACTGCCGAAATCAATGGAACGTCTCAATCATATCTTTGTATCGCTTCACAGTTCACGTACTCTCTGGGTGATGTATTTCTAATTCTGGGTTTAGCTGTGGTATGTTGGTACAAGATTTTGCCATGAATTAATAATTAATGTACAGGCCACCGTTCAATAAACGTGTGATTTAGTTCTGTAAAAAAAGCTGACTAGCTCAATTAAAAATGACGTGATATATACACAACTGAAATACGCCAATTTAATGTGATTACATCGATCTGAAGAGGCTTACCATGACCAGTCATAAAGTAAACAATGGGCCTACCTTTCAACAGAAACTATCAGGTCGGGCTTTGATTAGAGAACTTTTCCACCACACCTGAGTACAGAGTCTAGATCTCGCACCTTTAGGCTACGCAAAAACCAGGAAACGAAGTGTCGTGTTGATTTAGGTCTGAGTTTGCCGAACATATCCTTTAACTCACTGAACCAAAACCACGACCATACGGCAAGAAATTTTCGGCAAACAAAACGGCAGCGAATGGTAGCGGCAAGGAGGTCATAAAAACAAGCACCAGGAGGAAACTTATTTTAACAGAACGTAAACAAAGCTCTAATTGGCTGACCTTTGACCCATCAACGTTGTAGTTCAGCTCTTGTTTACGTGGTTGGTTCAGACACGTTTTTAAAAACAATTGTAAACACATTCGTAGATAAACAAATCAGGAAAGGGAGACTATCTCCACTGATTGTTGTATCGTTCTCCAAATAGGCAACTTGTTTATGACTTGTATATTGTAAGATATAAAAAAATAGAATATTGTGTTTTTTTTGTAGTTTGAATATTTCTCTTATTGAATAAAAACCACATCAATCATCTGCTACCTTGTAGTTTGACAAGGGCTTTGGAAGCAAATCCAAAAAAAAGCAGGCTGACATCAGAGTCAACGGCTAAAAATTTGCATAACCAGTTGACACGTAGTACTTAACTGCGTTGGAGGGAAGAAGAAGAAAAGAACAATTACCATCCATATAAAGCACAGGACACACTGTCTTTTTTTTCTAGAGACTTTTCTTCGGTCTAGGGTGGGGGGGGGGGACTTGGAACTTTTGGGAGGGAGGGGGGGCGGACTTAAATTTCCGGGGGGCGAACACTAGTCAAAGTATATATTTTCTGCATAAGATTCACTTACAAAACCGAGACAGCTATTCGGCAATTAGCTGAAAACCTTCTTAGTTTTGACCACATTTTTCCCGTGTTCTAAGTGTCGGTAGTTTAGAACCGTGGGACTTCATTGACATTTCTTGAGAGTACATGAAAAATAAATGTTACCAAAACAAACGTTACCTGTTACTTGTTGTTTGTACTTTAATATTATACTTTAAAACATTCGGAAATTTAAATTTTAGATAATTTGATTTAAATTCTAAAAGCTAAGTTATGGAAATGATAAGATTATAATTTTTTCTTAGAGACTATTTTTATTGACTGTTCATTTTAAAAATATTTATCGGGTCTTAAAAAAAAATAGGGATTTAAAAATAAAAGTAATCCGATTATAATATTAGCTGTTATGACCCATTTATCTAAAAACATATTCACATTGAAATGTGTGATAAAAAGTCATACTACTAAATACGTCGATATTTTTCGATTTTGTTTCTTTGTCGTTATTAGAAAAACAAATATTGTTTAAAAAATGTTTACTGTTTCTATTTATTGATAAAACTACGAAAACTTAAAGTACCAAAAACAAATTCTAATCTAATCTAAATCCAATAGTCTTTTCGCTGCACAATCCCCCGTACCTTTAAAGTAAACATCAAAATCACCACAGTATATGAGAAGAAGTAAAATCAATAAATTTCGCTTTTATATTAGAGATTATCTTATTGAAATGCGAATTATCCAAAACCCTTAAAAAAAATTTTGTGACTATCCTCTGAAATCGATTAGATGGTTTTTTGAATGTGTCTGTGATTTAAATATTATTAAAATACTCGGGGATAAACGTAAAAATATTTTAAAGTACGTTTTACAAATTTACCATGATGGTTTTCATAAACACTACATACATCCGGGTTTTTGTTGCGTTAAATGTTTGTGCGGATTTAGCATCCACGTATTAAAAAAATTAGATTTACAAATTGCGTACAGTAAAACATTCCCTAATTATTTTTATATTGTTCAATGTCTCAGCCAGTTAGATTTTTCTCAGTGTCTGAACTATTTCTTTGGTTATTTTATTTTCAGTTGCTTGTACTACTTGTACAAAAATTGAGTCTATTGTGTTAAAGAGGTGTCTCTGAAATATGCACCTAATCTAAGGGAGCCGGACTTGTGTTGGTAAGACACTGGCCCATATGCCTTTGCCCAAAGGTCTTTTTCCAGAGTGGACGTTTACCCAACGTGTTTCAGGTATTTTCAAAGCTGACACTCAATACACACACACATATACGCCAGCAAGCAAACGTATATATATATATATATATATATATATATATATATATATATTTACCACTTTAAACATTCACACTTTGAGAAAAACATCATATATACTCAGTCATTTTAAGAGTGCTTCTTCATTATCAAACACACCGTTGATTTCAATCACACGACTATTATTTAGGACAGACTTTTAAAAATAGCATAACGAATCGTAAAAACTTTGATTATGTGTATTCCAACTTTATTGGCTTTAGAATGTTAAGAGGACAGGGCCTAACTGACGTCACTGGTAGTAGTTTGCTTCTGGGGTGGTGTCCGGCTGATCCTCATAATCCTCTGGGCGTGGCTCCCTCACACACTGGGTCGTGAGCCCACCCCACCTGTCGCCCGACCAACAGGCACACTGGCCATGGTCAGGGATGAACACAGTCTTTCCGTTAGGGATAATCAGGCCATCAATCTCGCAGTTTTCACCTTTAGATTGAACAGAAAATTGTTTTTGGGGTAAAAACAGATACACTATTACATCAAATTGATTAATGTTTTAACACAAAACGGCGCTGGGCCATGCACAGTTAACACATTTCTGTTAATTATTCAAAATTCGTGGGCCTACGTGGCTAAGCGGTAGAGCGCTAGACTGCTAACTCGAAAATCCCAAGTTCGAATCCGGGTTCAAGACAGTAGAACGTCCATGAGTTCACCCAGCTCAAATGGGGAACTTACCACGTTAGTGAAAGTAAAGGTAGCTGACCACACTATCCATTCATACGCCGAGGTCGTAGAAACATGTTAACTCTACATCACTTTCGCAATGGACCGTCAGGTTCGAAAACGGAACTTTTACGTTTTTAAAATCTTAAATTCCTTCCACGCGGTTTGATTATGGAGAAAATTGATTGCAGCCATATATTTTGACGTTCGAACGGACTCAATTCGATAAAGATTTTGTACACATCTGAGATGTACGTGTATTGTCGTGTAATGTATGACGTTTTTTCTGTGTACATGTTCTTAATACCGTTTGTGAAATTTTTATCTGTGACCATAATTCAGGGGCAGAGTGATCTAAAGATCTGCCAACACTCACAGTACTAGCCCATGTAGATATAGACGGTAGTGTTTATCAGCAGGTTTTAGATGGAAAGATCTTTTGTTTACTTTTTTTAAAGACCCTGAATAAATCAGAGGCGTAGCTACCAATTCCGACGACCAGGGCGAGTTTTTGCACCTCCCCCAATTTATATATAGTCCACGTTTGCTAAAAAACGCCTTTCAGATTGGAATGTTCTTCATTTGTCAAATATAACTTCAAACTACTTAAATTTAAAACACAAACTAATCTTTTCACTTTCGTTCAAAATATGCACTTTTAAAAGTCGGTGCCTGTATTTAAAAGATAGCCAAGTTTCGTGGGTATTTAAATCATGGTTTTTAAATTAAGTTGGTACCTCTCAGGTGGGTGATACAAGAAAATAGGAGTAGAAGTCATGAACTCGTTGTGGGCTCACGACATATTATAATGCTGCGCACAAATACATTTTTACTAATGAACATTTTTTCCTGTAAAAAATTTGGCAACGGGCTACTCATGAAAACAAAAGCTTATCGAGTGTATCTTCTGAGAAGCTAATAAAACGTGTTTTAATACTTTTTCAGTGTCTAAAGTTGCAGAAATAAAATCAAAGCTACATGTATCTTCCAAATTAAGCCAGCCTCACGCGAAAACTGAATTAAAGAACCACTGAAAAATACGCTATGTGATTTCAATTATAAGTTTTTAAGTTAAAAATAAACTGGCAGTAGAGTTTTAAAAAAATGTAGATGTTGATTGAGAAAACAAATCTAACCGTAGAAGTCCAACTTACCGTTTGGACAGCGCCTGACGTAGAAGTCCAACTTACCGTTAGGACAGCGCCTGACCGTAGAAGTGCAACTTACCGTTAGGACAGCGCCTGACCGTAGAAGTCCAACTTACCGTTTGGACAGCGCCTGACCGTAGAAGTCCAACTTACCGTTTGGACAGCGCCTGACCGTAGAAGTCCAACTCACCGTTTGGACAGCGCCTGACCGTAGAAGTCCAACTCACCGTTTGGACAGCGCCTGACCGTAGAAGTCCAACTTACCGTAAGGACAGCGCCTGACCGTAGAAGTCCAACTTACCGTTAGGACAGCGCCTGACCGTAGAAGTGCAACTTACCGTTTGGACAGCGCCTGCAGCAGCCTCTAGCGTCCGGTACACTGTCCACACACCTGGGTGCCGCACAGTCGTAAATCATGCACTGGTAGGCCCCGTCGTCACAGAAACATTCCATACAGGGGACACCCTCCCCGGGGTTTTTCAGGCCCTAAACACACACGGTGGTCAATTGTTAGCTTCATAAGCGATAGGAGTTTCTACTAAACATTTAGTCAGTTGTTAGCTTCATGGGCGATAGGAGTATCTACTAAACATTTAGTCAGTTGTTAGCTTCATGGGCGATAGGAGTATCTACTAAACATTTGGTCAGTTGTTAGCTTTATGAGCGATAGGATTATCTACTAAACATTTGGTCAGTTGCTAGCTTCATGAGCAATAGGATTATCTACTAAACATTTGGTCAATTGTTAGCTTTATGAGCGATAGGATTATCTACTAAACATTTGGTCAGTTGTACATCATGAGCGATAGGATTATCTACTAAACATTTGGTCAGTTGTACATCATGAGCGATAGGAGTATCTACTAAACATTTGGTCAATTGTTAGCTTTATGAGCGATAGGATTATCTACTAAACATTTGGTCAGTTGTACATCATGAGCGATAGGATTATCTACTAAACATTTGGTCAGTTGTTAGCTTCATAAGCGATAGGAGTATCTACTAAACAGGTTACATTTTATTATGCTAACGTTATATAAATAAATTGGTAGATTGCTGAAAAGGTACTCAAGTTATCGTGTTCACAGACATACAGAAACACAGACTTATCGAAACACAGACATATAGAAACACAGACACACAGACCCATCGACACACAGACATACAGAAACACAGACACACAGACACATTAACACAAAAACACACAGAAACACACACACACACAGACAAACCGACACATAGACATACAGAAACACAGACACACAGACATAAAGAGAAAGGTGCAAAATTAAGTTTTTTTGACGCTGGTTTTGAATTTTTTTCATGATGACAAAACTTCCTCTATACTTCGTATACCAGAAAGTAAAATAACAAACAACTACAATCTAGAATGGCTGAATGCACTATTAAATGTGTATTTCTAGTTAAAAAAAAATAAACGATTTTAATTTGCATTGCAAATAACACTGAAAACTACATCCTTAAATTAATTTGTTTACGAGCTATTTAGTCGTTAACATAATCCTCGTTTGTTATCATCTAAAATAAAAATAAAATTAATGGTTGTGACTTACTTAACTTAATCCTCTTTACTCCTTGCGGAGCTTAGTACCTCAATCATAACCATCTATTTAATTGAAAAATTTCAAACTAATTAAATGATGCTATGTTAACGTCATTTAAAAAGTAAAAGCACATCAAAAGATAAATGCAAATTAGTTTACCTCACAGTTGATGTTCTTTGGCGTTGTGGTAGGTGCCAATGTGGTTGTTGTTGTCGTCGTTATTGGTGCTTTTGTTGTAGGTTTCGTTGTAGTTGGCGCCTTGGTCGTAGGTTTCGTTGTAGTTGGCGCTTTTGTGGTAGGCTTTGTTGTAACGGGCGCTTTTGTGGTAGGTTTCTTTGTAGTTGGCGCTTTTGTCGTAGGCTTCTTTGTAGTTGGCGCTTTTGTGGTAGGTTTCGTTGTAGTTGGCGCTTTTGTGGTAGGTTTCGTTGTAGTTGGCGCCTTGGTGGTAGGTTTAGTTGTAGTTGTTGTTGTATTAGGCAGCACAGCAGCGAAGACATGAAGGAACAGCACCGACAACATCAGCAGCAACATCACCAGACGCAGGGTCTTCATAGTGCTGTATTAGGTCGACTACAAGTTGGTTGCTTTCAAGTTGTTGTACCACGTAGCTACACTTTGGTTGCTGTCAAGTTGATGAAACACGTCGACTGCAAGTTGGTTTCTGTCAAGCTGTACCACGTGAATACAAGATGGTTCCTGTCAAATTGTTGTACTAAGTCGACTACAACTTGGTTGACTGTCACATTCAAAATGTCACACTGAGAAAGTAAAGTCTGAGTATTCGTGTTGTTTGCTTTTTATAAAGGAAAATCGATCAGCTTATATTGATTTTCGGATTATGAAAACTAAGGTTTTTGATACATAGAATTAAATAGGATGGATTTAGAACGTTAGTGAATGCAGATGTCAGCCATCTTGGGAAGATTTTAAACTGCTAGAGGCTATCAAAAGCTTTAGATCTTTTACAGGATTTCCTCCTTTGATAGATAGTGTTTTCTAGTTTAGCGTTTGCATGTTATTTTTTAAGTGTAGTCTAGTTTTGAGATTGGAGGTGGGTTGTATGTGTAGTCTAGTTTAGCAATTTGTGGTGGGTTGTATGTGTAGTCTAGTTTAGCAATTTGTGGTAGGTTGTATGTGTAGTCTAGTTTAGCAATTTGTGGTGGGTTGTATGTGTAGTCTAGTTTAGCAATTTGTCATCAATTTGTTCATGCCCAAGACACACAGGACAGCTGAAATAGTCACTCAGTAAAGTCTGAGTATTCGTGTTGTTTGCTTTTTATAAAGGAAAATCGATCAGCTTATATTGATTTTCGGATTATGAAAACTAAGGTTTTTGATACATAGAATTAAATAGGATGGATTTAGAACGTTAGTGAATGCAGATGTCAGCCATCTTGGGAAGATTTTAAACTGCTAGAGGCTATCAAAAGCTTTAGATCTTTTACAGGATTTCCTCCTTTGATAGATAGTGTTTTCTAGTTTAGCGTTTGCATGTTATTTTTTAAGTGTAGTCTAGTTTTGAGATTGGAGGTGGGTTGTATGTGTAGTCTAGTTTAGCAATTTGTGGTGGGTTGTATGTGTAGTCTAGTTTAGCAATTTGTGGTAGGTTGTATGTGTAGTCTAGTTTAGCAATTTGTGGTGGGTTGTATGTGTAGTCTAGTTTAGCAATTTGTCATCAATTTGTTCATGCCCAAGACACACAGGACAGCTGAAATAGTCACTCAGTAAAGTCTGAGTATTCGTGTTGTTTGCTTTTTATAAAGGAAAATCGATCAGCTTATATTGATTTTCGGATTATGAAAACTAAGGTTTTTGATACATAGAATTAAATAGGATGGATTTAGAACGTTAGTGAATGCAGATGTCAGCCATCTTGGGAAGATTTTAAACTGCTAGAGGCTATCAAAAGCTTTAGATCTTTTACAGGATTTCCTCCTTTGATAGATAGTGTTTTCTAGTTTAGCGTTTGCATGTTATTTTTTAAGTGTAGTCTAGTTTTGAGATTGGAGGTGGGTTGTATGTGTAGTCTAGTTTAGCAATTTGTGGTGGGTTGTATGTGTAGTCTAGTTTAGCAATTTGTGGTAGGTTGTATGTGTAGTCTAGTTTAGCAATTTGTGGTGGGTTGTATGTGTAGTCTAGTTTAGCAATTTGTCATCAATTTGTTCATGCCCAAGACACACAGGACAGCTGAAATAGTCACGTGCCCATCAGAGTTTGATGTCTTCTTCTTCTTCGTTCTTAATTCTTCGTTTCTTAATTTTTTAGTGTTGGTAGGGATCGAGCCGTATCAGCCAGAAGGTTCGAACTTTTTTTTTTCGAATTTATCAACTATGAGCTTTGCCGACTCGACCATGCTCCCATCACAATTAAAGATTACGTGTCAAGCTGTAGTCTAGTTTAGCGGCTTGTAATAGATTATAGCTGTAGTCTAGTTTAGCGGCTTGTAATAGATTATAGCTGTATTCTAGTTTAGCGGCTTGTAAAAGATTATAGCTGTATTCTAGTTCAGCGGCTTGTAATAGATTATAGCTGTATTCTAGTTTAGCGGCTTGTAATAGATTATAGCTGTATTCTAGTTTAGCGGCTTGTAATAGATTATAGCTGTATTCTAGTCAAATATCAGTATGAATGCCACACTAACACCCCCCCCCCCCCCCAGCGGTAGTTCAAATTATTACGTTTTAATGAGAAAAATGTTCCCATAGGCAAATATCCGTATGAATGCCACACTAACTAAACCCCCCCCCCCCATACACAAGGATCAATATATTGTCGAAATACAATTAACTACGAACTTGCATTAATTATAATAAAAGCTAAACCATATGGTGCAAACCTGTTAATTATGATGGAAGAAAATCAATATTTTATAATTATGCGAAAAAAAAAAACCAACGTAATGACACGCAGGAGAAACGAAACAGAGCTAATCAATTAAATATACAAAACTAATCCTAAAACAATGCTTTAGTCGTGTGCAGCAACTGTCGCTTGTACTTTTATTGTCATCATAACGGTTTATAAAACGTAGCCTTCATTTAATTACTGTATATTATACCATCTCAATATTTAAAGTTCACTTTAAGTAAGTCAAGCGATGGCGGCCTAGCGGTAGAGAGCTAGACTGCTAAACTTAAGTCTCGAGCTCGAATCCAGGTTCAAGTCTGTCAACCGTCCCTTAGTCAACCCAGCTCTGATGGGGTACCCAACTCACGTTAGGGAAAGTAAAGGTGGCTGGGCATAGTGCTGACCACACTATCCCTTCATATGCCCATGTAACAGAAACAGGTGAACTCTACTTGCCCCATAGACCGTCAGGTTTGGAAGGGGAACTTGAAGTCAAATTGAATCATCTTACGAAGATGGGATTACCAACGTGTGTGTTAGTATAAAAAAGTCACACTACTGCTCAAGTCAAAGTTCACATTGCTATGATTAGTAATCACATTTTAGCAGCTGAATTTCAGAAATTAAAAACTGAACACAAAGCAGTTAATTAATTAGCAAGGCATTTGGGATTTTTATTACATAATATATCCAACACCGTTTATGAAATATTACAATATATTTTAAAGGATTTAGATTAGAACTACAAATTCCCTGGGACCCCGGAAATCCTGACATTATTGCCACGCCCCTTCCTGCTGTCTACGTGTATGTGAACGTGAACCTTGTCTTGTCCAGCTCAGATTTCCACTTGTCCACCTCTTCACTCATGACGTCAGTAAACCAGTTTTTCCAATCACCTACTTCACCTGGACAAAGAAATCATCTGTCGGAATCTTCCACAGGAAAGACAGTTATGCGATAGAAAGACATTTTGTAATACGTTATTGAAATATCCCTAGAGTGAGATCAATTAGAGCTTAACGCTATATGTCTCGACATAATTTTATTTAAAAAAAAATGGAAGTATTGACAGTAAGTTATCTCGTTCAGTATTTACTTATTGTCTTAACTACTGACCTCCAAATCACAGTTTTCATTTACATGTCAAGTCGTGGTTTCAAAATACATATTTGAATACTTGAATTCTACAATAGTTTAATTCATGCAACATAAAGTAGATGCAATTGATAAATGGCACTAAAAAAGTATTGATGCAATTAGATTTAAAATTCTAAACAAAACCTTTTCTTATAAGCACGTCAGACGGACTGCCCTTGAACTTGGCCTTCATGACGTCAAACTCAGCGGCTCTTGTGATGTCCTGGATTTGTTCCTCCGTTAAATCAACTTCCAGGAATGTGGCCAGACGACGTACAGCGCCCTCTAGGTCCTGGCGGGTTAAAGGTAAGCGTCTTACATGGTCTTCAATTAAATGTAAATAAACTTTATAATTTCTAAAATTTTGTCTAATCAATAACAATTACTGTCTAAAATTTTAATTAAATTAAATTAAAGCTACAAATTTTCTAAAACTTTTATTAGACAAAAAACATTTGACAAAAAATATGACAAAAAAATTTGACAAAAAATTTGATTAAAAATCTTACAAACCTACCTGTTTCATCTTCTCATAGCTCATGATCAGTATGGGGTGGTCTGGGAATTCCCGAATCGCTTGATCCCATTTTTGGTGAAACTCGACAAAACTTCCATATTCAACTGTGAACATATAAACAAGTAATAACAAAAGTAGATTGTTTCCATAAAATGTTAAAAAAATTATTTTTAAGAAAAAAATGGATTTGTCTGGTAAATGTAAAATATATAGGCTCTTTACGATCACACCTGCTTGGATATGACCTACCTGTTCCCTTTAACCGACTACGTCCTACAAAGAATATTTATTTCTAAAACTTTTTGCTTGGGTATGACGTACCTGTTCCATTTAACCAGAGGGGCATCCAGTCCTTGAACTGGCTGTTGTACCCACTGAACATGTCGGTCAGGTTGATGTGGTGATTGTACAGGGACACGGCCACATCTTTGGGGTTTCTGGTCGTTAAAACTATTTTATTCTTTAACGTCCTTAGCTGAATTAGAGAGGATTAAAGGGACTAGGTTGGCTGGGGCGGGCATTAGGAAAATAGGCCATCGAATAAATGAAAGTATTACCTTAGTACAAATGTCAAATTATTCGTCAAATATAATTAAGTTTGTGAATGTTAAACGGAATCCATTTTGGTCATATCGCAACACGTACAAAAACGGTAGTGCTTACATTAATCCAATGCTTAATCTTAAAACGGATATAAACGCTAATCTTATACTTAACCTAGAATTATTTCTATTTTATAAAAATAACACCCTACAATATATTATAGTCATTTTTTTAAAGAATCAATTAAACAATAATAATTATTAAATACGAGCCGACCCGCGGCGTATAATACGCCGCTATTTAGTTATTTTATTTTATTCTTTTCAGTAATTCATAATTTGTGAATTCGACAGTACCAATGCTGCCACTGAAAATATTTGCTTTAAAACACTATCAGATGGTCGTTAAGGACGATAACCCCCTCCTTTCCCCCAACCGCTACCCCCCACCCCCATGAAAGCAAACTCTTCTTAGTTACCTCCCCTAAGTTTAAAATCGTTTCAAACTACATTATCTGCCTCTAATGGCCGTCACTAAACACCATCAGATGGTCGTTAAGGACGATAACCCCCTCCTTTCCCCCAACCGCTACCCACCACCCCCATGAAAGCAAACTCTTCTTAGTTACCTCCCCTAAGTTTAAAATCGTTTCAAACTACATTATCTGCCTCTAATGGCCGTCACTAAACCCGGCTCTACGATTGTAAACATTTAGCGTGAACTACAGCTCACCAGACCATGTAGGGGTGGGGATGGTAGGGAGCGCGCTTACAGCTTGGTGCTTTCTAAGGTCTCCAAGAAGAGAATTATATATATATATATATATATATATATATATATATATATATATATATATATATATATATATATATATATATAGATAGATAGATAGATAGATAGATAGATAAGTTTGTTCTAAAAACCAAAGTTGCCGTTTTGGATAAATAAAATATCAAACCTTCAATGGTATAATACCTTCCCTCACCCCATTGTGTACTCACCTCACTCGGCAACTCTTCAAACCACGCATGCGTGTTGAGAATACGAGGCGAGGGCGTGGATTCGATGAGTTCCGGGTTAGCTAATTCCAACATGGTGACAAGTTTCCCAATGTCGGAGTATTCGGCCTTGCCCTTTAATATCATCACCATTATCTCCCATGTCCAGTGACAGCCTGAGGTCGAAACAATCACAATTGATGTATTATTGATATCTTAAATCAACTTTTTAAAATGAAGTTTCAAAAACCTGTTACGTTTACGAATTATGTCGTTATCTGATCAAGATTAACTAGGCGTTGTGGTGAATGAGCGAAGGGGGATGAATGGGGTGAATGTTGTTTATACTTTGTACCCTGTTCCGTTCGCCCTGGTAAATCCTCGTGCTGTGGGTTGTGACAGTCCGGTTTGTACCTGTTTGTTTACGTGTATATAAGGTGTGTGAGAACGTGTATGATTGCCTCAGTTCAGTCCAGTTCTTCCACAAGGTTAGTGTAGGTTAGTTCTGTACTGTTAGATATCCACTGTATCTTAGTGAGTGTACTAATTTATGTATTTATATTAGAATTGGGTTGTGTAGATAGTGCAGAGAGTACTCTTTTAGTGTTGATGATACTTTGTTATATTTAGTCTTGTTTGTTTTTGTAACCCGTTTGTGGTTGTTCGTCTTATATGTTGCGCGACGCACCCGTAAAAGTATGTCTGTGTTTCACAACAGCGTTATGTCTCGTTATTTTGTTTGTAGATAAACCATATTTTCACAAGTATTTTAAAACTGTTCCTGAACTTTTTCTTTAACATGTGTATTTTGGAATTTACCAGATTTTTAGACGCAAACACCGACCAAAAAGAAACCAAATGACGTAAGTAATGTTTTCAAATAGTACAAAATAATCAACAACATAGATTCAGCTGATTCATCTTAAACACAAATTTTGTACACTAAATCAGTTACGTTTTTAACAATGAAATTGAGATGATTTTGACATTTGATGTGCAAGGCTCTAATTTCATACAAGCATCTAAGTCTACACGTCCATACCAGTTTTAGGGTAGCCACACACAAGTATATCGTCTGCTCGAAGCTTGGTTGTCCCGATGTTGCTGACGTACTCCTCACCAAAAGGCGGGAACAGCCTCCCATTGGGCATGCGCGTCAGCGGCAAGACGTTTCCGGCACCGTCCTTGATGCCAGCCGTATCTATAAAACCGATGTGTCTCTTCACTGCGAGCTGGGAGTATCAACATATAGGAAATAACATTCAGAAAGTTCTCAACAAAGAACCTTATTTCTAACACGTACCTAACCTAATAAATACCCAGCGGAATAATTTCTAGTTATACAGTAAGGCTACAACAATCAAACTTACCGATAAGTCGTCCATGGTTCAGTCTGTCTCTTTATGTGTAACTTAATGATATTTTACACTAGAAAATGTTAAAACACTCAAGTTGGCGTTCTGTGCATTAAGCTATTTATAGTCAATTACAACTATGCAGAACAGTTGGAATTATGTTGTGAGCAATAAGCTCTATGTAAACGTTACGATCCAACATCATTCTTTTCAACTCTAGTTTTTTTTTCCTGTAGTCTAGAGGCGTTTTGTCTGTTGAACGATTGGGTGTCTCTTGTTCTAGCAAGCACATATTTAAAAGCTATATATAATTATTTAAATTGTTTACCATTTTCATCTTTTCTAAATTACAACACACGCTACAATATGAAAATATGTGATAGTGGTTGTAGCTTAACTATTAGAATAAAAATTAAATTCGATTTTTCCGAAATGATGGCTAAAACAATATGCTACAGAATACTGTAATACCTTTTTGATAACCAGCCACACCTCTGCACACGTCATACGTAATTCACGACAACATGTTTCATTGAAGTGAAAATGTCAGTTTTTTGTATAATTTGTATAATTTTCGTTTGATAGTTTCATACATTAGTTGAATAAAATATTAACCCACTAATGCCTGGATCAGACGAACGTCACATCTGCCTAGTCTGAACGCTTAGTCGGACGGTAAAGCACACATAATGATAAGCGGCCCCAGGATGTGTGTAATGTTGCTTGGACCCTTTCTAATCAAAACCTTTTTACGCTAAGCAACTAATTTTTAGAAAAAATAAAGTGGGAGTGATCTCGCTATAACTTTCTCGAATATTTTTGGATGTAGGACAAAAGGCCGACATCCAAAAGGCTGAAAAGACAAAAGGTCGACACGGACTAAAGGCCAAAAGCCAAAAGATTGCAAAAATGGATTTTTTTTTGCACGATTACAATACTTCCTCTATACTCTATGAACAAGCGTTCGTTATTTAATCAGTTGGGGTGTTGTTAATCCTGCTATCGGTAACACATAGTTTAAAGGGTAATTTACTTAGGTTTCTGGCAAATGTACGACCATTGCATCGTTCTCATGAGCGCTAAGGGTAATCTCACAAATCCATTCATCAGTTGGTCGATGCCCATCCTTCTTAGATCCCATTTGTAGAGTGTAACATTTATGATGCTATCAACACAAAAACAAGCCCTGATTATTATAATAAAACTAGTAAAATCTCGACAAGCTAAAGAAGCCCTACATTCACCAATTACAGCAAACATTTGTAATTAAACACCAATGAAATTACGGTATTGTTTTTAGATATTGTTACGTCCCTTATATTTATATATATATTATTATCTTAGTGACGTCCCTTGAGTGTGTAGTCCCTGTGTACGTCCGTCTGTTTTTTGAATGACTCATGGCTCAGACGTGTTGACAGAGACTGATCTATACACTAATAAAGTGTTAAAGTAAAATTGATGATATTAACAGAAATAGAAAAAAAAATGGTAGCTGAGGTGGTCGAATGACAGAGCGCTTGGCTGCTATCACGAAGGTCTCAAGTTCGGACCCTTAACTGTATAACGTCAAGGAATCCACCCAGCTCTGATGGGCACCTGACTTACGTTGAGTAGAGAAAAGGTGGTTTGGTATAGTGCTGACCACACTATCTCTTAATATGACGAGTTCAAGAAACATGAACTCAACTTCATCTGTCCAACATATCGTTAGGTTTAAATAGAGACTTTACTTACAAAGGAGGCTGTGGTGGTCTATGTTCGATCATGCGAAATTTATCTGAGATTAAGGGAAAATTTTCTAACTAACTAGTGGAATGTGTCTGTTTATCAGGTTTTTGATCAGTCCAATGTTAGAATACAGAGCTGTGCTAAAACGGGAGCACGAAAAATATATCAAATGGATCTATGGAAGTAGAAAGCAGAAATTGTGTGTAAAATGGCGAACATTGTGTAGAACTGGTGCAGTCGACAAACAGTGATGTATCTAATGACGTTATTTACTGTAGATTAATAAATGATAGGGTTCTATACTTATGGCTAGTGAAATCGTTTAGAAATGTTATTAAGAACATGGTACTTCAGCTAGTAATGTTGAACCGAACAAACCAACAAACCCTACCGTACTATGGTGTTAAAAATAATTTTGTAGGCAATCATGTTTTGTCATAAAAGTGGTGGTGGTGGTGGTGGGGGAGGGGGGGGGGGGAAGGAGAAGGTCAGCCAAAAAGTTAAAAGTATTGAATATAAAAATAGTTTTGTGCAGAAATAGTTTTTATTTAAAAAAAAAATTAAAACATAAAATTTTGATTTTATTACTTTTAAAACAACTTCCATTTAACATTACAACTTTTATTTAAAAGCCATTCGAAAGTTAAGTTTTAGTATCTGAGTGTATCTGGTTCTTATTCAATACCATCTCTACGTGTATGTAAACGTGAACCTTGTCTTGTCCAGCTCAGGTTTCCACTTGTCCACCTCTTCACTCATGACGTCAGTAAACCAGTTTTTCCAATCACCTACTTCACCTGGATAAAGAAACCATCTGTCAGAATCTTCCACAGGAAAGACAATTACGCGAAACAAAGACATGTTAAACATTCGTAATTGTCCCGCTAAAGACATCAATTATCACCAAGAACAATAGACCTACTTGTTGACATGATTTTATAAAAAAAAATGTAGTAATTGATTATTCAAAATTAATGATCATATTTTGTATTTAATTTATAACTGATTAATATCTCACAGTAAGCTTACTTTAAAATAAAATACTTGAATTTCTTTGTTTTTATTCTCTCGTTAGTACTTGAATCTATGCATTTTTGGGCTGAACTTTATCTTCTTTTTTTATGTATAGGAAAATGAGTAACATAGTGACCACTTTTTATGTTTGTATACCCTAGAAGCTCTTTACCTCTTATGGGTATACTAAATTTGTTACTAAATTATTATAATTTTACATATTCCATTGCATAATATACACAATTTCAAAGATTAAAGTGATTCAAGAAGTGAATTAATTGTTTCAAAACTTTTGGCAACTCTTTTCATGGCTGACGAAAAGCGTCAAAATGTGTCAATGTTGCAAGTCAACCAGTTCTATTTATCTGTTGCTCGTTTTTATTGCGTATTGATATGTAAATTTGTAAATTTCCGATGTGGTTTCACCCCAATCCACTTTGGTGGACGGAGTATTTTTTGTCACCCCCCCCATCTTTTTGTCGAGGGGCGTCAACCTATATTCATCCTAGAAAAAGCATTAAGAGGTCTAATTCTAACAGTTATCAAATTCAAGTGGAAAAATCATTACTTTTTGTAGAAAATAATTAAATTTGGTGTCACCCCCATCCGAATAATCGATTAACAAATCAGTTATTACAATGCTCAACAAAAGCTTTTTACTAAGGCAAATGTTACAACGTTTAGTTAGTTTCACCCCGCACCCCCGTGATAGCTTTAAACTGTGCACAGATAATACTAACGATGTTTATCTATAATAGGTTATTAATTTGGCTGGATGTGGCATTGTTTTCTCTATGGTGTCACCCCCTCCCCCCACCCACTTTGTCGGTATTTGTTAACTTGGCTCTTAGAAGATTATTCAACTGTCATTAATCATTCATTTAACTGGAACGATCATGGTTTTTCTCTATATATTTTGCTATTTTTTTGCCTTGGTGTCACCTCCCTAAATGGTGTCAACCGGTGCGGTCCCCCATCGCGACGCCTCTGTTTAAAGTAACTTTACTAAATTAAATGTAAAGTTTTCTGTTTAAACCCATTGAAACACAATTTGAATTAAACAAACCTTTTCTGATGAGTAGCTCACACGGAGTGCCCTTGAACTTGGCCTTCATGAAATCAAACTCAGCGGCTCTTGTGATGTCCTGGATTTGTTCCTCCGTTAAATCAACTTCCAGGAATGTGGCCAGACGACGTACAGCGCCCTCTAGGTCCTGGTGGGTTGGGGTAAATTGTGTTACAGATATTTTTTATAAAACTAAAATGTAAGTTAATTCTACTTCTAAATGTTTGTCAAAATTTTTATGATAGCAATACTAAATTTGTTCAGAATGTTAATGGAAGAAATAAACACTGCATTTTTACGAACGTTTTGGTAAAAATAATAATAATACAAACATTCTAGTAAATCGACCTTTTTCATTTCCTCGTAGTTCAAGAACAGTATGGGGTGGTCTGGGAATTCCCGAATCGCGTGGTCCCATTTTTGGTGAAACTCGACAAAACTTCCGTAATCAACTTAGAGAAGAAAATTAGTTATTTACAGATACCAAAATTTTTTTTTTTTAAAGATTAAAAAAAATCCAGCCAGTATTTGAAACCCTTATTGGACAACAATAAGTAAACTGATTATTTAATATTGTTTTTAAAGCCCACAGCAAAAATTTTGTCTAATGCTACATTCTGTATTAGTTGAAAGTTCTTTTAAATAGTATTATTTCTTTACATACAGTTGGTAAATATTTGTTTAAATAAACCTTTTAAAAGTATTATTTCTTTACATACAGTTGGTAAATATTTATTTAAATAAACCTTTTAAAAGTATTATTTCTTTACAAACAGTTGGTAAATATTTATTTAAATAAACCTTTTAAAAAATGAAAACTCTATACATTGTTTGTATATATTTGTTCAATTAAATCTTTTTAAAAATATTAACTTTTTACATAAAGTGGGTAAATATTTGTTTAATAAAAATCTTTGAAAAAGTATTATTTTCTTTACATAAAGTTTGAAAATATTAAAAAAAAAAACCCATAGGGATTGTACTGTGTGTAGGGGACATACATGCATTATACATAACTTCAAATGTGCAGTAGTGGTCTCTGGTTTAGCCTAACTATTCCGTTTTTAAAATAATTATTCCTAAACGTTTGTTTTATTAGAGGCATGGTCGGATTATAGAGGGTACGACTGCTAACCCTAAAGTCTCCATTTCGGATACCAGTTTAAGTCACTAAAGTCCCTAGAACAGCCCTGACCAGCTCGGGTGGGTACCTGACTCAAGTTAGAGAAAACTCGGCTGGGCATAGCGCTGACCACACAATATGCTGAGGTCACAGAGAAACTTTACTCCACCTATGGACCATCAGCTTTGAATGGGGACTGTTAAGTTATGGTACAGAAACGAACTCTCGTGTCTTTAATACCAATTGTAACAAACATTATATTCAAACCAGTTTACACGAGAAAGCTTTTCTCATCTTTTGACGTATGGAAGCGCTCTCTTTCGTAATGAACTTAATTTAAATAGGTGGTTGCAGATAAGTGCAAATAATTAATAATTAAAGAAGAAATAATACACGAAATTTAATTTGAAGAATTTTCGAATTGATTCTTTTAAAGGAATTAATACACCCTAATAAGTATAAAAATCATTGATTTATTATGACCCACTTGTTCCTTTAATCCACAGGGGTATCCAGTCCTTGAACTGACCATCGTATCCACAGTAGATGTTCTTCATCCTGACGTGGTGGTTGTAGTGTGACACGGCAACGTCTTTGGGGTTTCTGGTCGTGAAAACTATTTTATTCTTCAATGTCTTTATCTGCAATAGAGTTGAGAATGGTGGAAAAAAAAAACACTAAGTAAGATGGAGATGGGCCAAAGAAAAGTGCTGTTAAGTATTGAACTTCAATACGAAATAAAAAATAAATTAACAAAAATCGATTTTCAAACATAGTACTATAATTCTTAAGTGAGTAAAACACTTTTTTTTGCTATTTGTTTTACCTTTAAGCTAGTGCTGTATTTTTCCTGACCCTCACCAAAGTCTTATCCCTGAACAAGATCAGGTGTTATACTTAAAAGGTATTTTAATCCTACACTTGACCATAATCATGCACATGACCCTGGCTATAAGTCTGACTCTGACTTAAACATGTCAATAACCCAAATTTATATCGACAATTCATTTTCAAGGGCCCGAAATACGTTTCAGTTTCAGAGATGTAAATAATTATTTTGCAAAGGGACGCAACTAACCACTGTTTGTATGTTAACAAGAAACCACGATTGCTGTTCCTGCATGATGAAATGTAATCATACAGTTTTACTATACACTTTGTTCATATTATAAATCCCTCCTGCTATTGTATACTCACAGCACCCGGCAACTCTTCAAACCACGCATGCGTGTTGAGAATACGAGGCGAGGGCGTGGATTCGATGACTTCTGGGCTAGCAAATTCCAACATCGTGACCTCTTTTCCTATTTCGGAGTACTCGGCCTTGCCCTTTACTATCATCACCATTATCTCCCATGTCCAGTGACAGCCTGAGGTCGAAACATTCGGACATTCTATTTAAATGGTTACATTGATACGTTTTATTATCTAAATATTTTCAAATTAATGGAAACTCTTCATGCCAATAAACCTTATGTTGTGCCTGCGCATGCTTAACTAAGAGTTTTATTTAGTTTTTTTTTGGAGAAAGGTTTAAAAACTGTTACAACATGCTTCATAATGTTTGTTTTGGTCCTCCCTAAACCAAGCAAATTAATGTAAAACTGAAAGAGTAGAGGAGGCTGGGGAAGGGTGGATATATAGGGGACCCAAAACATTAGAATCATGATTGGGGTTTAGTACACAAGAATAACAAATATTAGCGTCTATTATTGTACAGTCAGTAACCCAGGGTGTTGCAGAGAAAACAAAATAATTTGGCAACGGTTGAACCACCTTATGACCTTTTGCTGTCACGAATAGTCTAATAGTGGGTCTGATAAAACTCATTTAAATGAGTAGGGGGAGGGGGCATAGAGGTTCTTTAGAAAGCCTCATGATGTGCACAAATTGTCTTTTAAACAGTCCAATAGGTGCCCAAAAAAGCCGTCAAATTAGTCGAATAGCGAGTTAGGTATCCATACACGGTATTCATTTAAAAAGTTTTCTCGAGAGCTCCTAAGACTACTTAAAAACGTCAAACAGGGTGCCATAGAACTCTTTTGAAAAGACTCAGTGTCAATTTGAGATTTAATATTTAGTCATAAATGTAATACTACATGTATAAGAGCCAAATAGATTTTGGTGGGGGGAGTTTTTTTTCTAGTTTTACGACTGGTTCCTTGTAAGGTCATTAAATGGCTAGCCAAATAGTCTCGCCACTAAACTCAAGTTAAGTCTGCATGTACATGCCAGGTTTTGGGGTAGTCAACACAAGTATCTTGGTGTATGTACGTATGGGTAAGTTGTATGTGAATTACTTTGCTAGAGATGATGAGCTGACTCATGTGAAGTAACAGGAAAAGGTGTTGGGGTGTGTAAAGTTCCATGTGGGTCAGTTTTAAACCTCCAGAGTGCTAAAATGGGATCGTGTTAAATAGCGATCGAATGCCACTGAACTTAATAAAGATACGTTTAAACATCCATACCAGTTTTAGGGTAGCCACACACAAGTATATCGTCTGCTCGAAGCTTGGTTGTCCCGATGTTGCTGATGTACTCCTCACCAAAAGGCGGGAACAGCCTCCCATTGGGCATGCGCGTGAAGGGCACGACCTTACCGGCCCCGTCCTTTATGCCAGCCGTGTCTATAAAGCCGACGTTTCTTTTAACAGCGAGCTGGGGGTATGAAGACGTGCGTTTAAAAATAAATCCAAGTTTTTAAAAGCTGAAAAAATATAACCTGCCAGCTTACTAAAATACTTAATCTAAGAAATATAAATGCGCAGAAAGTTATCTAAAATTTATGCAATAAAACTACGTCAATGAGGCTTACCAATAAGTCGTCCATGATTGAGTCTTTTCCTTTTTTCTGGGTTGATGTTTTATCACGCTTGAAAATACGTTCAAGTCAAATTATTGACGGGTGACGTAGTGCACATAGAAAGGTGTAAAATCAGTACTTTGATGATGACGTTTTACACCACGAAACAGTTCGAGGTTTACAACTTAATGGTGATGATAGTACAAAGCCTGTTGTTTTCAACCTACTGAGATGAATAACGGAACATTTTTTTGTTTTTACACATCGAAAGGTCAGGGTCATTGCACACGGTGTTTTCAACACTCGCCCTATCTATAGTCAACAAACAAAGCCCTATCCGCGAAAATAAATACATATGCATACAGGCAGCTATGTTCCCAAATATAGGAAGTATAAGTTGATATGTTTATTTATGTTGAACCAACTATTCAAAATATTCGGTTCAGGAGATATGTTTTACCAACCTAACACGTACCTACACGCTAATAACTGAGTTAATTAACAATAACAGATGTCAACGAAAAATTTTCGTATGATTAGATAAAGCATAAAAAAAGCGTAATCAGCGAAATGCAATCATCACAAAATCCTGAAGTAGCAGTTACAGGTAGGGTTATGTTTGTGGGACAATCATTGGCGAACATTTGAAGTCGGACGAAAAGACAGTTAACCCTACAATACATGAAGTGGAGAAATTAACCGCCGCTAAACGTGTACAAGGACTAGGGCTGTTTCAGTACGTCAGTTTAACCCCAATATGCTCTAGATGTTTATTAATGTAGGCGGAACTAGGCGGTATATGGGACAGCTGAGACCCCCCCAATTTAAAATATAAAGCCCCTCCCCCCATATATATATATATATATATATATATATATATATATATATATATTCAATAAATATAAAAATATACGTTTACAATAATATCCTACCCTTCAACTCATTAACTGGAGTCACCGATGCTTTTGTTTTGTAACAAACGCTCTCAACACATGCTATTAAGAAAACACCATGACAGTCATTAATACCTTGATATTTGTATCACCTGCATTGTTACAGCTAACACCAAGCCATTAATACCACATAAATAATAGGAAACTTGTTTAAATTTCAAAACACATTGGCCCGAGACACATGACTCGGCTATAGTGTAAACACAGCTAAAACATCCATACATACGTAGAAATACTCGCTGTTTAGCACAGTAAACATTGTTTACCAAACTCCCGGCAAGTTAGACAAGCTCTCTCCACCCCCCCCCCCCCTCTCCACACATACCTTCGTTATAGTAGACATTTGATACACATCTTAAAACGTAAACACGTCTTTCTGTCTACGTTATAGCACACCCACTCCACCAGTACGTAGACCAGGCGTAGAGCAAGCTATGTCAGGTTGACCCAGCGACCCTCTCCTAACGGGTGATAACCTGGTCTTCTAAACTGGTGTTGTGGCCTAGTTGGGCCATTAAGAGTTTAACAATGAAAAGGAAGATAGTAATAGTGTCTGAGGTAGGGTTAACTGTTTTAATAGAAACTGATGTTAGTAATCTTTCTAATGACAGTAACTATGTGAAAAAAGTAATGCTATCGTCTTCTTTTAAACTATAAATTACATTGTTTTGTGGGATTTGTTAGAGTGTTAGTGTAAGCTAATCTCGAGGGTTGACGGTTTAATCTGGAAACAAAAATTGATTGTGTTACTTTGAGGGTTTACTACAAGCCGAAGGTCAGTTAGTAGGTCAGTCCATGTTGATGCTGTCTCGCATTCTCCGAGTTTAACTCGGCACATGTCGGGTGTTAAACTGTAACAACAGCCAGGACACATTCTACTTGACCTGTTAGTGCAGTCGACCGTGTCATATAGTGTAAATTCTAGCGTTAGAGACAACAATGTTACTTGACCTAGTTTAACATGTAAACGACGGGCCAATGTTGAGAGTTTATTATGGACCAAGGTCGAAGTGCGACCACGGTTGCTGAGGCACAACTGTTGTAGATGGGCTACAATGGCTAACGGATTGTTTCACAATTTCTAAGGGACAAATAGGAAGCGGAGTGGTCTAGCGGTAGAGAGCTGGTCTCAAGTCAGTAGAGGGAAAGTAAAGGCGGCTGGGCATAGTTCTGACCACACTATTTCTTCATATGCCGAGATCACAGAAACAAGTGAACTATACTTCACTTGCCCCATGGATTGTCAGGTTTGAGAAGGGAACATGGGAAAATCGTTGCACATTGACCCCTTATACTATAAGATCTCTTATGGACCACTTCAGAGGTAGACTTCTCGTCTATTGTGCTAGGGTTTGGCCTATGCTCCATGACAAATTGAGAAACTTATGATGCATTTTGCACATCCCCCCCCCCCCCCCCATCCCGCAATAAAGTCTACTATAATATTATCGGTTCCCAGAAAGAACCGCAACGGAAAAAAGCGCAACGGAAAAAAGCGCAAATCAAAAAGCGCAACGGAAATAAGCGCACACGGAAAAAAGCGCAAAGAGAAAAAAGCGCACACAGAAAAAAGCGCAAAGAGAAAAAAGCGCACACAGAAAAAAGCGCAAACAGAAAAAAGCGCAAACGGAAAAAAGCGCAAAGAGAAAAAAGCGCTCACGGAAAAAAGCGCACACAGAAAAAAGCGCAAAGAGAAAAAAGCGCAAACGGAAAAAAGCGCAAAAGTCTATTTTAGTTATATTGAGATTATTAAAGAATGTAAATAAATAGTATACACAATTCTGTAGAATAGGAACGATTGGGAGGGAGGTGACATTTAGCGCAGTAAATTTAGAGGTTAGGTAGGGTATAATAAATGGTGGGGTTAGGAAAGTTAAGGGGTCCATTCTCTAATAGGCAATCTATGTCTCTTTCGTACTTTTGTTTGAAGGGTAATGTAAACATGTAAACAAAAGGGACGCTACTCTAAATCTCACAGCAGCCCTAACAGTCATGTATAAATGTGTCATCTAGTCCATATGGTCTTTGTGCTAAATTTCTCTTTTGCACATTTTTCGTTGTGTTTTTTCTGGTTGCGCATTTTTCTGTTTCTGTTTGCGCTTTTTTCCGTTTGCGCTTTTTTCTGTGTGCGCTTTTTTCTGTTTGCGCTTTTTTTCCGTTTGCGCTTTTTTCTGTTTGCGCTTTTTTCTGTGTGCGCTTTTTTTTAGTTTGCCCTTTTTTCCGTTTGCGCTTTTTTTCTGTTTGCGCTTTTTTCCGTTTGCGCTTTTTTCCGTTTGCGCTTTTTTCCGTGTGCGCTTTTTTCTGTTTGCGCTTTTTTCCGTTTGCGCTTTTTTCTCTTTGCGCTTTTTTCCGTTTGCGCTTTTTTCTGTTTGCGCTTTTTTCTGTGTGCGCTTTTTTCTCTTTGCGCTTTTTTCTGTTTGCGCTTTTTTCTCTTTGCGCTTTTTTCCGTGTGCGCTTTTTCTCTTTGCGCTTTTTTCCGTTTGCGCTTTTTTCTGTTTGCGCTTTTTTCTGTGTGCGCTTTTTTCTCTTTGCGCTTTTTTCCGTTTGCGCTTTTTTCTCTTTGCGCTTTTTTCTGTGTGCGCTTTTTTCTCTTTGCGCTTTTTTCCGTTGCGCTTTTTTCCGTTGCGGTTCTTTCCGGCCACCAATATTATCTGACACTGATGCCCTGCCACTATTCCAACTATCTGATGTAACCAGTGTTTCTTCCAGACTTTTTTCTCCGGGGGGGGGGGGGGGAATTGAAATTTTCGGGGGGGGGGGGGGGGGGGGTAGACTTTTTTGGGGGGGGGGGGGGCGGACACTTAAAAGTAAATATTTTCTATATAAATTTCATTTCGTTCGGGGTGGGGGGGGGGTGGTGGGCGGTAGACTTTGCTCTGCCCCCCCCCCCCCCCCCCGAAGAGATGCCTGGAAGAAACTCTGGATGTAACAGTACATAATATTAGCAATACAAAAAGTCAACGAACGCTAACTAGATTTCAAACATTGTAGCTAAACATATTGTGAATTCCATCATTTATTAAGCCAATCAAGGGTACAAAAAAGTTATTTTATTTCCAATAAAATGCATATTATACTTGTTAGGCTTCAGCAATTTTATATTCAAGACTGTCCCAGCTTCCAAGTTACCTCACCTCACCATCGCCCTACGTGTATGTGAACGTGAACCTTGTCTTGTCCAGCTCAGGTTTCCACTTGTCCACCTCTTCACTCATGACGTCAGTAAACCAGTTTTTCCAGTCACCTACTACACCTGGACAAAGAAACCATTTGTCGGAATCTTCCACAGGAAAGAAAAATTACGCCAAACAAAGACATTATAAACTCATCATTGTCTAAAGGTTTTTTGCTTGCAGGTTTTAAGGAGTTAAGTATGTAACATTTTCGATAAGAGAGTTACAATCTCTTTCTGTATTATACATTGTTTTTCAATATCTAACTCTACATAGCATGAACAATATTTTTATTTTCTAAAACGACATATACATTTTCTTTAAAAATTTGCAAATGTTTTCTTAAACCTTTTCTGATGAGCACTTCAGACGGTCTGCCCTTGTACTTGGCCTTCATGACGTCAAACTCAGTGGCCTTTGCAATGTCCTGAATTAGTTGCTCCGTTAAATCAACCTCCAGGAATGTGGCCAGACGACGTACAGCGCCCTCTAGGTCCTGGTGGGATAAGTATCAAACATGTGTTCCAATAAACACATTTTCTTATTTGTATTGAGTTTTTTTTGTTAAGACAATAATAGGTTTTATCTCACTACTCACGGACTGACTACAATTATACTTAATTAATTAGACATAATTAGATACAAATTTCAGTAAATTAACCCGTTTCATCTTCTCATAGCTCATGATCAGTATGGGGTGATCTGGGAATTCCAGAATAGTTTGGTCCCATTTTTGGTGAAACTCGACAAAACTTCCGTATTCAACTGTCAAGAAATATTTAAAAAAATAATTATACAAGTAGTAAAATTAAAAATGTTACCACAATTTGAAAACTTTAAAACGCTTTTACTAATGCAAGTACTTTGTGGGTACATTATTTTTAAAATAATATTTAAAAAAAGTGGAATAATGTGAATTTTAAAATTTGGAGGATCATATAATAGTCTTATTTACAGGATAAACACTTTATCTGTGTGGATGAACTGTTACATATGTTCACTATAAGAATTGTAAAAATGTGCTGCAAAGCGTAATACCAGATAAAATAAAAGGCAAAACGTTTAGTAGCTGAACTGTGGTCTCTACCCCAGCTTAGTCTAACTAATCTGAATGTTTAGTTTGTTGGTACTGCCATTTTTTACACGGATCCTACGGTCTTATGATAGTTAGTTACTTTTGTTTACAAGGTGAAGGCACTCCATTTCACTCGAGGGCTATGTTTTCTATCATTTGTAAGCTACATGAATAGTTTACTAATTTTACGTCTAGAAAAATCGTTTCAGATTCACCTCTAAATTTTTGGTTTAAGGATACATATTCACGTTAGAAACAATCAACTATGATTGACAAAGAGCATTTATATCTAAATCTAAAAAAAAAAACATGTACTGCATACGTTTCTTAGGTATGACTTACCTGTTCCATTTAACCAGAGCGGCATCCAGTCCTTGAACTGGCTGTTGTACCCACTGAACATGTCGGTCAGGTTGATGTGGTGATTGTACAGGGACACAGCCACATCTTTGGGGTTTCTGGTCGTTAAAACTATTTTATTCTTCAACGTCCTTAGCTGGATTAGAGAGGATTAAAGTGTAGATAGAGAATGCGTTAAGTGGATTATTATGTTGAAGAGGGAAATGTAATATTCTACCACTATGGCAACATCCTTTGGGTTCCTGGTCGTTAAAAGTATTTTATTCTTTTACGTCCTTAGCTGAATTAGATAGGTGGATAGTGGCGTTAAGTAGATTATTATGGTGGAGAGGGAAATCTGACATTGAAACAGTGCCTAAATAATTTATAATTAATTAAAAAATAGTAACACAATACTATAATCATTAAGTAGATTAAGGAACGTATTCCATTTCGCGATTATGGCTAAGTTATAACTGTAATGCCGAACACATTATTCCCTTCACGCCGAGGTCACCAAAACAGTTTAACTCTACTTCATCTGCCACATGGGCTACTAGGTTAAAAAAAGTATATATCCAAACCCTAACCAAAACCATTCCTTAGCGGCGAGGTGGGCTTAAAAAGAACACGATAAGAATCTCTATTGTTCTGCCTATGTTGTTGTTAGCAAATGATTGTAGTGATAATAAATGCACAGCTAAATGAAGTAATAAATAATTGATGGTTGTTGCTGTTTTTGTCTATTCTTACAACATAATCAGTATTTGAAAACACCAACGCCATTGTGTGCTTACCTCACTCGGCAACTCCTCAAACCACGCATGCGTGTTGAGAATACGAGGCGAGGGTGTGGATTCGATAAGTTCCGGGTTAGCTAATTCCAACATCGTGACAAGTTTCCCAATATCAGAGTACTCGGCCTTGCCATTTAATATCATCACCATTATCTCCCATGTCCAGTGACAGCCTGAGGTCGAAACGACATAATAAACGTGTATAAGTATAAAAAAATCAGACTCGATGCTTTAAGACTTTAATTTAAATTCCCCCCCCCCCCTCTCTCTCTCTCTCTCTCTCTCTCTCTCTTTCTCACACACATGAGAAATAAACACAAATACGCATGCGAAGACGATATCAAATTTGCAAAAACATCGTGTCTCTTTAGTTGTTTTCATAATTAGACATGCAACAAGGAAAAACACTGTACACCAATATCGTACACAGGATATCGTAGGCTAATGAACCTTAGCTCGACGTTTTGGTTTATCTGTTTGTAAAAATAAAGTTTCCTTTTGCGAATCTGACGGCCAATGGGGTTTGTGAAGTAGTGATCACTTGTTCCTGTGAACTCTGGGACATTCTACTGACTAGGAATCGAAGACTTTCGGGTTAGCAACTAAGTTTTTCCGTGCGGGGTGGGGGTGGGGTGGGAGCGGACTAAATTTTTGAGTGGTGGGGCGGACACCAGCAAAAGTGTAAGTTTGTATATGAATTCAATCAATTTCGTTCGGGAGGGGGTAGGGGAGGCGGTAGAGATGCCTGGCAGAAACACTGGTTAGCAATCTAGCGATCAAGCGCTAGTCCACGTTTATTCTGTTATTTGAGATAAGCTTTGCTAATCTAAAATTGCAAGTAAAGAGCCACCGCCCTCCCACTTGGGTACATGAAAACAGAATAAGCTTTTTTTACAAATATAATTCAGTGGCGTTTGCTATGACGAGTATAGAGATGGTTATGTGTGGACGAAACGTACAGTCACTCTGTTATGAGGAAAATCATACACGCAATCCTAACACACACATGTGGAATATATCCTAAGTCTACACGTCCATACCAGTTTTAGGGTAGCCACACACAAGTATATCGTCTGCTCGAAGCTTGGTTGTCCCGATGTTGTTGATGTACTCCTCACCAAAAGGCGGGAACAGCCTCCCGTTGGGCATGCGTGTTAGGGGCAAGACGTTTCCGGCACCGTCCTTGACGCCAGCAGTGTCTATAAAACCGGCGTGTCTCTTTACAGCGAGCTGTGTGCATCAAGCAAAAAAGAGAAATTTTATTCTTTCATAGTTCAAACAATATAAAATATAGCGTAAACAACTTGTATCTAAATTTACATCCGTTATATACTTTATAAAACATTTGATATGTTAAATTGGCCACTGTTTCACTATCGGAGAAAGAAAAGAAACAGAAAATCAAAATCTTCTAATCTCTGAGTGCAACCGTCGCTGACCAAAGGTCAGAACTACCCACCAGAGCTGCACGTACCATTATGGTGGTTACCAATCTCAAGTGTCTCTTGATACATTAAAAAAAACACAAATCGCTGCAGCAAAATCAGGTTAATGCGCTAATTATAATGGCCACAGTTCTTTATTGCTGCAAATCTAATACACTAGTAACATATTTACAAATTGGTAAAGAGTTGTTGAAAAAAAGCGAATAAAAAAGCGAATGAAAACAGATACGTTGACCTCCGTGGGAGGACAGATCAAACAGCCGATGAGCTTAACGCTGATCTGCGTACAATTGTTTGAAAACAGGCAAATCGTTACACGAAAGTCACAAACCGAGAAGATTTGTTAAACAAATGTTCCACTATGGCACAGTGTGAGGCAAAAGAATAAAATATGTACCAGAGAGAGAGAGAGAGAGAGAGAGAGAGAGAGAGAGAGAGAGAGAGAGAGAGAGAGAGAGAGAGAGAGAGAGAGAGAGAGAGAGAGAGAGAGTGGGTTTATTTTTAAGACAGGAAGGAATGGACGAAGCTGGTCAGGACCAAACACTTTTGCCGGCTCAACCATCTACAAGACAACAGGACAGATAAAAAGCTACATACGCCACGCTTACCGAAAAGTCGTCCATGATTTTGTCTGTTTCCTTTTGTTGGGGTTAATAACAGGAAACTATGTTGACAGGAAACTAAGTTGACATAAAAAAGTTCAGTCATACACTTCTGCACATAAACGCCGTTACAGAACAAAACATACCAGGTACTAGGTTGGATAAAAAACAACTGGGCCTTTCTATATATCCGCGAACCTTATATACGATTTGTTTTCTTAAGTCTGAAGGTCAAGGTCGTGTCGTGTTTAATCAATTGTGTGCGTCTTGTGTTTTATCAACAACCAACTTTCTATTCAAAAGTTTAAAACAATTCGAAAACCTGTTTAGTTTTTTCTGTTAAGCCTAAGCGTGAGCTACTTTTTGAATAATTGATACGCATAAAAACACGGTTCATTGAGAACAAAGATTTTCAAATGAACCATACAAGATAATCAAGTAGTGGACTCAGTAAAGTAATGCTAAGCTCCCATGTTCAGACCTAACGTTCCATAGGTCAGATGAAGTTAAGCTCATAGGTCTCTTGACCTCGGTATACATAAGGATGATTTGGTCAGCATTAATCTCAGCCGGCTTTACTTTCCCCGCCGTGGGTGAAGTACCCATCAGAGCTGGGTGGACCCTAACCCTAGCAGAAGTGGACTGGAAAGGTACATTTCTTCTGAAGCCTCGATGAGAGCCTGGTGATGGCAGATTTGGATGAAAGGGTCGCCATCTGAACCGATCCAATGGTGATCCAGCTAATTAAAATTGTCCTACTCAAGCTTTTTAGATGTGGTAATACTTTGGGGGGGGGGGGGGGGGGGGGCTCAATGTCTCTTTAAAACACTGTTCATACTTTATGTATTTTACGCACTAAATAAAGATCACTATCATTGCAATAATATGGACTTATTAAAAATTTTCAGGTTTTGTGATTGAAAGTTTTCGTCTCGAAACATTTAGTTTTAAAACAAAACACAGGTGGCTACTAAAACAAAGCATATGACGTATTATAATTGTAGTCACTTATATTTATTAGTATTATTTCAAAACAGAATAGCTATATACATTGAAAAATTGAATAGGAGACCAGCCTTATTGAAAAATATGTTCTTTAAACACACATAAATTTAAAAAATTCCAAGCTTACAATATATTTTCATGTTTACTTATTAAAAAATAGAAAAAACCCACAACAAACGACAAACATTTTAAAAGCCATTAGAACTTTAAGATTCGGTCTTTGAGTATTTGAGTCTAATCCGCTGCTGTCTACGTGTATGTGAACGTGAACCTCGTCTTGTCCAGCTCAGGTTTCCACTTGTCCACCTCTTCACTCATGACGTCAGTAAACCAGTTTTTCCAGTCACCTACTTCACCTGGATAAAGAAACCATCTGTCGGAATCTTCCTCAAAAAGTAATGCATATATTTTTCTTAAGGAGGTAGCCTACAGAAAAAAACTTCTTAATTAAAACGTTTTATTTATTTGTGTATATATAAGTTATGATACTTAAAAGAAAATATTTGCAAACATCAGGGACTCTTTTGAAAATATGGTTGCCATGGCAACGGCGGCCATCTTGGAAAAAAACAAAATTTCAATAATTCGAAGAGTTCTAAAATTTCATAAATTAAAATATATATCGGCTATATAACCATTGATTCTTCTTTTACTAACAGTAGTAGAGTCAGCTAGCTTGTTTTTGTAACATAAAACTCTGTAGAAATATTTTTTTTGGAATTTTCCAGCAAAAAATAAATAAATCATCATTTAAAAAAAAATCATGATTGAAGTTAATAGTAAAAAACATTATTCCATCTGAACTAAAAATCCAACTTCACATTAAAAACTGAGTTATTATTTGAAATTAGTTTACCAAATATTTGGAGGATTTATTTCTGCAATTGTTTAAGCACGAAATGGATGCTGCCGCGAAAAGATGCTAAATATTTCAAATGGTGTTATAAAATTAAACGTGGTTGTATAATAAAAAAAAATTATGGTGAAGTTTTTGTCGAACTTTACTAAAGATTAGATGTATGTGGTGTTTTAGTATTTTCTGTCCTCAATTTATTACTTATAATTTTATCAAAAGATCTTATTGGCAAAATTTTTTTGGAAAAAATATTATGAATCGGGATTTACAAAAGATCGATAACGGAGTTCTTGTAGAACCAATCAATGTATTTCTTACAAAAGTGAAACTTCAGGTTATAGCTTAGGCTTGATAATTATAAATAGAAATGTAGATTAATTTAAAAAAAAAATTAAAGTTCTCTTTACAACACTAATTCTAAAATTTTTTAATTTCTGAATTATTTTCAGATCTTCTTTTACGGCCGCTTGATTGCAAAGTCATAACAAATCCCTTTTAAAAAAATCTATGTCAACAGTAACGATCGAACCCAACTGGTCAAACTCTGTCGACCCCATTAAGCGCATGACGGATTATCACCAAGGTAACACAATATAATCGGAGCATAAAACTAATCCAATAAAGGGAGCTACGGTTGTACAACTCGACTAGATTTAAAATTGGAAACACAACCTTTTCTGATGAGCACTTCACACGGAGTGCCCTTGAACTTGGCCTTCATGAAGTCAAACTCAGCCGCTCTTGTAATGTCCTGGATTTGTTCCTCCGTTAAATTAACTTCCAGGAATGTGGCCAGACGACGTACAGCGCCCTCTAGGTCCTGGTGGGTTGGGGGTGTTAATTATGTTTTAACTAAAATGTTAATTAATTTGAATTTTTGATTTTGATTGCTAAGTTCAATTAAGACACTATTAACGATTAAATCAATAAAATCTAAAAAAAAAAAGGAATATTTGCTAGGAGTAATTAAACAAACAAACAAACAAAAAACAAAACAAAAAAAAACACATACCTTTCTCATATCCTCGTAGCACATGATCAGTATGGGTTGGTTTGGGAACTGCTGAATAACTTGATCCCATTTTTGGTGATACTCAACGAAACTTCCATATTCAACTGTGAAGAAATAAAAGAAACAAATAATAATTATACAAGTAGTAAAAAAATTTAAAAAGTGGCAAAACTTATGCTTTATTTTAATGACTATAGAACTTTGTGCTCACTTCCTTGTGTACTACTATCGAAATCAAGTTTTTGACAAATCTCGACGTTTCACACCTCTCTGAGTTGGAAAAACTTAGATATGTTATTTTGTCTGTACGCTTGTATAACTGTCTGTGTATTTGTGATTGTGGCTGTGAACACGATACATTGAGTACTGTTTCAGTTATGTGGAGGAAATTTTAAATATGATTACTGTATCAAACTTGTAGTTCTGTTTTAACTTTTTGAGCGATTTCCGTTCACCGAAAGTGGTTCCTTACTCTACTCTCGGTTTCTTAAAAGCCCATAACTTGAGTATCAACTTCGTTAAGTGGACGAAATTTATTTGTATTAGATTGTATGTACAATTTTCTGTCAAAGTTTGGACGATTTTTGAAAAACGGAAATTCACTCAAATTTTCTACTGGACCGATTTCTTCTTTTTTTTATTTACAAAATAATCAGTTTCTATTATAAAACACTAATTGTTCAATCTGTTATACACACGATGATTGTGTTCATTTGGTGCACAATTCCTTTTTACTACGCGATAAAGTTCTATTTAAAAACTGTACTATACGAGAAAGTGTGCTATATTAACGATAACGAGGACCTTTGCTTGTTTTGACCTACTTTTTCCTTTAATCCACAGGGGTATCCAGTCCTTGAACTGACCATCGTATCCACTGTAGACGTTCTTCATCCTGACGTGGTGGTTGTAGTGTGACACGGCCACGTCCTTGGGGTTTCTGGTAGTTAAAACTATTTTATTCTTCAATGTCTTTATCTGCATGAAAGGAACAATGTTTGATAGTTTGATGAGGGAGATGCGGATGGTGAAATGTGTCATAGAATAATGAAATCATTACTAGTTGACAAAATTCTAATTATAGAAGAAACAACAGTAATTATCTTTACGCTTGAACTGAATACATTTTTTATCTTCCTGTTACTTTTAACCCTACCCTGGTAATAATAATATTCCCTGATCCAAAACCTAACCGATTTTTGCCCCGTCTAAACAATAATCCCAAAAGCGAAACTTTATTGTCTCGTGTGTTTAAAGGAGATCAAAATATCTCATATTGATCTAGATGCTTCATGTCTCGTTACTAAGGGAAGCAATTTATTAATTCACATTGGTAAAGAATAACAGGGTTTGTCGGTACTGTTCAATGTAATGTAAACCTACACATTTCTTTAAGAAACACGTATCAATGGTAAACGAAAAAAAAAGTCACAGGAAAAAAAAAACACAGAAAAAAAGTCACAGTTTTTGCTAGGAAAAAAAGTCACAGAAAAAAAGTCACAGTGGAAAAATTTTATCGGAAAAAAAGTCACAGAAATAAAGTCACAGAAAAAAAGTCACAAAAATCTTTTTAGAAATATTTTTACTAATTTGTTAAGAATTGTAAAATTTTGTATGTTTATTGTTGTGGGTTGTATTTTTTTATAGCATAAATTATTTATAGACGTTAAAAGCATTATGATTTATAACAATTGTAAGTAAAAATACTCTAAGATAATTTACACAACAATCTCAACTTGTTACGTATTTAGTTAAATACGCGGTAGAAAAGTTAATTATAAAAGAAATTTAGGCAAATTTTGCCGTAGGCTATTCTCTGGTCGGCCTCTCCTCAGTAGGCATTGTCCGAACATATTTTGTGTTGTTGACGTTACGCGTCAATGACAGCCTTTTAACCTTGTCGGCTTTCTGTTTTGATCCTAAGTTTTGTTATGTAATGAGCGTGATAAATGTGGGCAGTAAAGGTGGTTGAACTAAACATAACTATTGTTGCCATGAGTTGAGGGCAGCAAGTCAGATGAACTTACCATTTCACGGTAATTTAATATTGGTATTTAAAAAAAAACACGATGAAAACCGTGGACTTTGGAGCATTCTATTAAATGCTACTAATCTTAAGTTTAAAATAATTACAATCTACATACTTCATAATAAATATTTTTAGATGAATTATAAAAATTCCTATGCGTATACAGCCTACACACATTACATTACATTTAATTAATCCTAAGTTAATTTGCACTCTCTAAATATTTAATACATAAAAGTATTAACAAATATCATGCAAATATATATTTGTGACTTTTTTCCTGTGACTTTTTTTCCTGTGACTTTTTTTCCTGTGACTTTTTTTCTGTGTTTTTTTTCCTGTGTTTTTTTTTCCTGTGACTTTTTTTCCTACAATCGTATCAATTACCCTAACCCCCTTTCACCATTGTGTGCTCACCTCACTCGGCAAATCTTCAAAACACGCATGCGTGTTGAGAATACGAGGCGAGGGCGTGGATTCGATGAGTACCGGGTTAGCTAATTCCAACATGGTGACCGCTTTTCCTATGTCAGAGTACTCGGCCTTGCCCTTTAATATCATCACCATTATCTCCCATGTCCAGTGACAGCCTGAGGTCGAAGGAAATACATACTGTATTTCTATTTTTACATTAGTTTTATTACTTGCATATATTTTTAAAAAAAAGTATGGTACTATACATTTTAGCATTTTATTAATCTGAAGCCCTATTTACACTTATTTAAGAGAATACAGAATAAAGATTTCGCTTTACAAATAGAGTTCAGTGGCATATATAATGGTGTTTAAACGCATGGTCACACATCTAGAATTAGAGATTTTCTCAGGCACCTCTTTGGGAGCCCCCACCTTCCCCCCCACCCCGAAGAACGTCTACCCCTCACCCCTGGAACAAAATATAATTTATCTAGAGAAATAATCTAAGTCTACCCGTCCATACCAGTTTTAGGGTAACCACACACAAGTATATCGTCTGCTCGAAGCTTGGTTGTCCCGATGTTGCTGATGTACTCCTCACCAAAAGGCGGATAGATTTTCCCATCGGGCATGCACGTTAATGGCACGAGCTTTCCAGCGCCATCCTTAATGCCAGCCGTGTCTATAAAGCCGATGTTTCTCTTCAAGGCGATCTAGGGGTATCAAGACACGATGAGAAATTTCATGTCCTGATTCTAAATTCTAAAAAAGGAAAGCTGATTGTCTAAAAATACATCTACCTGATATAATAAGCGGAAACAATGTTGAAAACATTTAAGTAATAAAATTATTAATGAAAATTAAACATACCGTTAACTCGTCCATGATTTAGTGTTTTTCTCTCTCCTAGTTGATTTATGAAACTAGAAAATATATCGACATTCAATGGTTAAGGTAGAACTCTTTCTATATACTACGAAAACTCCAATTTGTTTACAAGTTGGTATATTTATTTATTTTTACGTTTTTTTTGTTTGTTTGATTACAGGAGAGAATTTGCACTATGTGTAGAGCTGTAAAATGCGTATTTATGTAGAGAATAATGTTCTTTTTTTACAAAACTGTTAATCATACATTTATTTAAAGACGTTAATTTATTTATTTAAATATATACATTGGTAGAAACACCACTTTAATTATAAAAGTTCAAAACAATTACTTTATTTAAAGTGACGTCACATGATTTTGTAACTTTTTAAAAATAAGCATGGCGGCCTCCATGGAAGATCATGTTGTCCATTCAAAAGTTTAACGCATTATAAAGCTAAAAGTTATGTCGGCTATGGCTTTATTGATACGTCTGTTTGCTATTTTTATTAGGTTCTAACACTACTATCAATTTTCATTAGGATACGCTGGGCAGTTCTTCTTATTTGACTTAAAAATACATTTATCTAGCCTAGATCTCTCGAGATTCTAGATATCTAAATCTACCGATAGGCCAAACCTAAATTCGATTTAGATCTAATTAGTTAGATAAAAAAAACAACACAATAAATAATGAAGTTTCTATATTAAACTATTTTAGTCCTTAAATATTTGATATAAAGCTTTGCTTTTTAGCTTCAATGATCATCTAATTCGATAATAAAAGGGATTTATCTATCTAGATCTAGACTAGAGCTACGGAAAAACTAGACTTAAGCCAGCCGTAGATTCTAGATCTAGGATCTAGATCTAGCTCTATCTAGGTCTAGAATCTATGTTAATAATGAGTTTCTATACTAAACTATTTCAGGCCTTAGTTATATTAAACTTTTGTTTGTTTATATTTTGTTTATATAAACCTTTGTTTGTTTAGCTATGGAATAGTCTAATTTGGGATAAAATTTGATTTAAAATTATAGGGCCTATTCGCGTAACTCAAGTTTTTTACACTGACTCTAGATCTAAATAAAGTACCATTAATTCTCCTTCACAAGCAATCCCAGGGAATTTTAAATATCTGACTGACACAGCCGAGTGAACACATCCCCTCATGGTTCACACAAACCTGAACCCCAACCCCACCCGAACCACTCAAAATATTTTACACGTGGCTCGCATGCTCTCACATACACATACACACGTCTTAGCCTAAGAAAATCACATTAACAGCCCAGTTAAAAGCTAAAATAGTTTAATCACATCAGAATTTTTAGTAGTTCCAACCCAAAAATAACTACACCTCACACACAACACCCCACATACAATCCCATCTAACAAATCTCACACATAGAAATTCACACCCTTGCAAGCTTTCCACCCCCTCCCCAACACACAAACTTCCCCACACACAAAAATGTTTTTATGACTTAATACACGACAGGTACTTAATACAATTTCTGATACCATTCATGGAGCGGTAAGCAACAGTAAAAAAAGGTCACCAGGTCATGTAGACTGGTTGGATCTGGTCTAAGACCCTGGTATGTTCATGTTATAGAACCTAGACGAAGCGTAAAGCTTTTCTTTTATAAGACTTCAGTACACAAAGTTCATCGTGTCTGTCGGATGAAGGGCATAGTTCGGTTGTCGGAATTTTGGTTAACAATGTTTCGGTAGTCGGAAGTTAAATCGATATTTTTTCAGTTGTGACGAGATGATTTAATAATATTTAAAACACATACCCATACACACATACACACATTCACACACATACACATACACACAAACACACACAAACACTAACTTAACACACACAGAGAATGGGCCGCTTCTTAAATTTTAGAAAGGGATATTAGTAGATAATATAGTGACCCACGTTTTTCTTTATAGTGGTACATTATGTAATATGTAAGGAAAATTATTTATTTTCTATTTTTTAAATTAATACAACAGTGCACTAAAAAGTCAATTGTAAAAAGTAGATTTGACTTCATATTTAAGTATTAAAAATAGTTTAATAAAAAAATAATTTATGACAATTAAATTATTTTTAATACTTAAATTTATTAAATATATTAGAATAGCTGACAAAAACAATTGCACACCGAATAAACACATAAATGTGCGCATAATAACGCGAAAAATTACTACTTTATATAAGGAACTAATTAATTCTTAAAATTTAATTAAGCACCAAAATTAAGTCAGATTTGCTGTAACATTGCATTGTCTGAATCCACATGCCAAGTTTGAAACGAAATGGTTCATTTAAATGTGGTCGAAATTTCGCTCGCCCATTTCGACCCATGTTTAAGCACTTAAAATAAAAGCTTGTAAAAAGCTTGCTAATAGCAATCGAGTACAGAAAAAAAAGTGGTCCTTTAATCTTTCTCGTATATTCTAAAGTAACAGTAGAGGGTTGCAATTCCAAGGCTATAGACATTTTAAAATTATTTTTTAAAATGCTTAATGTGCTTTTAAACAAAATAGAGTCGCACCGAAAAAAAGAATTGCGCAACTAATGAACGCAAACAGTGTGAGTATAATAGAGCAGACAAGTGATACTTTAAAAAGGAAATCACTAAAAATTTGAAAGAAAACAGCGAAATAGTTCACAAACCTATGCATGAAATTTCGTCTAGCTAACTGAAATAGCAATGAAGTTATTTGGTATTTTAGTGCTTTTAGAAAGTAGAAATTCAGTAAAGTACGACTTCCAGATATCGGAAAGTGATATAAGTATAAAGGCTGATACCTATGTGTACAATTTCTTCAATGTTACTGAACATGTTCACAAGTTATTGTGAGTCCACGGAAATGTAGTACCATTTTCGAATACCGTAATCGCTCAAAAGTTATCAGAAACCTGCGCGTTTAATGTAATACTTTGGCCCATCTAATTTAAACTTAACTCAAGTATTTGGCTTTTTAGAAGCCGTAAGAAGAGTAAGCACATCTGCAGGTTACCAGGTAATTGCTCAAAAGTTGATTCTGAATTACATATTTGATATCATGTTTATATATGAAATTTCATTAACATAACTGAAACGGTATTCAAGTTATTGAGTTCACAGATACACATACACACGGACAAAAGATTTTTCCGGATCCGGAAGGATGTAAAACATTACAACTTGTCAAAATCTCAATTTAGATTTTTTTTCACGATTACAACGCATCTTTTATATTACGTATACGATACAGTGGGCATGTGTAAAATGGCGAAAACTATTACATTTTTTTTTTTGCATTATTACATCAGTTTCTCTATACTCTGTATTCGAGAAAGTAAAAACATCTAGTTAGTAGCATACACAAATAAAATAATGCAGCGTTAAACTATTCTGTAATTAGCAAGTTGTTAATTGGTGTTAATTAAAAACTTGGTACCTCACTAATGCCTGTTGCTTCTAGTGTTATGTGAAAACAAAGTTGTTGGCAGCTAGTCTAGAATCCTGCGTTCATCAGCACTGCGGCGACTTATAAATCGGTTAGTCCGTTTGTCTGTCGTAACACGCTCTGTTAAATACACGTCATAGAGGTGGGGGGGGGGGGGGGGGGGGGGGGTGGGGAGGGAATGCCACATTAAATTTTTTTTATGTCCCTTTGACTTATGTTCAGTAATATTGTAAAATTAGTGATGCGATATTAGCGATCTTTGGTCTATTTTTATGTTCTACAGTTAAGTTCGATTAGTGATGTTGTTATGATTATGTTATATTGGGTATGTTATAATGGTCTGACTTGTTGAATAGTACTGGCTATGTTCCACTTGTTATGTTATACTGGTTATGATCTGTTGGCTGTACTGGTTATGTCACACCGGTTATGTCACACCAGTTATGTCACACCGGTTATGTTCTGTTGGCTTTGTTTCACTGGTTATGTTTCACTGGTTATGTTTCACAGGTTATGTTTCACTGGTTATGTTATGCTGGTTGTGTCATAATGTTGGTTATTTCATACTGGTTATGTTTCATTGTTTTTTTCACTGGTTATGTTCTACTGGCAGAGGCGTAGCGACCCTTCGCGGCGCCCGGGGACAAACTTTCGATTTGCACCCCCCCTCAAACTTTCGATTTGCACCCCCCCCCCTAAAACTTTCGATTTACACCCCCCACCTCAAACATTCTAATTGCACCCCCACCTGAAACTTCCAATTTGTTTTTCCAATCCATTTTGGCGCCCCCCCTAAGGTCGGCGCCCGGTGATATAATTATGTCCCCCCTCCGCCCTCGCTACGCCTCTGTCTACTGGTTTTTTATGGTTATTTCGCTCTATTAGTAACGGTTGACCGGTTCGTAAGCTTTATGTCATACTGGTTCTGTTTGTGGAACAAGACATTACACCCCGCGTGTTGAGAGTGGGGATCGTGCTATCGTGGGATTATACACCAGCAACGGTTCGAATGTGAACGAACACTGAGGCTGCTTTGGGGGAGATGGAAACTCTTCATTACTTTAAAAGCACAACCACAAGTCGTTCGAGTCAATCGCCCCTTGGCTTGGGGCCCCTGTGGTATATTTAGTAGGGTCAGCTAAGGGTCAACCTCAGGTGTCGACTTGGGATCAGCATACCTGGGGCTGCTAGCCATCAGTAATTCGATATCCATCGCTGGCGTCGGTTTGGATCACGTCGACCTGGGGATGTCCAGCTGGTCATTTCTAGTCTGTGGTTTGATATACAGGGGACTGATTCATTACACTGCTGTCTGTCTTTACGAGCTGAAACTACACACCTGATCAATAATTTTCTGGCGATTACCCCCCCCCCCCCCCCCCCCACTCAATTGTTGCAACTACCTATCATTATAAGTGCACTACATCTGTTAGCTGGGTGAAATGGCCGCGCCATGTATACATCTGTTTGTTTTTAGGGGAAAACAAGCTTAGAGTCTGAACATCCAAAACTGTTTGAGATATAATTGTATCTTGGAGACACAACGAATCCTTTTAAACAAAACTTACACTAAAATAAAACAACAAGTTTATTTTATTTTGGTTAATTTAATTTTTGCATTACAACATACAAAAATGTGACGATACACAAAAACCATTTTTTTACATCTGTAAACTTTAAACACTGACTTAGAAATAACAGACTTAGAATGGCCACAACCTAAACGTATCTAAACGTGAACCTCGTCTTGTCCAGCTCTGGTTTCCACTTGTCCACCTCTTCACTTAAGGCTACAGTAAACCAGTTTTTCCAGTCACCTACTTGACCTAGACATTAGATTAGTCTTAATGTTAATAATTGTTCACTTAAATTATCAAATACAATATAAATAAACCGGGAGTGATCTCCCCTAAACTTTCTCGAATATTTTTATATAAAATAACAGGGGATGGGAACTCGGGCTATAGACATTATTTTTAATCCATTTTAAATACTTAAAGTTTTAAAAATAGAATAAAATCTCGTAGACAAATTAATTGCACACCAAGTGAACGCGAAATAAAAAAGCGCATAATAGTGCGCAATATTATTAGTACTTTTAAAATTTACATTAGTTTTTTGAGAAATCGGAAGTAGCGTAAATTACTACTTCCGGTCAACGGAAATTACTCAAAATTTAACAGAAGGTAGAGAATTAGATCTTTTACTTACATGTGAAATTTCATTTATCTATCTGAAATAGTACTCAAGTTATAGGCTTTTGAAAAATTCAAAGTAGAAAAAGTACCACTTCCGGTTGTCGAAAATCGCTCAAAAGTTGATACGGATCTACGATTTTGATATAATACTTATATATGAAATTTCATCAACCTAGCTGTAATGGTACTCAAGTTATCGTGTTTACACACGGACAGACACACAGACACACACACACACAGACATACGGACAAGATTGCAAAATTATGTTTTTCCGTATCAGTGAGGTGTAAAACGTCGAGATTTGTAAAAATCTCGATTTTTTTTTTTGCACGATTACAATACTTTCTCTATACTACGTATATACGAGAAAGTAAAAAAAACAAAAAACAAAACAAACAACAACAGACTGTGAATTAATATTTTACAAGGTTTGTCCAGCATTCTCTACTACAACAGCCATATTTAACCAAAGCTGTCGTATGACAAATATTTTCATAATCTTGGCTCTTTGATGCCCAAGACACATGGGGCAGATGAAGTAGAGTTCATCTGTTTCAATGACCTCGGCATATAAGGAAGGGATAGTGGTCAGCACTATGCCCAACTACTTATGTTCCTTAACGTGGGACAGGTGCCGATCAGAGCAGGGTAGACTTAGGGACGTTGTGCTCGGGATCCTAACACGAGACTTTTGGGTTAGCAATCTAGCACTCAGCCGCCATCCACTATGACAAATAACATAATCACATATACATTTTTTCACAGTTATAACCATCTTTAATGGATGTTTGTAGCAAAAGGGTTCAAAACCACAAAACCAACAAACAAAAAAAAAAATCAAACCACGAAACCAACAAAAAAAAATCTTTAAAATAAAAAAAAAATCACAAAAACCACAAAAACATAAAACCACAGAACAACCAAATCACGTTTACCACAGCTGAACAATGACGAGCAAGACACGAGTGAGGCATGTACTCACCTTTCCTGATGAGCAGCTCACACGGTGTGCCCTTGAACTTGTCCTTCATGGAGTCGAACTGTGAGGCGCCCGTTATCTCCTGGACCTGAGCCTCGGTCAAGTCGACCTCGAGAAATTTGGCGATTTGCCGGACTGTACCCTCAAGATCCTGGGGGGGGGGGGGGGGGGGAGTTAAAAATTAAACATGGGGTTAAACATGTGGACTTCAAGGTTTTATGGAGGCAAAGTCAGGGCGAGGTGTGTGTAAGTGGGGGGGGGGATTGGGGGAAAGGGAGACGGGAGGGGAGATCGAAGCAACAGATATCCTAGGGCAGTAAAGTGTATAGCTTCGTCAGGTGGGAATCATCTAGAAATGTATCTTACAGTTTATACCCCAGTAAATAAGAGGCAGACAATAGCTCAAATTTATAATTTATGCTAAAAACAGCAAATTTTCCGCATACAATTAGCTTCGTCACTAATCTCAATCCCTATCACTCCAGGTAACCGGTTGTGACTAATAAAAATCCCCTTCCCCTCCACACCTAGGCTGTGACTTTATCTGCCCAAGGCCTGTTTAGACCGTATTGTTTCAAATCTACATATACATTATAGCTCAGTTAGGGCTATGAATGTTCAACAAAATTAGTGACATGAAAAGTTTAAAACACAAGATGTATAAGCTTAAAACAAAGTTCGCGATATAAAACCCTAAAAAAAGTTTCGTCATGAAAGGTTACAAAAGTTCTCGAGTTCTCGATATGAAAGCCCAAAACAAAGTTCATGAAATGAAAGTCTAAAACAGTTATATGAATGTCTAAAACAACTATATGAATGTCTAAACGTTTTTATGTAGTGCGAAACAAGTAAACCAATGTTTCCTACGTTTTTCATTTCCTCGTAACTCAGCACTAAAATTGGATGGTCTGGGTTTTCCTGTATAGCAGCATCCCATTTACAGTGGAACTCTAGAAAACTTCCGTATTCAACTAGGGAAGAAAGAGACAGTAGTTCAACAGTTTCAATAGGAGCCACGTATTGTATCAGTAAACATTGTTACAATAGACGCCACGTATTGTATCAGTAAACATTGTTACAATAGACGCCACACATTGCATCAGTAAACATTGTTACAATAGGAGCCACACATTGCATCAGTAAACATTGTTACAATAGGCGCCACACATTGCATCAGTAAACATTGTTAAAATAGAAACCACTCATTGTATCAGTAAACATTGTTACAATAGGAGCCACACATTGCATCAGTAAACATTGTTACAATAGGCGCCACACATTGCATCAGTAAACATTGTTAAAATAGAAACCACTCATTGCATCAGTAAACATTGTTACAATAGGAGCCACACATTGCATCAGTAAATATTGTTACAATCGGAGCCACACATTGCATCAGTAAACATTGTTACAATAGGCGCCACACATTGCATCAGTAAACATTGTTACAATCGGAGCCACACATTGCATCAGTAAACATTGTTACAATAGGCGCCACACATTGTATCAGTAAACATTGTTACAATAGGCGCCACACATTGTATCAGTAAACATTGTTACAATAGACGCTACACATTGTATCAGTAAACATTGTTACAATAGGCGCCACACATTGTATCAGTAAACATTGTTTCAATAGACGCTACACATTGTATCAGTAAACATTGTTACAATAGGTGCCACACATTGCGTCAGCAAACATTGTTTCAATAGACGCTACACATTGTATCAGTAAACATTGTTTCAATAGGCGCCACACATTGTATCAGTAAAAATTGTGTCAATAGGCGCCACACACTGTATCAGTAAATATTGTTTCAATAGGCGCCACACAATGTATCAGTAAAGATTGTTACAATAGGCGCCACACATTGCGTCAGTAAACATTGTTTCAATAGACGCTACACATTGTATCAGTAAACATTGTTACAATAGGAGCCACACATTGCATCAGTAAACATTGTTACAATAGGCGCAACACATTGTATCAGTAAACATTGTTACAATAGAGACCACACTTTGTATTAGTAAACATTGTTACAATAGGCGCCACACATTGAATCAGTAAACATTGTTACAATAGGCGCCACACATTGTATCAGTAAACATTGTTACAATAGAGACCACACTTTGCATCAGTAAACATTGTGTCAATAGGCGCAACACATTGTATCAGAATGCTGAGATTAACTCAGTACAGGAGTCTCGATTTGATCGGATCAATACAACCACAGCTGTCACGTCTTCAATGTCTAACTGCGCGGGTCAAGGTGAAAACACGTTCGATTGGCTAAATAGGCCTTTATTAAAAATGTGTGTTCCATTTCCCACTTATTCTGACCCCTTTTCCTCGCTAGTCAGGAGCAAATACCCTGTCCCTAAGACGGGTCTTAGAAGATACCACTCGGTCAGTTACAACTCTTGAACATTTACACCTTAGTACCCACAGAAAATTCATATTATACCTCGAAATATCATTCTCTATATCTAGCTCTATCCCTAACTCTATAAATATCCATATTCTTGCATGATATATTGTAACTATCAACAGTGAGGTGTGATAATGTACTGCAATTTTTGGGGTAATAGATAGGGACGTAGTGATCAAGGTGTGATGAAAAGGAATTATAATATCACTATATCTATCGCCAATTGAGTAACATTTTTTACTGTCTCTTCTTCTGACCTTAGACCAATGCTATTTCCCTCCATTCAAAGCCCTCCCCTCTTAATATTCACAGACCCCTCCCTCCATTCAAAGACCCTCTACCCTCTCAATACTCACAGACCTCTCTATAATTCAAAGTCCTCCCACCCAGAGTCTAGGACCATTTAGCGAACCTCTTGTTATTGTTTAATAGGTTCAAACTAAATGAATATTGCCAAAAAGGTAGTTCTGGGTTTCATTGATAGAGTTTTGCAAGTTACATGTATTTTCTATCCTGGTGTTTCTGAACTAAAACATACATAAGCTAACAACTATCCAGCACTTACTTGTTCCATTAATCCATAGCTGCATCCAGTCCTTGAACTGACCATCGTATCCACAGTAGATGTTCTTCATCCTGACGTGGTGGTTGTAGTGTGACACGGCCACGTCTTTGGGGTTTCTGGTCGTGAAAACTATTTTTGACCGAAACTTTTTAACCTGGAGTATAGAAAAATAAGAATTGGAGATTGGAAAAAAATGTCAATGATATTTCAAATTTTTTATAAAGTTTATTAATGGAAGTCTTAGCCGATGAACAAACTAGTACTGTGCAGTAAATATTTGTGAAGTCCAAAGTCCTTTACTAAAAATAACCAGTTTTATGAGTGGTATCTAGGAAAAAGGATACTAGTGAATTTCTACACCGAGTTTGGTTGCTTTTCAAACTATGCTGGGTATTTAGAATCCTTGGCGAGTGTATCCCTAGATCACATTAGTAATAAATGTTGTATGGTACCTTGAAAGTTCTATCTAAATGGACATTAACAACACCATTCCGCTGGCCACCAGGATCCCTATCCAGGCACACAACTACAAACAATCCCAATGTCAAGTAAAGACCATAACAAAGATGATTATATTTTGTTCTAGTTTAGTCTTCTGGCACGACTTCAAACTAAACGAGGGGGCGGGGCGTCTCAATAGTGCTGTACATATAAAATCCTATAAAACCTGATCTGAAACAACCCCGAGGGTCATTGACAACCCTTTTCTGCTAGACATTTGACAACCCATCCCAATTGTCACTGAAGACAACAGTACATTAGTAGTCGCTTTGTCCTACTTTACCCCCCCCCAACACACACACTACAGGGGACATAAATAACCACCTCTGCAATGTCCTACTCACCTCTTCCGGCAGTTCTTCAAACCAGGCGTGGGTGTTGAGGATCCTGGGGGAGGGGGAGGCCTCGATCACCTCAGGGGCAGCGAGCTCTAACATGTTTTGCATCTTTCCTATGTCAGAGTGCTCGGCCTTGCCTTTGATTATCATCTGCATTATCTCCCATGTCCAGTGGCAACCTGCACATAGTTATAAGCGAGTTTAGTCTCATGGGACAGCGTGGTCGAATGGTTGAGCGTTTAGCTGCTAGCAAGAAGGTCTACCGTTCGGATCTCGGTTCGAAATTGATGATGTAGGACATTACTAAGTCCACAAAGATCTAATGGGTACCAGACTTGTTACGGAAAGTAATTGCAACTGTGTATAGTGCCAACCACACCATCCCTTCATATTCCAAGGTCAAATAAAGATATGAATAGCACTTACATTCGCTTGGACAACAAGGTCTAAAGTAGAACTTAATCTAATAAATGTTATCCAATTATGTATTATGTATAGATTGAATGTAAAATAATGTACGCATATTTTTATTGCAACAAACATGTATCGTAATTCAACGTACCAGTCTTTGGGTAGCCGCAGACGAATACATCGTCTGGTCGTAGTTTGATCGTCTTGATATTGTTGACGTACTCTTCTCCAAAAGGCGGGAAAAGTCGTCCATTGGGCATGCGCGTTAAGGGCAGTATCTTCCCTGCTCCGTCCTTGACACCTGCTGTGTCTTGAAAACAAATTTTCCTTTTCAGGGATATCTGAACAAATAATAATACGGTGATGCACTATGTGTTAATTAAGTGTTTGTACACAATTTATATACAAAAAATTAACTCAAGTACAATTTATAGTTTACATATTTTATTGAATGCAATAACAATAGTTGTAAGGGGTCGTCCATAAATTACGTCACACTCGAAGGGGGAAGCGGGGGGGGGCGTAATTTTGTGACGGTGTGTGATGAAAAAGAGGGGGGGGGGGTGTCAGATGGTGTGACGTCGCTTTTTTTGCATAATAAAAAAGCAAAGTTAGAAAACGAGTTTCAGCCGTTATTTCGCGTTTAAGAAAACGGTTTTAATAAATTGTAATAGGAATTGATCAAAATACTCAATGTTGACAGAGTTCTGACAAGATTTTGGAAAAATACCGATGTTTTAAGAAAAATTCAACAGCAATTTTGAGGAGGGGTTGTAGGCTGAGCTGTGACGTCATTTTAGGTAGGGAGTGGCTCTGGCTTTTTGTGACGACGTATGACGGAGGGGAGAGGTAAAAATCGTAAAAAAAAAGCGTGACGTCATTTATGGATGACCCCTAAAGCTACCGAGAATAGTTAGCTAAACACACTTGTTATGGTTGCAGTTCATTTAATATTTAGCTATATATTGCAAAGTTCTTAATATTTAAAACTATAGGCTACTTACCGTGAGATCATCCATTGTTTAAATTTATATACTAATTTGTAGTAGGAGTGGATCTATGTAATGTAAATAATGAAAATTTTCACTTTGAAAGAAAGTTGGATTTGATAATGCTGTAAACAGAACGACTAGGTAAAAGCACGCACAGTGGTCGAGATTTTCCAAATCTCTGCGTACTGACTCGATAAACAAACGTGAAGCACATAAGCCACGAAAAGTAGGTCAATCCATGTTGAGCGTGCTTGGCCCTCGATGACATGGCAAGTTATTTTTTTTTAATACGTCAGATAAAATCTCGCGCTCCTGGCTAAAGGTCAGCAGACATAGATGGAATGTTAAAAAGTTAAAAACTAGAACTACAAACACGATAAGCTCTAGATTAGATTATTGCAAACGTAAGCGTAAAAAAATTATATATATATATATATATATATATATATATATATATATATATATATATATATAGTCTTATGCACAATGTATTTCACCGGCATAGCCTCAAGAGAGAAATTAATAATACACATTTGTTTCTAGCCATGTGTGTTAAGGCAACTATTCAGATTGGTGAATTTGAAGTGTAAGCTGTTTAATAGATCTCATAGTTCTCATAGATATTATGATAACATGATAAATAGATGATTTGATTATAGAAACAATAATATTGGATTAACGGTTGGCATCCGGATACCGTTGATTATCGAGCTAAACAGATAACATACCACAGTGGATTGTAGATCAAGGTAGATTTGTGACCACCCTGGTGAATTGATGACCGCTCTAAATCATAGGCAGCATTGACCATATAACTATGCGGGAATAATGACCACTGTACATGTACTATATTGGCCATATAACCACTGTGGAATATAGACAATATTGGTTCAATGACTACTATGGATTATCTACTATATTGGCTCAATGATCAGTATGGATTATAAACTACTGTGGAGAATAGGTCAAAGTAAGAAATTCACAACGATGTCTTCTAAACCAGTGCGACATATATCGTCTTGACATTTAGACACCGAATTAGAGGCGATTATTTTTATCTGACAAGAGCCACATCTCAGCACATTAAAGCGTTTGTCAACGAATTACTTTGTTTCGGTACTGTGTTGTTATAAAATATAAGCAATGTTGTTGTATTACTTGAGTTGTTGTATTACTTGAGTTGTTGTATTACTTGAGTTGTTGTATTACTTGAGTTGACCTATTGTATTAGCCTGCCCAAATCTCATCTCTAATATAGCCCTATATAATGTCATTCTTTTCCTGTGGCTAGTCTAGCTGACGCCAGCATAATTATAAAAAAAACGTCGTGATGTTAATTAACATTCCCGATAATTGAGGCACTAATTACTCATTACTGAGGTTGTTATCACAAACAGCCGTTTCAATTAATTACACGAAGAATCCAATGTCTGTATTTTTACCTTATTCTAAAGATTCTTTTGTAAAATAATATTTATCAATGTTATATAAATCTTTCAGCTTTGACAATCACATTACTAAATTAATTGATTTGAAACGTCAAATTTTGTTTTCGATTGGGAATTTTTATTTTGGAAGCGGAAACAAAGTACCGTATTAAAAAAATATTTTAAAATTCTTTTTCGAAATTAACAGTTGAAGGGTAGGTAGATAATGATTTAAAAATATTTAAATTTACGCATCAGACCTAAGTGTTACAATTTATTTCAAGGGAGGATACCGTGAAATATTTCCAATAACTTACATTTTTACAGCCCCTTAAATAAAATAGTACAGGCTTACCACTATCTAATATATAAAGCTCAGTTCTGTAACGTGTGGCAAAAAACAAAAAAGTTTGTCGTTGACACTTCTACGGATTTAAGTGTTAGATTTTTTATCGTGCTCAAAGTCTAAATTTACGAGTCGAAAAATTACCATTGAAAGTCTTTAAAAACAATTTTCATTCTATTTACTTAGAAGAATAATTTTCAATTATGAACGCGACATAAAATTTTTAAAAAGTGTATCGACGTTTATAAAATTTCTAAAATTGTTTCGGAAATGTATTGACTGCACAGTTACTTCCCTTTAATGAAAAATAAATCCTTAAGAAGAGAGAATTAACATTTTATTACTTTGTTTTTGGTGTTAAGAAAAAAAAAATAATTACACAATTAGCGGGGATTGATTAAGTGCAATGTCGTTAGGTATTTTTAACAGTGCCTTTTATTTATTCTATACACTGAACATACTGTTCAATAATTATTATTTTTTTTTTAAATCAATAACATTTAATAAGCCAGGTCCTACAAATCATATACGTTTATTTCTTTCCATTTACGGATAAGCTTGGAGTATTATCATTTTTGTTCACTAAATTGAAACAGGCGCGTCCGCCGGCGCCCCTGCACGGTTTGATTTGGCACCCTGGGCTATCATGTGGGCGCTATGCTGCATAATTTTGTTTTAAACAGTGCGATAGACTATGGATAAGAAAGGTTACTATAGTCTTTAAGTGAATCAAATCCGGGCGTCCTCCGGCACCCCGACAGGGTGCTATTTGGCGCCCCGGGCCTTCCGGTGTACGCTATGGTATCTACGTTCGCGTGAGTTCAAAAGACTATAAATAAGTTATGCACTATAGGCGTTTACTAAGTTCAATCAGGCGGTGACGTCATGGTGCGTCCTCTGGCGCCCAGACAGGGTGCTTTTTGGGGTCCCGGGCCTCCCGTGTTCGGTTTCGCGCCTACGTTCATTAAAGTGAGTGCAAAAGACTATGAATAAGTTGGGGTACTATAGTCGTTTATTAAGTTGAAGTAGGCGATTCAGCCCCGTGAGCACTTTGCGTTTATATTCGCGTTAGTGTTTTCTTTGTGTTTAGGTTGGGTTTGCGTTAGTGGTTGCGTTTTGATTTGGTTCGTTTTTGTTCTTTCTTTTTTCGTTTTCGTTTGTGTTTTATTTTCATTGGGTTTGTGTTTGTATTTGTGTTTGAGGTTGGTTTTGCGTTTCGATTTGGTTTGTTTTCGTTTGTTTTTCTTTTGTGTTTTTTTTTCTTTGGGTTTGTGGTTGGTTTTGCGTTTGTATTTGGTTTGTTTTCGTTTGCTTTTTCGTTTGTTTTTTTTCTTTGGGTTTGTGTTTGTGTTTGTGGTTGGTTTTGTGTTTGGATTTGGTTTGTTTTCGTTTGCTTTTTTCTTTGTGTTCGTATTGGTGTTTGTGGTTGTGGTTGGTTTGTTGTAAGTTTTTGTTTTCGTTTGTATTTGTAATTGTGTTAGCGTTATGTTTGCGTTTTGTTGTTTTGGTTTTGGTTGGTTGTGGTTTGGGTGGGCAATGCCGGGTTTATGATGATTACTAAACACACAGGTGATGGTCTTTAACGGAAAGGTTTTTCACAGAAGCCAGAGCAGGGCCTGGCCGGGACGGCTAGTTTATTATATTTCTGGAAACCAAAATTGTGGTCGACATATTAAGTCATAGTCATTGTTTGTGAATAAGTGAACGAGACCACTTCATTAAGCGGTAATCAAATTATATTTAAAAGTATTTTTTAATAATGTTTTTAAGTTGCAGTTCTAAAACAATAGTTAAGTGTCAGATTTCGTATTTTTAACTAAAACGGTACTCTTGTTAAAGTGTTAACACAATCAGCACATACAGACAGTCAGACAGAATTTCTCCGATCAGTAAGGTGCAACATAACGACATTTGACGTGATCCGGGGTACAATGTTTCGGCACATTACTTCCCCTTACACTCGTAATAGGAAGAAAGACATCTGACTTGCTACTACTTGCGGAGTTCGTTATACAGCTGTAAGGATACGGTCACATTTTCACTATCTTTTAAATTATTAGCCGACACATTTGATACTACACAATACAGGTGATCAGCTAGTTAAAAAATACAAAGCCAACAACTACTTAATAGATCTTTTTTATTATAGGTGCCAGTACTCAAGGATCGTTGCTTACAGAAGGTGATGTTACGTCACTTCCGTTTGTCTCAGTACCAATAATCTCAGTTCTGTTATTCTCAGTTTCGTTGATCTCATTTCCGTTAGTTTCATTTCCGTTAGTGTCATTTCCGTTAGTTTCATTTCCGCGAATCTCATTTCCGTTAGTCTCAGTTCTGTTAGTATCATTTCCATTTGTTTCATTTCCGTTAAACTGATTTCCGTTAGTCTCAGTTCCGTTGGTCTCATTTCCGTTAGTCTCATTTCCGTTAGTCTCATTTCCGTTAGTCTCATTTCCGTTAGTCTCATTTCCGTTAGTCTCATTTCCGTTAGTCTCATTTCCGTTAGTCTCATTTCCGTTAGTCTCATTTCCGTTAGTCTCATTTCCGTTAGTCTCATTTCCGTCAATTTCAGGACATTCCAGCCTCCGGTTGATCCAGTCCAGGTATGACGTAATACGTGTACACACTGAGGGCAGACCACCTGGAAGACAGGTAGATAGTGACACACCTGATGTAGTTTAGTGACGTATGAAATGACAGCTATGATAAGTGACATGTAATGACAGCTTATGATTAGTGACATGTAATGACAGCTATGATTAGTGACATGTAATGACAGCTATGATTTGTGACATGTAATGACAGCTATGATTAGTGACATGTAATGACAGCTATGATTAGTGACATGTAATGACAGCTATGATTAGTGACGTGTAATGACAGCTATGATTCGCTACGTATCTCATGATAGCTAAGAGTATAGACATATGTAATGGTATCTATGATCATCGACGTATATAATGACAACTATGATTAATGCAGTAATTAATGAGAGCAACGATCGTGTTCATTTAGAAAGTAACAGATAATTAGATACAATCAATAAAGACATTTGATGATCTAGGTAAAATTTACCTTAATTGCATCTTATGATTAATTTTCTCTGCAGTTTTAATATTTGTTCTCAATTCAGGGGGGGGGGGGTTGGTGGTGTTAATGTAAGTAGTCGGACCTATGCTAACGACGCCCTTGACTGACCTACAACATGGACGGTCCGGTGTGGCTTACCGTAACACGTGCCGTACGCCCAGGAGATGATGCCCGTCAGGTAACCTTGACCTTCGCCACACATGAGCGACCCCCCGCTGTCTCCGATACAGGCGCTGGTTTTACTGTCTAGACAGCCGGTGGGAAAACTTAAGTTACATACATCAGAACGTAAGGTCACTCAATAAGTTATTTCTACTTAGTTGTAAGCTATTGACTAGAAACCTTAATCCGCTTTAAAAATAATTGTAGCGTGGATTATGTTCTTAAGCAAAAATTATTGTTGAGATTTAATTTCTATTCTAAATTACATAACATAAAAGCACAACATCGATAGTTTATATATAAATTGACATTTCAGATTTCGCAGTCCATGTAGCAAATGAAGTAAAGCTAATAATTTCTGAAAACTTCTGACACGTGTCTTTTCTTTCCGTAAAAAGGTTAGGTGCCCATTGGGGCATTTTCCTATGTTAGATTCTTAACAACCTACAGAGACCTTTCTAATCTTGCACACAGATGTGCTTGTGACAGACCTTTGAAATTTTGCACACATATGTGCTTGTGACAGACCTTTCAAATCTTGCATACAGATGTGCTTGGGACGGACCTTTCAAATCTTGCACACAGATGTGCTTGTGACAGACCTATCAAATCTTGCACACAGATGTGCTTGTGACAGACCTTTCAAATCTTGCACACAGATGTGACAACCTACAGAGACCTTTCAAATTTTGCACAAAGATGTGACAACCTAAAAGACCGTTCAAATCTTGCACACATATGTGACAACCTAAAAGACCTTTCAAATCTTGCACACAGATGTGACAACCTAAAAGACCGTTCAAATCTTGCACACATATGTGACAACCTAAAAGACCTTTCAAATCTTGCACACAGATGTGACAACCTAAAAGACCGTTCAAATCTTGCACACAGATGTGCTTGTGACAGACCTTTCAAATCTTGCACACAGATGTGACAACCTACAGAAACCTTTCAAATCTTGCACATAGATGTGCTTGTGAGAGACCTTTCAAATCTTGCACACAGATGTGCTTGTGACAGACCTTTTAAATCTTGCACACAGATGTGCTTGTGACAGACCTTTTAAATCTTGCACACAGATGTGCTTGTGGGTGGCGAAGATGAAGCGGCCGTGCTGCTTGAAGACCTTGTTGCAGTCGGTGTGTGACAGCGCCGTGATGTTGGCCGTCATCAGGTTGTCGGGCGCCGTCACGGCGACGCGGTGCGTGACGCCCCAGCCGCTGATGACGCATTGACTCCCGTTAAACAGCTCTGTTGGTGGTGGTAGTTGGGCCAGCTGTGGATTCAGGTATATTGAATTCGTTAACAATTGTTGTTAGCTAATAATTTGCTACTTTTAATATAGTCTCCACCTTCAACCGTACGTATGAATTAATTTTAGACATTTTTTGAGCTTTCAAACATAATCTATTTATTTTCTTTATCTCATTGTGTGTATGTGTTTGTGTGTGCGGATGAGATGGGGTGAGGTTGCAGTTTAGAAAAAAAAAGACTATATCTGTCCATCGCTATAGAAATTAACATGTAATTTCATTCGGAGTGAGCGATCTTGTAGAAACTTTTAAAAATTTAATATTATTTTTTATTAGCTTTCACTAGACTTTCAATTAAATAAAAGCAGATCTAGGATAAGAATAATTTAGAAGAAAAAAAACCATTTCAGATATGGTTTAATAGATGGATGAAGTAGAGTTTGTCAGTTTCTACGATTAGAATATTGCCAGGCAACTTTACTTTCTCGGGCGTAATCCAAGTACTCATTTTGACTGAGTTTTGACAAAAGCCGTTTGACAAACTCGAGTTTATATTCAGCTATTTATTGATAGAAAAACAATGTCTCTTGAATAGTTATTTAACAATCACTAACCTAAAACAAAGTCTCACTTGGACGTATTGTGTGAGTGTGACTGGACTGGCCAGGTACAAAACGTAATCTCACCTGGACGTGTTTTAGAGTGTGATTGGTCAGGTACAAAAGAAAAGTCTCACCTGTAAGTGTTGTGTGAGTTACCAAGTACAAAATCATGCTCAACTCTACGTGTTTTAGCGTGTGATTGGGCTGGTTAAAAAAAACATTCTCATCTATTCGTATTGCGTGAGTGGTCAGGTACAAAACAGTCTATCTTGGACGTATAGGGCTGGTAAGTAGGTCACCAACCAGCTATATGGCTCATGCAGTATTTATTGAGCCGTATAACTGATTGGTGACCTACTTACCAGCCCTATTGCGTGAGTGGTCAGGTACAAAAGCATTCTCACCTGTACCGTGTTGTAGCGTGTGATTGGTCAGGTACAAAAACAGTCTCACCTGGACGTATTGTGTGAGCGTGACTGGACTGGACAGGTAAACCAGAGCAATGTCGTTGGGGTAGTTCATCTTGTCGGCGTAGTTCTCGTGCTTGAGATAGCGGCTGACGTGCACGACCTGCAGGTTGATGTTGCCGTCGTCCACCAGACTGGTGGAGCCAGCCACCACCCGCATGCTGTAGTTGGGGTACACGTCCATGCAGTGGGCGGCCGTCACTGCCTGGGTGATGAAGATCACAACCGTTGGGTTGGTGTTAAGGTTAACGTCATTAGTTTCATTAGTAACGGTTAATTTTAGTCGGTGTAAGATCTGGACTGGATGTCAGGTTAAGATTAAGGTTAAGTTGTTTTGATTGGTTGTATTTATAAGGTACGAATGTGGTCGAATGGTAGAAGTTTGACTACTAAATCGAAAGTCTCGAGTTCAGATCCAAGCTTGAGTCCATACGACGGCCATAAGTCCACCCAGCTATAAATGATTACCCCCCCCCCCCCCCCCCCCCCGCATACATTGAGTTGAGCATAAATTGAGCAACATTTTCCCAACCAGTTCGTAAATTTACATACACTCTAGTAAAGATTGTATACATTAGTTACATCCTATGTAACGCCGGGTATATGTTGCTAGTCCTACAATAACGTAACATACCCAGTGCCATATACTCTTGCTTAATCTGTCTTTGATCCTCTCAAATTTCATACGATTAAAGTACCATGGCATCACAGATTCCTTACATAATTTGGTAAAATAAATCTTCTGTTGCTTTCATAGTCCAGTAATGTGACGTCAAAGTGTGGTCAGGGTTATGACTTGAGCCAAATTTGATTTCCCCTTGAATTAAGTCAGATAATCTTATACTTGGTTGACACTTAGAACCTTCGAGATCTGAAATCGCGAACCCTGAGCATCGCTCTTCTACTCGACCACGCCATTCAAGCGTTTAAATTAACGAAACTAAATGCAGCCTCTTGGAGGTTTAGTATTTTAAATCGCAAGCTGTAAGCACGTACTTTAATTTTCTGCTTCACGTGATGTAATAAATGGTCAATACATCAATATCTAAACTATGCGTAAAGAAAATAATGTTTCTTTATCAAGATTAAGAAAGCTGAGCCATTAAAGGGACTTACGTTAGTTTTAATATAGCTCGATCCATTTAACCTCTTTAATCGCATACGCCTAGGAAGTTAGTTCTATAATTTAAGCTGATTCATGAAATGTGTGTTTAAAGCTGTGCTTGATCTATCAGTCTTGAATTGTCCGTTTTTTGTTGGTCGGTTTATCTTTTATCATTAGTGCTTTTGTACTTTCCTGCCACGGCTTTTTTTATCGATGCTATTTGTCGAGGGACACATTTTGACTTGTAAGAGGGACACGAGCACTGTAGACATTTCTATGTCTTCTATTAATCCAGCAGGTTCGAGTCTCTACTTCCCAAAACTCACGTCAAAACTTTCGTTCCACAGTTGTTAAAACATCATCATCTCTGAACGCTTAGTGACGCCTAAGGCATCACCAAGTGAGCGCATTACCTCATGTCTCTAGCTATAACCTCTGCCTGTTGAAAAGTTCAGCTCCTCGCCTCCAACGTTTTCTCTATTGACCTTCATAATTGTTTTTGACCGCCTTCGTTTTCTCTTGTCCTGTGATGTCCATTTGAGAACAGCCTTGTGTCATCCTTAGCACATAGTTCAAACATTTCTATCTTCTGTGTCTGATAACTACTGTCAGTGGTTGGGTAGGGGGGGGGGGGGTTGTACCGTCTCTAGCAGGTATGCTGTAGAACTACTGTTATATTCTTTTGACTGACTACGCAAAGGAGCGGATATTTTAAAAATACATTTTTGGTTTTAGTTACAGTCGTAATGCTGGCTCATCTAAACGGTTTTACTCTTCGAATCACGGAGTTTGGAGGCACGGTGGTTACGGATGGTATATATATATATATATTTATATATATATAATTGATTATGTATACATTAGGGCTTAGCTTCACAAAGTTTTCAAAGTTCAAAAGACTAGGCAATAAAGTTGAAATTGAATATGGTCTTAACCATAAACCAACACTACACAATACCGATGGTATAAGTAGGCCTAACCACTTTACAAAAGTAATAATTTAATTAAACAAATGTGATTCCACTTACTCAACATCGGCAATCAAATAAAACCCCAACTAACGAGACAACAACTTACGACACACGTGTGAACCAAGACGGCACCACAAAGGTGGTACCACTGCTCCTCTTCGTACACTTGAAGTGACACCATAAAGGGGAAAGACATCGGTTCAGCCTCTCTGCCATTGATGATTCTCTTCACTCGACTCAGTGCTCTCGACTGGCATGGTACTAAATAGAAAGACAAAGTCTGTCCAAGTCTACTCCATTTAAATGGTAGATTTTTATTTTATAATGTATATTCACATTTTTAATTATTAAATTAATTAAATACCACAGGAATTATCTTCAAATTATCTTTCGCAAATAAATATACGCTGTCTTAAATGTGTCTTTTTTGTTACGTTTAACAAATTAGTCAAAAAATTATTTTAAAATTGTGCTCAAAATTCTGTTAATTTATTCACCTAGAAAGCACACAACGAAGAACCAAACCTTCATTCTGAAAAAAAAAATCTTAAAAGATTTTCAAAACCTTTTCAAATTTTTCTTTGCCAACACCATTTCATACGCTTAATTTAACTTGTCTCTATATTATTAGCCTCCTCTTTTTTTTTCAAAGTACAAAACATAAATCATGTGAGGCAAGTCAACCAATCAGAGCTAATCAATAGTTATAGGCAGATAACTTTACCCGTCTAATGATGTAGGTAGCGCATTTTGTGTCCTTTTAACACAAAATTAAATCTTTCTTCGATTTTGTGACTAGATTATAATTTACGATCTACATTAAATTATTATCGCGGACTTTTTCTAATATCAGGACTTTTTCATATATATATATATATATATATATATATATATATATATATATATATATATATATATATATATATATATATATATATATATATATATATGTATATATATATATATAAAGCAATGTATGTTTGTGTCTGTGTGTGTTTGTCTGTCTGTTTGTCTTTTATGCATTACTACACCTTTCATTACATCGTCATGAAAATTTGGGAAGTTGTTAAACATACTCCTGGGGAGCCTTTTGCGGAAATCGTCCATTTAGGTAAATAGTCCTCTCAGAAACTCGTTCATTTGTGTTATTATCCCTTTGGGTAAACGATAGTTGAGCCATTGTGTTTCGTGCAGTAGTTATAGTTCCCCAGATTCTTTCCGAAAACTACACCCATACACTATCTTATCCCACTTAACCCCACCTACACCTACACCTACACCTACACCTACACCTACACCTACACCTACACCTACACCTACACCTACACCTACACCTACACCTACACCTACACCTACACCTACACCTACACCTACACCTACACCTACACCTACACCTACACCTACACCTACACCTACACCTACACCTACACCTACACCTACACCTACACCTACACCTACACCTACACCTACACCTACACCTACACCTACACCTACACCTACACCTACACCTACACCTACACCTACACCTACACCTACACCTACACCTACACCTACACCTACACCTACACCTACACCTACACCTACACCTACACCTACACCTACACCTACACCTACACCTACACCTACACCTACACCTACACCTACACCTACACCTACACCTACACCTACACCTACACCTACACCTACACCTACACCTACACCTACACCTACACCTACACCTACACCTACACCTACACCTACACCTACACCTACACCTACACCTACACCTACACCTACACCTACACCTACACCTACACCTACACCTACACCTACACCTACACCTACACCTACACCTACACCTACACCTACACCTACACCTACACCTACACCTACACCTACACCTACACCTACACCTACACCTACACCTACACCTACACCTACACCTACACCTACACCTACACCTACACCTACACCTACACCTACACCTACACCTACACCTACACCTACACCTACACCTACACCTACACCTACACCTACATGAGCTAGTAATCCCACAACAGCTACTGATGACGCATTCATATCAAGTATTGATGCTAAGTGGCGTCACATGATCGGGTGCCACCCGAAGAGATAACTCAGGGTGTTTCCCCTCCTCCCTCCTAGAATGTTTGTATTTTCGGTTGGGCGTCACCCCTTCCTTCTTATTGTTTAAAAGCTTGTTAACACATTTCTCGACAGTAAAAAGTACCATTTATCAGTTTGGTGTCACCCCTCTCACATAGTAATTGATTACTTTAGTTAGGTAAACCTTTTTTTCCACAATACATTTCACGATATTTCGATTTGGTGTCTCTTCCAGAAAGATGTCACCAGGTGCGGACCGCAAAACTTACCCGCCTTCCCCACCCTTCCCCTGCCTTGTGAAGCTACTGTTGACTGTACATGACAATCTGCGACACACTAAATAAATAAACTGTCAAATGGATGTTAAACCCGAACAGCTAACACTTCTTAAAACTGTTTGTACACATGTTGTGAATGAGGAATAAATCAGATCTCTTTTTATTCTTTCCGCTTTAATGGTTAAGCCGGGCATAATTTTAATCTGATGTGTCGAGTGGATTATTTCACAATAAAACACGGCAGCATCTGGCTTAGTTACATGTTTGCATTCATGTTGCAATGCTTGTTTAGTACTTTGCTATTCTGTTTCCACTTTAAAATGTACTGTAGACAATTGAAATAGTCATTTGACTAGGTTGCAGTAATAGACTTTTTGTTGTTAATTTTTTGAAAAGTTGTGAATTGTGTCACTAGGATCTATAGTAAACTTTTTTTTATAAACGGTACAGTAGAAGTTTTGGAGCAGTTCTTTTTTATGTAACTATTGAAAATTTCTGCGCTTCAAATTTCCTTATATAGATGTATATTATTACTTTAGAGTAATTACAAGTATATTATTTTGTTTTCATAAACATGTTAAACAGATACAAGATCAGAGTATTCATATAAAAAATTAATTAACGAGATAAATAAACTAATGGATATCCGGTCTGTTTTAATTAAAGACTCAAAGTGCTTTTTTAATTTTTAATTCTTGTACAGTTCAGACAGTTCGGACATTTCCGACAGTTCCGACAGTTCCATGACCTTAGAAGCCCAGAAAAAGAACCTGTGCTTAGCACTAGCACTCTGCTCTGTGTTTATCATGACGTGGTGTTTGTTCCAAAATCAACGAGTGATAGACATGCTGCAAACAGGCAGGGAGGCTAATTCCACACCTGTTGAAAGAACAAGAGGTATATTTTAATTTTTTAAAGTTTTTCAATCTTCAGTCGACGCCTGTGAGTGGGTTTTTAAACACGTTTTGTAACTCAATTGAGACCAAAACAAATACAGCGACGTCTTATATACCGAAGTAACAGGTGAGCACTGAAGTTTTTCCACTACAACCAGCGGCGGGTCCAGAGTTACGAATATAAAAAGTGTAACAGACTGTACTTCTTGTATTATTTTTATATTGTATTTAGCCTGAATTTGATTGAAAGTAGAGAACCTGGCCAACGGAAGCACTGTGTGTGCAACTAATAATGTATTTTCCATGCTTTTTGTTAGATCGCTCGCTGACGTTAGGGGAGAGAATGAGGGGTATAAAAGGTGAGCGTAAGATGGGCTAAGGGTGCCTGTTTGGAAGAATGTAAGCCGTCACCGTACCACTATGTTTCTGGATTGTTCTTTGATTATTGTTATCCTACTATGGATTTATCAATATTATTTCTTGTGGATCTATTTTATTAATGTAAATAAAGTTGAAAGTTGAGGGGACTGTTCATCGTATTCATTGAAGAAAGACCTCACAATAACAACCTTTGTCGTATTCACGTTGTTACAAAAAGTACAAGCTTATTTATAGTTTCTTTTTCGTACGTAATTTGTAATATTGGAGTGGATTTTACACAACACAGTTTTAAGTACTACGTGTCAACTTGTTAGGCGCCGTATGGGCCGTCGACTTAAATTTTCTTTTTGCTTTTGCTTCCATAGCCTTTGTCCAACCAACATCAAACTACAAGGCAGAAGTTGTTTGATTTTCGGGTTTTCCTTCTACCTCCATCTAGCAAGCCTCTTTTGTCCGAAGACCAGAACAATTTTCAGCATTCCTGCTCTCTCTCTCTCTGTCTCTATCGCCCGTTTTGTATAACAATTAAAACAATATAGGATACCTTTTCTTGCAAATGAAAAATCAGCAATAGTGATTCGAACTCTCTAAATCCACTCATCCAACCTCGTACTCCGAACATTTCAAATTGAGACTGTATAAATGGGAGACAAAAAAAGATATACATATAAATTATTAATATATATATCCAATTTGGTGACTGAAAGCCTTTTTTTTTTTACACCTGGAAGAGAGCAATGGACCCGAGTAAGCTAATGTGTAGGGGTACGTCAATTCTATGTTAACTATTTCTGTTATGGTTTCACAGAGAAGGCTATGTAACTTTATTTTCAGTTGTAAAATCTTACCAGTAATTTAGTTGTAATGTGTTTACATTTCAAATTTTTGTGTTAAATATATCCTTGTTCTGTTTACTGAAAAACACAACACAAGACGTTCGTTCACGTTAGTGCCAAAGACTATGAATAATTGGAGTACTATAGTCGTTTACCAAGCTAAAACAGGCGGTTCCGTCGGCGCCCAAGCATGGTGCGATTTGACGCCCCGGGCTAGACTGTGTGCACTTTGCCTTTATGTTTGCATTTAAGTTTTTGTTTATGTTTGCCTTTATTTGCATTATTTTTAGTTATTGTTTGCGTTTAGGTTTGCGTTTGTGTTTTCTTTGCGTTTGTGGTATGGTTTGCGTTTGTAGTTGGGTATGTGTTTGCGTTTGGATTTAGGTTTGTTTTCGTTTGCTTTTTTGTTTGTGTTTGTGTTTTCTTTGTGTTTGTGTTTGCGTTTGTGTTTGTGTTTTTGTTTACGTTTGTGTTTGTATTTGTGTTTGTGTTTGCGTTTGCGTTATGTTTGGGTTTTTTTGGTTGGTTATGGTTAGGGTTGATTCGAAAAGTAATTTATCTCCTAAACCCGGGCAATGCCTGGTATATGCTGATTATTAAACACACAAGTCATGGTCTTTTACTGTTAGGTTTTTTTTACAGAGGCCAGTGCAGGGCCTGGCCGGGACGGCTAGTTATAATTGAAGGATAAGTTTATCTACTTTGAAACAGCGAGAAAAGATGTGTGACACTCTTTGATGTAACGAGATAAATGTATGGTTCAATAACAGCATAATAACAATGTTTCACTAATTGCTAATTTCCATAGGGTCTGAACTGCAGTCTACAGGAGTTAAGCAGAGACGACTGGATGGAGGTACTAAAATTATACTTTTGAAAACTGTTAAAATCCCATTAAAACATTCTTTTCTAATTTAAAAAATAAAGTGTTATTAGTTACGGTTTAGACAGTAGGAATGTAAATGAACAAAAACTTACTGCATTTTCTCTCGGGTAGCATGCAATAAAACGGTAAACATTGTGGTATATTAAATCGATCAGTTATTATAAGCAGGCTAGTAAATTGCAAACCAGGATATAGCATACTAACAATTGTCTCTCAGCTGTCAAAACTTTCCAACTCAGGGCAGGTACTCCTTTGTCCTGAGTTGTCTTATTAAATTCTATTTTGCATCCAGTTCTTCTAATAGACATGACCATCCATCATTATGAATCCATTCATTATTATTGATGACAGGGATTAAAATCCGTAAAAAGATATTAAACAAGTTAATAAAAAGTCTAGTGACAATTTAAGCGCAATTTCCTTATGTTATCTAAAAATAGATAGTGATCACAAAGACGTATAATACTGGGGTGCGTTCAAGCTAGGAGAACGATCGGTTTGTAGGTGTTTATGTAATTTTAAATTTTTTTTTGTGACCGAACGAATGGATATTTTTGAAAACTTTCTTCGGCAATATTGTTCTAAATTATGGCAGGAATCGATTGGTAAATGTTTCAAGTCGCTAAGTGGTCTGGTCGCCGAGATATGGGCCAAAAACTGCATTTTTTCGAGGTTTTTTGGCTTTTCCAGTAAATCCAGGAAGGAATTCCGGGAATTTTTTTGGCCCACAATCATCCTCGGAACTTGCTTAACATATTTGCTTTTGGAACTAGTCCTCAATATTGCTTCGTTGAGGAGGAGATACGACTTAAGCTGCGGACACTTATCCATACATTCATTCATCCATCCATCCATCCAGAAATGACGAGTTAATAATCACAATTGTCCGTATGGGAATTGCGCTAAAAAAAACTTAAACCTGAAAATAATTCAGAAATGTGTAATAGTTTTTGAACTAATATTATCAAAGTTGCAAATCCAGAGAACTTGATACTAATTTTTTTTCGAGTTTAAGGCTACATTTGTATTTGTTTTCATCAAGCCGAAGTTGTAATCTGAAGTTTCACTTTCGTAAGACAGATCTCGATTGGGTGTACAGGAAGCCCGTGATCGATATTCTGAAAACTCCAATTTATGGTAAAATGTTTTCAAAACTTTGCCCATGATATGTTTAGATAGAATTATTAAAAAAAAACAAAACATACATGACCTAGTTCTGCTACTTCCGTTTACATTTTCTGTGGTATAATGAAACCAACCAAATTAAAAAAAAATGTTTATTTGCCGAAATTAAGAAATAGGCCTATACCCAATTTTTTAGTAAAGTCCAACAAATATAAAAGATTTAGATTTTATAAGCATATTTATCTTAATAACATGGTAAATGACCTTAAAAATATTGAATAGGCCTTTCGAACAATGCTGAGACTATTCTCGGTTAAGTCCACTGCCACTGATCCAAGGGCCAATCCTCCCCGTATCAAACAGTTGAACCAAAATATACGTTGGGCGTGTGCCAACACACATTATACAGTTAAATAAAAACTTTGTTCAATTAAAAATCGTCAAGTACAAACTCTTCGCCTATCCTACATTTGCTCCTTAAAAATGGCTTCATCTAAGGTTGCTCCCCACAGGCTGGTATAACTTCACCGTCGTATTGCTCCCCACAGGCTGGTATAACTTCACCGTCGTGTCGGCCTTGATTGACATCGGCCGGGGAAACTGGACCAGGTTTACCCGGTCCTACGACGATTACCTTAAGTTCTTTCATCAAATCCTGGGGTTAAAGGTTAATCTGGTCTTGTTTGTTGACCGAAAGGCTAAGGCGGTAGCTGAGGAAAAAAGGAAGGGTATGGAGGATAGGACACGAATTATAGAAACCACGTTACAGGATATTCCTTACTACAAGTAAGTCTTTCACATCACGCAGACATCTATACAACATATCGCTTAGTACAACACTTTACACATCATAGCTATACAACATATCCCTTACTACAAGTAAGACTTTCACATCACGCAGACATCTATACAATATATACCTTACTACAAGACTTTACACGACATGCAAACAGCTATACAACTTTACACATCATACAAACAACTATACAACTTTACACATCATACAAACACCTATACAATTTTACACATCATAGAAGTAACTTAACAAGACCTCTGTCACTACATATAAATATTTACATATTTAACAATCTATTATTAAGCATTTCTTTCAATCTTTCAAACTTTCATATACAATATCTAGTTTAAATCTAGTTGGTTTTGTTTATACGACAAATGGTTGTGTATTATCCCAGGTTGAGGCACCGTATAGCGGAGATTATGAACAGTACCGAGTATAAGAAGGACAACGAGTTAGTCAAGATGCAACTGTGTGAGGCCTTCTCACCAGAGTATGATATCATTAACTGGGCCAAGTTGTACTTTGTCGACAGGTGAGATTTATATCTTTCAATTACTTTATTTGAGCTTTCAAATTGTGTATGCAGAAAGCGATGTGGTCTAGCTATAGAGTTATACTAAGGTACGATAAGGTCCGGTTCTTATTTTTTGGACTAGTACCCAGAGCACAAGTTCTAAAAGATGGTCTTTCGGCATGTTACACAAGTATGAGAAATACTTCCTGGGGATTATGTCGCTACATTGAAAAAGACGTCACACTTCAGACAACATGTTTTTGTCTTTTAAAACACCGATTAGAGCTGAGCATAGATATGGCCACACTATCCCTTCATGTGCTGAGGAAAAAAAAAACAGGTGAACTCTACTTCACCCACCCTGTATCCCGCCAAGTCCGATAGACAACTTTATCATTCACATCTAAAAAAAATTATCATTGACATGATGTGTCTCGAACCCGTGTCACCCACATCGTAAACTATTACAATTACATCTTAGCTATGTAGGCTCGTAAGATCAGAGACTAATTTGCTAAAATATTTTACTTTTATTTTGCGTAAAAAACTTCGTTTACGCGAATAGGCCCTAGTGCTTAGTATTATTTCAAATTAAATTTTATCCCAAATTAGCCAAATACATAGCTAAACAAACAACGATTAATATAAAAAAAATAAGGCCCGAAATAGTTTAGTATATAGATTCTAGGTCCAGATTATAGTTGTAGAATTTAAGTTAATTCTAGATCTAGATGTAGAATTTACGTTAAGTCTAGTTTTTGCCGTAACTCTAGATCTAGAACCTACATAGATAAATCCCATGTATTCTCGAATAAGATGATTATTGAAGCTTAAAAGCAAAGATTTATATCAAATATTTAAGGACTAACATAGGTTTAATAGAGAAACTCAATAAATTATTGTGGTTTTTTAATAGTTTTTATTTTTAACTAATTAACTTTGGTTTGACCTAGATTCTACATTTTAGATCTAGACCTAGGATTGACTTTCACTGCGTCCGATAGCTGATCTATAGATCTAGAGAAATTAATTTTTATATTCAAATTAGAAGAGCCATTGAAAATTGATAATAGTGTTGGAACCTAATGAAAATAGCAAACGGACGCATCCTTAAAGCTATAGCCGAAATAAATTAGCTTTATAATGCGTTAAACTTTTGAATGGGCAACAAAATCTTCGATGGAAGCCGCCATCATTGTTATAAAAAGTAAATAAATCATGTGACGTCACTCTAAGTAAAGTCATTGTTCTGAAATATTATAATTAGTGTGGTTAATCTACCAATGAATATATATCAATACATTAATTAACGTTTTTAAATTAGTTTGTGATCAACAGTTTGGTTAAAAAAGGAAATTGTTCTCTACCTAATTACGTATTGTACAGCTTTACGCATAGTGTAGATTCTCTCTTGTAACCGAACAGACAAAAAAAAAAAAAAAAAAAAAAAACAAAAAGCAAATAAATATACAAACATGTAAACAAACTTGAGTTTAATAGTATATAGATCTAGATAGATAGCAATTATTTATGATTGTAGATTGTATTTGTCTGTTTCAGAACTGTCAACGAAAACCCATTTAAGAACGATTTCTTTATTTGGCTGGATGGTGGATACGGACACGGTAAATCGATATATCCAGCAAATCACGTCTGGAAACCGCGCGGACTGTTCGACCACGCTGATAAGGTCACGTTCATTGAGCTGAAGCCAGGTGTAGGGAAATACGTCACTGTCAAGGACAAACTCCACAAGATATCAATAGCTGTAATGATTGGTGGATTCTTCGCCGGTGGAGCGGTGGCAATGCAGGATCTGTACAGGCTACAAAGGCTGCAGGTCAGTGAGTGGATGGAACAAGGTATAACAGACGATGATCAGACGATCTACTTAACACTGTACTACAAGCACCCGTCCTTGTTTCGCTTAGTACGTGGCGGTTGGAATGACGTCTTCAAACTTTTCAACGTGGGAGGATCATAGTGAAATATATACGAACCAACGTGTTGATATGCAGTTGCAATGTTATTGTATGAAATCTTAACAATTTTCAACGTGGACAAATTAATGTACTTAACTAATATCTTTGAACTAACATTATGTGAATGCATGTCGTTATGCATATGATTGGGTAATATAAATACTCTGTGTGTAAGCCGTAATATTTATAACCACTCTGTTAAAAATGTGTATTAAATTAAAAAAAAAAAGATGTTTATTTAAACAAATTTCCGAACTTTTTATTATTTCGTTGAAAATTCATTAATATGGTGTTATGAAAATTATACTTGTATTGAAATAATACACATACACACACACACACACACTATATATATATATATATATATATATATATATATATATATATATATATATATATATATATATATATATATGTATGTATGTATTATATATTATATATATATAAATATATAAATATATATATATATATATATATATATATATATATATATATATATATATATATATATATATATATATATATATATATATATATGTATACATATATATATGTATATATATATATATATATATATATATATATATATATATATATATATATATATATATATATATAATATATATATATATATATATATATATATATATATATATATATATATATATATATATATACATATATAACCTTCACCAGGTGCCAATTCACTCAGTCATTACCTGTAATTGACTAACATGCAGCAACCGTTATCTTTACGACAGTACAGCTCAACATTGGAGTGACCTGATAATCCAATCAGCAGTTGTTAGACTTTTGACGAACCTAGAGCACTGAAACACATAAGGAATGGGGGGGGGGGGAAGCTGCATTAAGTTCAGAGCTAGGGTTAGGCTCTTACGATGAGTTGGAGTTTAGGTTCAACTTATGCTGGAGTTTAGAGCTTAGAACCACACTTCTTTTAAGTTCAGTGCGGGTTTATGGTAATGATGGTTTGAAGCTGTAGATGGTACTAGGTATATGACAAGTTTATGTTTAGGATGGTATGATGTAGATGGTAGACGCTAATGAATCTTCAAATTATACTCAATGAACTGATCTATGAATAAGATTTTTTCCTAGGACGATTTTTTTACAGTAAGTTTGAAATCAATTAGAGATGATTAAAGATAGCTTGAAGATAATTTAAAATACAATTTGATTTTCTGGAGTTATTTGAACGGAGAAACAACTGAAGTTTTTTGACGTTAGTCGTGTTTGATCGACTCTAAAATTTTATTTTTCCCTCTTCTGATTCATATCACCTAACTTACGTGCATTCAATCCAATACTGTCACAATAGTTATCTCCCCGATTAGTTTTTAAAACAGTGTTAACGTGTTTGAGAACTGTTGAGCAGAACAATGTAACTAGTACAGAACTTTGACAATTTATAACGAATGTATAAGGTGTATTAAAAAAAAAACAGTCCTTCTGATTGTGGAAGTTACTAAATGGTAATTTAATTGATTGATTTTTATTAAATGGTATAAGAAAACGATTGATCGTCAGAGTTTAAAGTCACGTGGTAGATTCTTGAATTGAAAGAGTTAGTTCCCCTATTGCATACAATCAATGATCAAGACAATCATTTAGACAATCACTCTGCATTGACCGAGGCTATCGTCTCTACAATTACACTATTAAATTACACGAATTCGCTGTAAATTTTGAAAAAAAAAAACCTCACTAAAGTCTAACATAACAATAGTGATAGAATATTCTTCTAGTGCATAAAAACTCATGCACCCATGCACCCCCCCCCCCCCCAAAACACACACACAAACCTACAATCATATGCAACTACCATTATGACGTGATATATAACACAAACACAACAAAATAAAAGTAAAAACACCTGACACGACCTAGCAATTAAGGTCAAATTCGATCACGTGATGACGTGTACACAATCAATCAATAATGTACTCGTATGTGGAGTAGCGGCCAAGGTCAACAGTTAGAATTTACAGATAAGTGGTCTTTTGGTTTCGTGGTCTGCACTTTATCAAGTGGAGGTGGGGGCTAGAAAATCACTATATATATATATATATATATACATACATATACACACACATATGTATATATATATATATATATATATATATATATATATATATATATATATATATATGTATATATATATATATATATATATATATATATATATATATATATATATATATATATATATATATATATATATATATATATATTTAAATATTATATATATATATATATACATATATATATATATATATATATATATATATATATATATATATATATATATATATATATATATATATATATATATATAAGTGTTACCTAATTGTGAAATGTAGTTAATTATGGTTTGTTGCTAGCTGTGGCCCTGGCTGAGACACAAGGACCTGCGCCTAAGATTGTCAACGGCTATGAATCAGCTCCAGGAGCGCGCCCTTACATTGGGTCCTATCAGATTTTCTTGGACGACACTTGGCAACACATCTGTGGCTGTACGCTAGTCACACCCAACAAGGTACATAACTCTTATCTTTTTCTTGCTTACGTTATGTACGTTGTGCGATTTTGTGTACACATCCCTTTCTGTCATGTCCATATGTTTCTTCCTGACGGTCAATAAACTTTTTGAAAATTGCACTGATACGAAAACCTTTTCCGGTATGTGCTCAAAACACATTGTGTAGATAAAAGTCGAATTCATAAGATTCAATGACCTCGACACATGAAATATATATAGGTCAGCACTATGTATGTGTATCACTAAACAGGTACCCGTCAGGGCTGGGTGAACTCACGTACGTCCTACAGACACAAACCCGGGATCCGAAATCAAACTTTTGGGTTAATAGTCACTAGTTCTGATTTTTGATCACGCCCTTCCCTGACGTGGAAATACACAGAAGTTAAAAAAAAAATCAACTAAAAGATAAATACATTCACCAAATTATAAGTTCACACGAAGACACTTTTTAAAACGTTACAGGTAATAAAAAGTGAAGTCTAAAATGTAAACCCTGAACACAGTTGAAAAACATAACGTTTTGTGAGAGAGATCTTTAATTCCAATAACCGCCGGTCTAAACTATCTAGTTTTATGAGAGATATCTTAAGTCCAACACCCGTTGTTTTAAACTATCTAGTTTAAGTTTTATGAGAGAAATCTGTGAGCCGGAACGGAGTGGTCTAGCGGTAGAGAGCTGGACTGCTAACCCGTAAGTTTCAAGTTCAAATCCGGGTTCAAGTCAGTAGACCGTCCGTGAGTCCACCCAACTCTGATGGGTACCTAACTCACGTTAGGAAAAGCAAAGTCGGCTGGGTATAGTGCTGACCACACTATCTCTTCATATGCCGAGGTCACTCTACTTCACTTACCGGCAGGTTTGAAAGGGAAATTTATCTTTTATTATAGTTTATGTTGTAACGGACACCTATCTACCAGCCAGATAGAAGGTGAACGCCCCCGGATTCTTTCTTTGGGGTTATATGCAAATGACTTAAAGCCTAAATGAATGGACATTAACTCAACAACACACTAGGGCTCGATTTCGATGTCTAGGGAAAACTAGTGTAACTATCGAAGTCAACAACTCATTCAATCTGCATACAACCTTTAATAAGCGAACACAGTTGTGGCAGATCACAAGGTTAAACAAGATAAAATATTTAGTTTAGAAAATAACAAAACCCAACTTACAAAGCGTAAGAAAAAATACTATCACAGATTCTAACACTGTATAAAAATAGCCACAGGTCACACAACACTGCTATAGTATCAAAAATCACTTGGCGACAAGTAATATAATATTAGAACACTTTAACAACTTAGGAATGCATAGCACACTCAGGACTAAAGTTCTCTCACGTTCAAATGGTCAGAATGGATTGCCGGACAAAATGGACGGCCTGGTCATAATGGACCGCTTGAGCAAGGTGGACTGCCTCGTGTCGCCTGTGGGCGATCTAGTTAAAGACTTAGGCGACAGGGGAGATTACTTTTAACTCATGTGGCCATTGGTTGGGGTGGTCATCTGGTCTGAATTAATCAATCAGATCTTGATGGACAATTTCCACGTCTTAGACACTCTTAGTAAGACAGTGGAAAAAACCCGGTAGTTGCACCATCAACCCATATATGGTATTAACACAATGTCAAAATAAAACATTACTGGACCTAAGTAGGTCACAATGTTTTATGAGAAAAATCTCCGAGCCCAACTCCCGCCGATCTCAACTAACCAGTTAAAGTTATTTGAAAACAAAAAGTGTAAGTCATACATCCGATGCTCTCAACTTATCAGGTCATCACCGCGGCCCACTGTGTGGTAGCGTTCCCAGGGATCCCGTGGAGGGTCCAGTTCGGATCCAACCAGCTGTTCGACCAGACCAGCCCCCACGTCCAGTACAGGAACGTCTCGGCCTCCGAGCCCCACGAGGGCTACTACCCCGGGGACAACTACCCTAACGACATCGCCATCATGACCCTGGAGAGAAGCGTCCGGATCACTGACTACGTGCAGGTATTTCAGCCATGATCTGCTATTGAGTTTACAACTAAATATGTCACATACTTTTACGTTACTTGATGTTTTTAAAGGACGATGATGTTATATAATACTAAACAAACTTTTTGTTTTTAACTAGCCATTAAAACAATATTTTAAGATCAACATATAAGGTGAAAGTATTATCATATATAGTCAGCAAATAATTGATTTTTATATTTATTTTAAATTAATATAAATTACCCTAATCGGTTTTTGTATCTTGGTGATTATTGTTGTGAAAAATGTAGCGGTTTAATACATCCGATGACTCGACACAATCAGGTCAAGTACCATTTTAGAAAAGATGATTGTCGAGGCAGATATAGTAGAATTTATCTGTTTCTCAGATGTTATAACTTCCTGCAGGGAAGCAAAGTCTTGACCCATACGAATAAAGCCAATCTTCTGAAAAACAATTTCCACAAAGTTTAGAGATATCTTTATCCAACGATATCTGTCTTGTACCAGCTGGCCAAGTTATCCGAGCACCGCGGGTACCCCTACCCAGGGGACACCTGCCTGATCGTGGGGTGGGGCAAGACCAAGCAGTTCAACCCAGACTACTCACCTGAGCTGCGTGAAGCCAGGACCGTTGTCCTGGACACCGAGACCTGCAACAACCTGTTCCAGACTTTAGCTGGAGACTACTATGACCCGACGCTCGTTGCTGATTCTAATCAAGTTTGTCTGTCTGACAGAAGTCGTAAGTCATCGTGGGATCTGGTTTCATAAACACTTTGCGAGTAATAGAATACACTGCTGCGTTTACACGATTGAATAGATCTATATTACATTTACATGCATACATGTACATGCATACATACATACACAAACACAGTCTCACACACACAGACACATACAGGCACACATTCTAACACACATTTAGACAGTCATAAAGACACACACCTAGACAAGCACGCAGACATAGACTAAAACACACAGACACAAACACCCACACATACATACATATAAATCTTTGTTTTCTTTAATAACGACATGCCATAACTGTGCACATTTGACAGAGTCCACTGGCACTAAACCTACAGCTTGTTTTGGTGACAGCGGAGGCCCTCTGATGTGTGGTCGCGGGTTCAAGTACTTATCAGGAGTCACATCTTGGGCTTATTCTTGTGACGGTTAGACCCCTTTGTATTATATAATCGCGCTCGTTATGCGTGTAATCCATCGTTTAGTGTATTTTCACAAGCGTGTTTACTTTAGTTTTACATTATATGACATTATGGCCACAGAACTAGAGTACTTTTGTCACATAGATTACATGATATTATGGCGAAAGATTTAGCGTATTTCTGCACATCTAACCAGTGTTTCTTGCAGACTTTATTCTCCGGTGGGGGGGAGGGGAGGGGGGGCATTTGATATTTATTTTTGCATTTTTTGAGGCCTATACGACATCTTACACATATTTGTGTTTGATGTTTTGTGTTTCATGTTTTGTGTTTGATGTTTTGTGTTTGATGTTTTGTGTTTCATGATTTGTGTTTGATGTTTTATTCCCAGGTGAGACCCCAGTTGTGTACACCAGAGTTTCATCCTATGTCAAGTGGATTCACGAGAGGCTGTCGCTCGTTGGAGAATTGGCGGGTGGGCTGTAGCAATTAGGTGTAGTGCAGGTTGTAGCTGTAGCTTTTTGTGTAGTGCAAGTTGTAGCTGTATCAATGAGGTGTAGGACAGATTGTGTAGCTGTAGCTGGTTGGCGAATAGGCTGGTGGCCTGTAGCAATTAGGTGTAGAGCAGGCTGTTAGGGCTGTACAATCAAGTGAAACTTTCGAAAAAACAAAATTGTCATTACATTTCTTGTAGTCTCATTAAACTTGTTATGTCAGGAAATAAAATCCATTGCAGTTTGTTACTAAATTTGTTCATACTTCCAACTTTAAACAGACGACAGAACCCGTAGTATCCAAAACCAATCAAACAAGGAGCGTATATTTTATATTCAAATCAAAACCTCTCAAATGTTCTTACAGATTATACTCTCATAACTGAAGTTGTCAAAAATTTTTATCTACTTTTTTACCTACGACAACGTCTTTATATCTTGAAAACTAACAGCTGCTTAGCAATAATTTTGGTTTTTCAAAAGTACACAGCCACCCCCCCCCCTTCATACACCGTTCACTTCTTCTTTGCAAAACCATCGCATCAAACAGCTGACATAAAATCTCACTGCAAGTTTAATCGTGATGTCTAGTTAGGGAAAAACTAGTGCTTCTCCTTCCCCCACACAGCTATAGGGGATGGTGGCGAATCTACTGAGGGTAGGGGGAGGGTCAGCCCTTGCTGTTGTGTATGTATGTGATAATTAAACGATACACACTTCCCAATTAATTGAATTCTATGGTAAAGAAGCATTACGAAACGCGACATTATTTTTATCATGTCATCTAGAAGTAAAAAAAGGAACTATAGGGCATCTTTTATTAACTATTATGATTGATATAATCGATGAATTACTCATTACATTGAAATAATACTCGCAATGAAATAAACGATCTAAGGGAAATAACAGTTAAAATGTTTTAAGAGTTTAAATTTTACTTGTTCACTCCCTTGATTAATGTCGTCACTCTTTATCTTTAAATCTTTATTATTTTTTTTTTGCCGACGGAAACTGATTTCCCCCACCAAGAATTTAGTGTTTAATAAGAACTAAGGTTCTGACAGTGGGTCTCCATATAAGTTTAATACATCCGCATATCTTTGAATTCATTTTAACCGAGAAAACTTTTCTTTTCCCATATATTTTCTATGAAAACAAGCTTGATCATAAAATAGCCTTTTTGTTTATTCACACGCAAATTGTATGGTAACTGTGTATTTTAAAATTAAGAAAAAGAACCATTTGTTTCCATTACTTAGTTAGCATTTTTTTCACAAAACATTAAATATACTGCAAGAACAACCACAGCAACCAAGCCAATATGTCATAGTTCTATGAATGTATATAAACATTAAACAACACCCTTTTATTCGTATGATGCGATGCCATAGTTTAAGTGAAACAAAATTATTCCATAGAGCTTACCCTGATGCAATATACAACATAACGAACACCATTATTAAAAGACTTTTTTATTTATTATATTCTAATGAAGTTTCAATACCAAACACAGTTCAAATCAATTTTGAATTAATTTTAGTCCTTATCTAACAAAGCGCCGAATTTAGTAGTAGAGACTTTTGCCTGCAAAAAGAAAAAAAAAACATGAATAAAAGTAAATTATTTGCATTTTATAGTTCTTTCACTCCCCTATTCTCACTAACATCTCTCTGTCTCTTTGTCTCTGTCTGTCTGTCTGTCTGTCTGTCTGTCTCTCTGTCTGTCTCTCTCTCTTTCTCTCCCTCTCTCTCTCTTTCTCTCTCTCTCTCTCTCTCTCTCTCTCTCTCTCTCTCTCTCTCTCTCTCTATATATATATATATATATATATATATATATATATATCTGTAGTGGTAGAGAACTAGACTGCTAACACGAGAGTCTCGAGTTCGAATCCGGGTTCAAATCAGTGGGAAATCTCTGAGTCCACCCAGCTCTGACGGTTACCTAAGTTACCTAAACCTGTATTCCATTACAGGGCTTAGCTCCTCCAAGTACAATGTCGATATCGTCCAAAAACCTTTATGTAATCAAGTTTAGTACCACATTTAGGTAGCTAGCACCAATTAGAATTATATCCCCTTGGTTTCAAATGACACCTTCGATCGTGTAATTACAGAGTTAACACCCCTGGATTTATCTCCACTGGGTTACTTCCCTTAAATACCCTGTTTCACTGGTTCTAGAAGTAAAAATTAGAAACAGCAAGGCAATGCTCACCGAATCCATATCCCAAACCTCCGTATCCAAGACCTCCAAATCCCAAACCGCCGTATCCGAAACCGCCGAAACCAAGACCGCCGTATCCAAGTCCACCGAATCCAAGTCCTCCGAATCCGCCATAGAGACCACCGAATCCACCGTAGCCCAGACCGCCTAAACCGCCGTAGAAGCTGGCTTGTGCGCTCATGGAGAGAACGGCGAGGGCCAGGATAGCGAGGGCAATCTTAGACATGATCTGTGGATATAGGAGGGTAGAGAAATCTTAGACATGATCTTAGACATGATCTGTGGATATAGGAGGGTAGGGCAATCTTAGACATGATCTGTGGATATAGAAGGGTAGAGCAATCTTAGACATGATCTTAGACATGATCTGTGGGTATAGAAGGGTAGAGCAATCTTAGACATGATCTGTGGATATAGGAGGGTAGAGAAATCTTAGACATGATCTTAGACATGATCTGTGGATATAGGAGGGTAGAGCAATCTTTGATCTGTGGATACAGGAGGTTAGAGCAATCTTAGACATGATCTGTGGATATAGGAGGGTAGAGCAATCTTAGACATGATCTGTGGATATAGGAGGGTAGAGCAATCTTAGACATGATCTTAGACATGATCTGTGGATATAGGAGGGTAGGGCAATCTTAGACATGATCTGTGGATATAGGAGGGTAGAGCAATCTTAGACATGATCTGTGGATATAGGAGGGTAGAGCAATCTTAGACATGATCTGTGGATATAGGAGGGTAGAGCAATCTTAGACATGATCTTAGACATGATCTGTGGATATAGGAGGGTAGGGCAATCTTAGACATGATCTGTGGATATAGGAGGGTAGGGCAATCTTAGACATGATCTGTGGATATAGGAGGGTAGAGCAATCTTAGACATGATCTTAGACATGATCTGTGGATATAGGAGGGTAGAGCAATCTTAGACATGATCTGTGGATACAGGAGGGTAGAGCAATCTTAGACATGATCTGTGGATATAGGAGGGTAGGGCAATCTTAGACATGATCTGTGGATATAGGAGGGTAGAGCAATCTTAGACATGATCTTAGACATGATCTGTGGGTATAGAAGGGTAGAGCAATCTTAGACATGATCTGTGGATATAGGAGGGTAGAGAAATCTTAGACATGATCTTAGACATGATCTGTGGATACAGGAGGGTAGAGCAATCTTAGACATGATCTGTGGATATAGGAGGGTAGGGCAATCTTAGACATGATCTGTGGATATAGGAGGGTAGAGCAATCTTAGACATGATCTTAGACATGATCTGTGGATATAGGAGGTTAGAGCAATCTTTGATCTGTGGATACAGGAGGTTAGAGCAATCTTAGACATGATCTGTGGATATAGGAGGGTAGAGCAATCTTAGACATGATCTGTGGATATAGGAGGGTAGAGCAATCTTTGATCTGTGGATACAGGAGGTTAGAGCAATCTTAGACATGATCTGTGGATATAGGAGGGTAGAGCAATCTTAGACATGATCTGTGGATATAGGAGGGTAGAGCAATCTTAGACATGATCTTAGACATGATCTGTGGATATAGGAGGGTAGGGCAATCTTAGACATGATCTGTGGATATAGGAGGGTAGAGCAATCTTAGACATGATCTGTGGATATAGGAGGGTAGAGCAATCTTAGACATGATCTTAGACATGATCTGTGGATATTGGAGGGTAGGGCAATCTTAGACATGATCTGTGGATATAGGAGGGTAGGGCAATCTTAGACATGATCTGTGGATATAGGAGGGTAGAGCAATCTTAGACATGATCTTAGACATGATCTGTGGATATAGGAGGGTAGAGCAATCTTAGACATGATCTGTGGATACAGGAGGGTAGAGCAATCTTAGACATGATCTGTGGATATAGGAGGGTAGGGCAATCTTAGACATGATCTGTGGATATAGGAGGGTAGAGCAATCTTAGACATAATCTTAGACATGATCTGTGGATATAGGAGGGTAGAGCAATCTTAGACATGATCTGTGGATATAGGAGGGTATGGCAATCTTAGACATGATCTGTGGATATAGGAGGGTATGGCAATCTTAGACATGATCTGTGGATACAGGAGGTTAGAGCAATCTTTGATCTGTGGATACAGGAGGTTAGAGCAATCTTAGACATGATCTGTGGATACAGGAGGTTAGAGCAATCTTAGACATGATCTGTGGATACAGGAGGGTAGAGCAATCTTAGACATGATCTGTGGATACAGGAGGTTAGAGCAATCTTTGATCTGTGGATACAGGAGGTTAGAGCAATCTTAGACATGATCTGTGGATACAGGAGGTTAGAGCAATCTTAGACATGATCTGTGGATATAGGAGGGTAGAGCAATCTTAGACATGATCTGTGGATACAGGAGGGTAGAGCAATCTTAGACATGATCTGTGGATACAGGAGGTTAGAGCAATCTTAGACATGATCTGTGGATATAGGAGGGTAGAGCAATCTTAGACATGATCTGTGGATACAAGAGGGTAGAGCAATCTTAGACATGATCTGTGGATATAGGAGGTTAGAGCAATCTTAGACATGATCTTAGACATGATCTGTGGATACAGGAGGTTAGAGCAATCTTAGACATGATCTGTGGATACAGGAGGGTAGAGCAATCTTAGACATGATCTGTGGATACAGGAGGTTAGAGCAATCTTAGACATGATCTGTGGATACAGGAGGGTAGAGCAATCTTAGACATGATCTGTGGATACAGGAGGTTAGAGCAATCTTTGATCTGTGGATACAGGAGGTTAGAGCAATCTTAGACATGATCTGTGGATACAGGAGGTTAGAGCAATCTAAGACATGATCTGTGGATACAGGAGGGTAGAGCAATCTTTGATCTGTGGATACAGGAGGTTAGAGCAATCTAAGACATGATCTGTGGATACAGGAGGGTAGAGCAATCTTAGACATGATCTGTGGATATAGGAGGGTAGAGCAATCTTAGACATGATCTGTGGATACAGGATGGTAGGGCAATCTTAGACATGATCTGTGGATACAGGAGGGTGATGGGGGGGGGGGGGGGGGTGGGGTAGAGCAATCTTAGACATGATCTGTGGATACAGGATGGTAGGGCAATCTTAGACATGATCTGTGGATACAGGAGGGTGATGGGGGGGGTGGGGTAGAGCAATCTTAGACATGATCTGTGGATACAGGAGGGTAGGGCAATCTTTGATCTTTGGATACAGGAGGGTAGAGCAATCTTTGACATGATCTGTGGATACAGGAGGTTAGGGCAATCTTAGACATGATCTGTGGATAAAGGAGGGTGGGGGCGAGGGTGGGGTAGGGTAGAACTAGAACAATCTTAGACATGATCTGCGGATACAGGAGGGTAGAGATAGAAAGGTAGGACATTGGATAAAACAAGGAGATCCGGGTAGGGCAAGGGGAATATAGCAAAGTTATGCCCGATCTGAGTGGAAACTAAATTATCATAAATGTTTAACGCTTAAAATGATATTGTATTGAAGATAAAGAACTATTCACAATGTGGTGACATACTCAGTTCAAATCAATCCTTTATCCACTGTAACGTGATACGAACAAAATGATTTATGGAAACCTAGTTATTGACAACGGTTAATTTTGCTACCTTTTGATTGGATTACATTAAGTATATGTTTAAATAAAGTTATTCTAAATAAACAATTTTCTAATATAGATAACAATTAATTTGCTTTTTGTTTAAAATATAAAGTAAACAACAACGGCTACCTACCTTATTACTCGTCGGAATTTAGTTTAAAAAATTGCTTGTTTCATTTATAAAAAAAAACAACAACTGAAAACAGTTAAATCTATCCGGTAAAACATTCTGAAGTGTCAAAATGAGCGAGTAAATTAAAATGAAATAAAATAGCTAAATAAAATATTTACTCACGTATGGCTTTGGATCTGTGCTTACCAAGGCAAAGGCGAATCGACTTAGAATTTGTGGTGACCTTTCGTCTATTAAACTCGCCTATTTATATGTTATGGCGAGTTTTTTTTTTTACCGTCGTTAGTTTACCTTCTGACCTACAGGCAAAGATAAACTTCCGGTTGTTTTAAGATGCGCTTTTTTTAACTTCCCGCGAGGCAATGATTCACCTTTCATGCAGTGTATTTTGAAATTGATAGATTTAATTAAAATCTAATTAACTAGGATGGGTTAACCTTGAGATATTTTCCCTAAATCAGTGAATATCTTCAAAAACGTTTGCAGTAAAATTTAATCACTGGCTGGATAATAAATCGTTTGATTAGATTTAATCAGCACGATTAAGGATTAGTGATAAGCGCTGAAAGTCACGTTATGTAGGAAGTCAGCAACCTTTTAAAGAGCAGGTATATGAGTTACATTTGCTATGAAATGATTCACTGATCCGTGTTAAAGCTTCTACGTTATCATTTGTTTTCAAAGTTGTTGAAAATGCCGGGACATTAAAGCAGAAATGAGCGCCACAAATTGTTTTCATATAATCGTAGGACTGTGCAGTGGCATAGCGAGGTCGGGTGTCACCCGGTGCGGCACTTAATGATGTCACCCCCCCCCAGAGGCGTAGCGACCCTTCCCGTGGACAAACTTTCAATTTACGATTTGCACCCCCACCCCCCCTCAAACTTTCAATTTGAGCCCCCCCCTCAAATTTTCGATTTGCACCTCTTAAAAGAATATTTAACACTCGAATTAATCACTTAATTAAGTGGAATTATCATTTTTTTCTATACATTTTGCTATTTTATGCCTTGGTGTCACCCCCCCCCCTAAATGGTGTCACCCGGTGCGGTCCGCACCCCCCCTCTCGCTACGCCTCTGTGCCTGTATAACAACAATAACCGTTAACAAGGAAGTCTCGAGTTCCTGTGTCCACTCAGCTCTGACGTGTAGCCGAGTCGCGTTAGAGAAGCAGGGGCGGCTGGGCGTGGTGCCGTGACCTTCACCGGTACCGTTATCGTGGCCGTAACCTTCACCGGTACCGTTATCGTGGCCGTAACCTTCACCGGTACCGTTATCGTGACCGTAACCTTCACCGGTACCGTTATCGTGACCGTAACCTTCACCGGTACCGTTATCGTGACCGTTACCGCTAACGTTACCATAAAATAATTTGAATACGTATTATTTATATACATTTTAAAAGATAAGTTTACCGTTGGTATTTATATAAACCGTGATTTCATGAACATCATTAACGCTAATATTACTGTTAATTTTTTGTTCAAGAAAGCAGTAATTTCGTTTTATGTGACGGCATAGCAAGGGCGACTTGATAAACAATTTCCTTCTTGCAGCTTCGGAGTAATAAATGCACCTATGTAGTTCCTCTATTGTAAGGACAACTCTTATTTTGTGAAATTGTTCTACATGGGTAGATTGCTCACCTCCCCTTCCTCCCCGCCTTCCAGAACGAAATAGAAATAATGTATTTTAGAAAGAAAATTTATACTTTAACATGTGTCTTCACACAGAAATTGAAGTTCTCACCCACACCCGAAAGTTTCCAGTCCCCCCACCCCCACCCCCAGGAGGAAAAAATGTCTAAAAAAAATTCTGATGTTATATAAAATGCGAGGTGCTAGTCTAAGAAACTCTTTATAATATTAGTTTTGAATGTATTATTTGTTCAAGATAACATACATGTCAATGGTATATCCCCAGCCATAGAATGTCTGATAAGTTGTATTTATTCACTACTTCAGTGACGCATTCACTTTGCCGTTGGGTTTAGCCCCCACGTGTTGCACAGAATTGGAATATGTAATCGGGATTTTCCTCATATGGGTATATTCTACGGGGTCGGCCTAGGTTCGGGACTTGTCATTTTGCTTTTTGCGGCTTCCGCATAATCTTCCAAGAAACATGAGGCGTACGTGTGGGTTAGTATAGGCCACTTATCGTCCAGGGTAGAATAACATTAATATATTTATATCCCAATGTTATGCGTGGCGAATGTGAATATTTAGCTAATAAAGCTTTTTGATTTAGGTAAATTTTAGCTTTGCTTTTAGAATGGTTTTGACCGTCTGTTAAAGTCTGAAGGGATAGCGTAAACCAGTTAAGGTAAGTTACACGTTTTAAATAAAATAGAACGCGATATCTTTTTGGATACATTTTTCTTAAATGTAGGGTTCAGAGATTTATTTAAACATCAAATAGAAACGATGTATAGTAAAGGAACCTTTTTAAACCAATATTTATTTTAAAATAGTAAGGAAAATAAGCCAGTCTGTCTATCTGTCTGTCTGTCCGTCTGTCCATCTGTCTGTCTTGTCCGTCTTTTCTGTCCGTCTGTCCGGATTTGAATATTTGAGGGCACCAGTAACATGGACTAGAATAGAAGTTAGAAGAGAATTAAAACAAAACATTAACCACTGCAAGGACCAACACGAAAAGGAAGTCCTCAGCACTTAGAATTAGAATAGGGAGACCAATCGCAAGGTAAAGAAAATTGAAAGATTTGACAAGTAACTTAAAAAGGATGAAAGAAATTGCTAGAACCTTTTAAGGCATGAATACCAACCCCAGTAGGTCAGTGAATGGCAAAAATAGGAAAACCATTACAAGTCATTCCGAACAGAAAAACCGCTGGACTAGCACTTCACGGAGATGTTAAATAGACCACCCCTACCAATTAATCCAGACATACCACCAGCATCTGAACTGCTAAAAGTGAACACAGATTCACCTACTAAGGTTGAAATCACTAAAGGCTTCAAGAAGATTAAGAATACTAAGTCAGCCCGACCAAATGGAACCCCACAAGCGGCACTTAAGACAGAACCTTCTGTGACTGAAGATCTGGGAATAAGAACTGATACTTCGAAATTGGGATACCAAATGAAGCTACCAAGGAAAGGCGACCTTTCTCAATGCAACAATGGAAGAGGAATGATGCTTTCATCTGTCTCTAGCAAGGTAGAGTAATATCTCATAGGCTAGAAATTATGACCATAACAGGCAGGTTTTTGTCAGAACATAGCATGTGCTGACCACATAGCCACTAAGCACGTAATTATGGAACAGTCAAGTGAGTGGCAATCACCTCTCTACATGACTTTGGAAGATTTTGAGAAGTCATTTGCAAGTGTGGACAGAGATGTCGTTTGGATATTAATGAACCACTATAGAATCCTTCCGAAATTCATCAACATCATCTAACATCATCTAACAGCTCTATAAAGACTCAAACTGTCAGATTATCAACAACGATTTGGCCAACGCTTTGCCAGTGAAAATCAGAATACAGCAAGTCTGAACACCATCGCTAATGATCATTAATAGTCATTGACTGGCAGTAGTGGATAAGGGGGGGGGGGGACTGAAAGAGCAGCAGCCAGTGGGCCGATTTTAAGGGGCCCCCACATTTTCTCTTACAAACCATAGTAAATTTAATTTTTATTCAGCTTCAGTGCCTTTATAAGGAATCCGGATGGGTATATTAATAGATTTTTTTGAACTACTGCAACTGTGAACTTCAGTTATCTGCAACTGATATTCAATATAGTGTACAAACCGGTTTGAAATTCTGCACAAAAAAAAAGTGGCCCGAATTTCGGAGCTGCCCTATAAATTGAATGCATAGGAAAGAAAAACACTAAAGCTCTTATCACTATACATTTGTTGGTTGCTTGTTGAAAAACAATTCTTTACATTTTGTGAAAAAAAGTAGCCCTTTACGTAAACAGTATAAAAGTCATGGAGCTCTTCTATTCACCTGGAGCATGAGCAGAACACTTTGTTGAAATAACCAAGACATAGAATTTCCCATTTTAAAAAAGGATAGCGTATCAACAAAAAAAAAAACAAAAAACAATGAACAATCCGCACGAAAAGGACCTTTCAACCACACCCACACACATCCACATCCACACACATACACACACGCACGCACGCACGCACGCACAACACACACACGCACACATCCACACCCACACGCACGCACTCACACACACGCACGTTCAGGCGTAGCGACCCCTCCTGGCTGGCGCTCGGGGCGAACTTACTATTTGGAACCCCCATTATATATATATATATATATATATATATATATATATATATATATATATATATATATATATATATATATATATATATATGTTACTACCGAGTCTATTCCACTGCTCGGCAACACCAAATGTTACCGAGTCTATTTACTAGTATTGCCAAATGTTACCGATTTCACTGCTGACCTTTGACCAGCACACAACATCGACCACAATATAGATACTCGGAAATGCAGGTTTACATTGATCTCTTTATTACACGAATCAATAGAAATGCTCCACATAACAATGCATCAATGGTCCACAAGAATACAATGAACCAACTGACCCCCACTGTCCTCACTAGTCCTAACATAACAGAATGCACGTGTCCATCGTTCCTATTCTCACGAATCACACACGTCTACACCGTTCAGTAACCAACTGGGTTCTCAACTGTCCTCAACTCCAATACGTCGTCTTATATATATCCCACGTACATGTAATAGTTTCCACTCGTTGCATCAGCCTGTTGAACTGCGCAGCTCTATCGTATCGCTTCCCAAAATACGCCTTGGCTTTGTGTTCGTTATCAGTCTACCATCTGCACTATTGCATCAGACTGTAATACATTGTTAACCAAAGTCTTTAGTTGACAGACTGTATTGCGTTCTTATCGTCCCTAGTAACTTACACTAGTTACATCCACCCCCGCCTTTATTTTGTGTGTTTTCAACCACAAACAACGCTTGGCAGGTGCACTCCTTCAATGTCAAACGCACCACCGTAAAAAAAAATTTATTGTTCCACTCACTGTCAATGTCGTCACCTTCGTATAAGATTGACAGTTATCCCTATTTCACATTTCAAATGTGTCTACATCATATTCCTCAGACACAAAGCAGTTCTAGAATTCACATCCACCTTTTTTCGTTTGGTGTCTTCACCAGTTCATTTTTATAGCTTTTGAACAGTCTGCTCTCATCC